TGAAGCTCATTGAAAGGGCTTGAATTACTTTTTTTCAATTACAAATTACCAAGCACTTTTCTGATGTAATTGACTTTGCAAGCCCCAATTACAAATATATAAAAGTGCTTGAAGCACAGGGCTTTCAAGTCCTCAAAGTGCTTCAAGCACTTTTACAAGCACAAAGCCCTCAAGCCCTGCCCAGCTCTGCAGTAGTGTATATAGTTTCTCATCCTCAAAAATGTCTCTTGAGTTGATTGTCATTCTTGAGAATATATCTTGTAGTTTTTCATTCTAATGAATCATTGCATCTGCTAGATGTTTCCCATTCGCAAAAGTATGGCCTTTAAGACCCGGTTTATTCAACTTCTGATAAACTGTTAGATAATGCAATCTCTCGGATACAAATTTACCAGTTATCCGCCGACCAATAGAATTTGATGAGGTTCGAAATAATCAGTTCACAATAGCTTTGAATTGAACAAATTGTTTGATAAATATCTGTCTATTTTTCCTAAGAAGATTTTTTTATTTGGTTTTAAAATGTGGGTACTTAATCCTAGATTTTTGATTGATTTTGTGACTATGCTGAGTTTATTTTTTATCAAAAAGTTTTCCAAATTAGGTGCAGTTAATTAGATATTTCTGAATGAGTGGGTTTTTGATACAAAAGCTAACTGGATTTTTGTCAATATTGATGATGGGTTTTTGCCCAAGTTTTTGTGTCAAAAACCCACTGTCTTTTTGAATTGTGGTTTTGTGTATGCCAACAATACTTTAACTGCCAATTTGACCAGATTATAGTGGAACTGTGAGATTTTTGACTTTCATCCTCTTTCATTGTAATAAAAGAAATTGACATCTATGAATCAACTTCTTTTCTTAATTCTCCAGAATTCTAGAACAATGCACTTATTTCATTTTCTTCTGAAGTACCTATTCTATATGAACATTGAACAACCTTCTTTCTAATCTAATGAAATTTAAAAAATATCTTATTATTATAATAATATGTTTTATCTCTTTTAAAATCCAGCCAAATCAATAAGTTGATAATATGTATCTATCTCTCTCACAAATATTTAATCTCCCTGGGACAACAAACATATTGGGTTAGTATTGGTTTTTAACATTTTCTCTAAAAACAATATAACCACAGTTTCATTTCATCTGTGGGGAACCCAAAACATTCATTCAAAAGAGTAAGCACTCGGCCTCTTTTAGCATTCAAGCCAAAATTTGGATTTTGTTGGTATTTTTCTTTTAGATTTTGTAAGACTATATCTTGGTTTATATCCAAATAATCTCCTCAATAATCTCACTTTGACATTTTTTAAAAACATATTTAAGTTATTGCGTTAGTCATTCTAATAACGTCTGTATAATTTTAATTCCAAAAAAAACTAATTCAAAATCGAATTTTTAAACTCCTGTGCAAAATTGGGTAGGGACTATGACGTCAGAGTCCCTATAATCAATGCAAGAATGCCGAATTTCTGATTTGTATGTACATCAGTGCAAAACATGACTGCGTCAAATTAAATTATTGTATCTGCTACTTAGCTGAAACAGTGCATCGCAACGTATTTGCATCCTTCACTCCTCTATAAAGAAATAAAGGATGAAGGATGTATAATCAGTGAACTCTGTTATAGTATCCGCCAGAGATATTGGAGATTCATACAAAAAAAGTATGTTCCTTTATCAGCCAGCTTGCATTTAGTCAGGGGGCACGGGTCAGGTAACCGCTTAAGTATAAGATTATATTGGTTTGAAAGTATTTGGTTTAAATTTTAAATTGTAAATAATGTATTAAAGATGTTTCAAATATTCTATGCAAGAATCAAGTACTTAATCCAGAAAAATACAATAATACTAAACGCAAAATTAATTTAATTGATGCTCTTGGACTAAATTCATTCTCAACCCTTATCCGTAGGGTTTTTGCTTTAGTTTTGGCTTTATCTCGGAGCATCGCCGACAAAGAAACAATTTTTTTGTAGGAATGTCGGATATCTGTAGCGGCAACTATACCTAGTACAATGAACTTGAATGTTTGTATCCGTGTTGCAAAATCTTGCTTGAAATCTGTATTTCTAGAAACCATAATGTCATAGTTTTAGTTTTAGATTTACAGTAAAACTTCCCTAACTCGAATCTTCAAGGGACAGGAAGCTGAGTTTGAGTTACGGAAAATTTGATTTATGGAAAAATACACAAAATTAAGGATATTATAATGATGTATGTATTATGTATTACAAAAAAGTATTAACATATACATTATATAAACCAAGACAAGTCTATCTGTTGTCGCTGGTCAATAAGAATTGGTAATTTCCCCAAGTGCACTAAATGCAATAGGTGCTTCTCCAAAAAATTCGAGTTACGCTTAGTTGTGGTCATGGTTAACACTAAATTTTAGTTCGAGTTTTAGAAATATTCCAGTTTAGAGATAAGAAATTCGATTTATGGGGAAAAAATACATAGTGAGGTTGTGAAAACATATTTTTTTGTGTGAAGAAAATTCGATTTAGAGAATATTTCCAGTTCGGGAAGTTCGAGAAGTTTCACTGTATATACGATACGTACCTACATATTTGTTAAATTACACCGAAGTATATTCAATTTGTACTAATAGGAATAAAACGTGGTATTCATGATGGCAGGCCCTTGAATGGAAATTTTGTATTTCTAATGTGATGTGATTTGGCCAATATTCATATGCTTATATCAGCTTTAGCCAATGAGAGGGTGTTTTCAGTCACGAGATTTTTGTTCAAACTTGCTATTTATATTTATTAATTCTTGCAAAATATTGTTATCCCAGTCCTTGTTATTTAACAAAAACCTTAGATTATGTCAATGTCAATATGATCATAATATGATATTTGTGTTTGTTTGGTACGATCACAGGTTATTGTTTGCTAACAAGGACTTAACTAACGATCGATCTAGCCGACCTTAAAGGAAAACCACAACTTAAAAAACGCCCTGTATATTCACTTCATAATTTTGAATGTCTTGTCAAAAGCAATTTTAATTAAATTTGGCTTTTGAATCATGGAGGCAATCTTAATTTTTTATATTCAGTTTTATTTATTTTTTCTCACAACCCACTACATTTATTCACAACTGGCAACTGCGTAATGGAACTTTTTCATAGATGGCAACCCCAGCTGCAGCACGATTTCCGGATTTTACATTTGCAGGGAATTATTTTAAATACGTCAACGTCCGTAATTATTCTAAATTTGTCCAATTTCAAGTGCCTATGGAGAACTTATTTAACCTCATAGGTCATTCAAAAATAGTCCCTTGTTTGAGTTTTTATGTATAAATTACTTACCTTTGTACCTATTTCAATTTAAGTTACCCATTTTAATGAAATTGTGATTTATTAGAAAATTTTCCATGAAAACATTAATGTTTTTGAGTTTGAGTAATGATTTTATTTTTGGTATTAAAATTAAACTATTAGGTATTTTATAATTTATTATTTAATCATAATTTTCCTATACAATATGCCTAATAAGATCCATTTTAAATGTCTAGATTTTGTGTGTTAAAATCGGAGAAGTTTATTTATAGGTATAAAAATCATTTGGAACTTCAGAAAAGCTGCCATTTCTCGCCAGACACATTTTGTTAAATCTCACATAAATCTTCCAAATAATAATTTGTCATATAATTTGGTCAGTACCTTTTTCACTATCAGGCAAAAATAAACTGAAGTTAAAATTCTGTAAGAAAGGCTTTAACTCCGGCTTTAAGATCATTAACAGACCATTACATTTCCAGTTTCATTTATATGATGTTCTTTTATTTTAATTAGCTACCTAGAAATATATTTAAAATCTATTGTAATTTAAATATCAATCAAAATTTTACATGATCTGAGTTCAAACCGGTGTAAGCCAGGTTGGTTTCTATCTTTATTTAAATAAAATATTTTAGTACGAAAGGATCAAGTATTTAGTTTATAATTTTAATATAGAATATTTTTAAAATTATTATTTTGGCAGATTAGTGCGATAGATTTAGAATCTTTTTATGTAAATTTTTTACAAATAATACTTGATCATTTTCTTTGACCTGAAATATTCCAAAAGAAACCCTAAGACATTTTTAATTTGTCTGCACTTTAGGAATACTAAAGTGTATTTTCGTAATTATTGTTAAGTTGCAGATCAGGATTAACTTATAGGTAAATTCTCAATTTACACAATATTATCCCAAAATCAACATTTCAAATTGAAATCAGTCAATGATACTTACCCAGTTATCTTTATCCAACTAAAAAAAATGGGTACCAAGTCTAATTTGGCCTAAATTCAGTATTTTATTTTTATTAAGTAGATACTTATCAAAAAGCAAATAAAAGATAAAATTTTAAAATACACCAGGCAGAAATTAGCATTTAGACCCACACAAGGACCTTTTTTTTTTGTTGGAAAAGGGACAAATTTCACTACCTGTTCCTCCACCTAAACAATTTGGCAACACTGCATACTGAAGGGACTAAGTACTATTGTAGACATTATCAAGTTTGGTGCAGTCAGCAATAGCCATTTTGACCACTAAATAATAATAATGTTATAGTTGTAATTTTCCATTTCTAGTGTCACTTTGTTAAATTTGTATTTTCTTTACAGGATTCACAATAACCAGATGATGTATGACGAGGATGGGTGAGAATTTTATTTTATATTATTTTACCTAATTACTAATTGTTCGATTTTTCAATATGAAATTAAACATTACTCAGTAAAAATATTATCAATAATTGACTCATTTGAGCATATCATCGAATTAATGAGATTATTATGAGTAACTTTCCATTAACAATTTACAGTCATTTTATTTTATGGGGTTTTAACAGTAAAAATGATTTCGAATAAACTTTCACTATTGTGCAGCATTCTAGAACGGTATTTGTAGAATCGATCTAATAAAATTTGAAATTGCAGCAATAAAGACTGTGATTTAATTTTATGATTTTTATTTTGGGATGTTTTGCACAGGATAATTTTGACAGGCTCATTAGATGGTTTGTTAACTTTGACCCAGTGCTAAATAAAAATGAAGGCGTCTTGTCGCCTCCGCTGTATTTCCATAGTACAGTGGAGTGAATCAAGATGGTACAAAATACAATTAAACTTATATAATACAGGGTAGTTCAAGAATATATTTTTTTGTTATAGTAAACTGTTTGTTGGAGGTCTCTCGTGGGAAACGACCCAGGACAATTTACAAAGATATTTTTCACGTTATGGCGAGGTCATCGATTGTGTTGTTATGAAAAATGCAGAATCGGGCAGGTCCAGAGGTTTCGGCTTTGTCACGTTTGCAGATCCAGCTAACGTCAATATGGTGTTGCAAAACGGACCTCACACACTTGACGGAAGGTAAACGAATCATTTTTTTATTGCAAGTATATGCATAGAAATCTTTAAAAATGACAAAATTATTTTTGTTGTTCTGATTCAACTATGCTAGAGAAACAGCTGCTTGTCGCCTCCGGTGTAGTAATCATAGTACATTGGAGTGAATCAAGAAGGGACATTTTTATTCAACAATTGCAGAGAAAGAGTTTGTTAGTTTGGGTTGGGGATTATTAACAAAAGTTCTTTTTTTTACAGAACCATTGATCCAAAACCTTGTAACCCAAGGACTCTACAAAAACCCAAAAAAGGTGGTGGCTACCCAAAAGTTTTCTTGGGTGGTTTGCCTTCCAATGTTACTGAAACCGATTTGAGATCTTTCTTTACTAGATTCGGGAAGGTTATGGAGGTGGTTATTATGTATGACCAAGAAAAGAAAAAATCCCGCGGTAAGATTTATACATTATTTTTTTTTGTGTTTGAGTTTTAAATTCAATATTTCTGCAGGTTTTGGCTTTTTATCATTCGAAGACGAAGATTCAGTTGACAGATGTGTGTCTGAGCATTTTGTAAACCTAAATGGCAAACAGGTGAGTTGATGCATTTTTGCGATAACTTTGCAGTCAAAAATCTTGTTTAGTTGATTCTTAAGAGTTCAGAAACTTTTATTGAATTGAATGATGGAAAGGACGCCAACAATGAATGAAAGCTAAATGTAGCAAAGTTCAAATAATGAGGGATTTTAATAATTAATAATATTAGACTGTCAAAGGTCATTGTAATTTAATCTGTTAATAATTCATAGTCAATCGATACATATGTATTTTTTCTAATACATATGTGGATATGGATAGGATACCCCCTGTTGTTAACGTTTCATGTGTATTCCAATGTGCCACGTGGATCATCCATTATTTCCAGAACTCCAGTTATTTTTCCTATGGGATTATTTTAATTAAATGGCATCTTGGTGCGGATAAAAATTCATCAAAACAAAAAACTTTGTTATCCAGTTTTCCCTTAATCACTACATCCATATTTACGGTAAACCTTCTAATCAGTCAAAGAGGTTACCTGTTGAAAAAAAATTCTCTGTATCTGTATATTCATAAGAATTGTAAGATGAAATTTGAATTACATATTAAATTATTTATTTCTTATTTCCCATAATAAAATTAAAATTAAAAATAATAATGGCTTTGCAAAATGGACCTCACACACTTGACGGAAGTTAAATGAATAATTTTTTTTGCTCATACAAGTATTTGCATACAAATCGTTGAAATGGCAAATTATTTTTGTTGTTCTGATTTATCTATGCTAGAGAAACAGCTGCTTGTCGCCTCCGATGTAGTAATCATAGTACATTGGAGTGAATCAAGAAGGGACATTTTAACGCATTGAGTGAATAAATATTGAAATTTTCAAATTGTTTTCATTATAAGAACCAATTCAAGATTCATCTCCATTTTCAGGTCGAAATCAAAAAAGCTGAACCCAGAGACGGCTCCGGCGGTAACAAAATGGGCGGCAACGACGGCAACTCCGCATGGGGACCGCCCCAAGCCCCCATGGGCATGATGCAGGGCCCCAACGGGCAAATGGGCGGCCCGCCGATGAACATGGGCGCCCCGATGGGTCCGAATATGAACCAAGGCTACTTGGGCTGGGGCACGTCGCCTCAGCAGCAGTACAACGCGGGGTACGGCACTCCTTCCGGACCTGGATCTTATCAGGGCTGGGGCGCTCCACCGGCTCCTCAAGGCCCGCCGCCGCAGTGGGGCAACAGCTACGGAGGTCCGCCCACTCAGCAAGGCTACGGATCTTACGGTGAGTTGAGCTTATTTTGAGAAGTAGGTTTTTTTTTTTTTGGTGTTGTAAATTTACTGTTACTGAGCTTAAAAAGCACCAGTCACAATATTTTTTGATTGGCATGAATTTATTTTAACTTATTATTTGCGATTGTGATTTGTGTTTTTTTTTTCTATTTTTTAAGTTGAGTACATTTAATGCAGCAAATTCCTCACCCAAGAGTTAAGCAAATTGAGTACAAGGTTTGTTCCAAAAACTATTCAAGTACACAAAACAAGAATTTAAAAGTTGCTTTTTGAATATTGAAACAAACCTTGTGTAAACTAAACACACTTTTGCTAACAGCTAATTCAGAAGATGCTGCTGATGCAACAAGCCCCTAAAAATGGGAACTTGTTTGCTGCATCAGTTCATTAAAAATTGCAAGTGTTGGGTAAGTCACTTGTTGTGGGCACACTCACATTTTCTAACCATAATATTAGTGAATACATTTTAAATTCAATTTGGGCTCTCTTCTCTCTCCTTTCACCTCGTGTGCAAAACAGGGAACAACGCGACCAACTGGAACAACTGGAACATGCCACAAAATGGCGGATCGTCGGCCCCATCGGGTAGGTGTCCTCAGGATAACTTTAACATGTGTGCTAACTCAAACGAAATGGGCGTCGCCCAATTATCGGGCGCTTTTGGGGAGGAGACCGCGAGAAATCCTATATTTTGATGCAATAACTACCCTAGTGTTTTCCCTCATTTTAGAGGGCTATGTTATAGATATACTTTTGGTTTTTTTTGTTTGCTGTCAACTATTAAGACTAGTATATCAATAAAATAGCTCTATTCATGTTGTACATACATATTTTTAAATGTAACTCCACTTGTTTAGAATAGTATAGCTTCATTCAAGACTAATTCTAGAATTGTTCAAAATTGGACAAGTATCTAAATTTTGAATGATGTTTTGCTTCAATAAAGTAAATAGCTTTTGTGTTTTTGTTTGTTTGCATTTTTATGTTTTAGACCTTTACAATATGACATAATTCCAGCACAGTAACGTTTTTTGTGAAATTGTTGTTGCACAAAATCAGTTTATTTTGTGAAGGTGTTAGTAGTTGGTCAAAGAAAAAAAAACTTCCCAGCTTGGAACAGTGAAAAGAAGCTAATGGATGCTTAAGAATATCATCATGCTGTTTTAATAATAAATCATGAAATTGATTTCTGTTAATTTAATTTGGGATCAGGCATTGAATATCCTATTATTTGGGTTATTTTCCATTTTATGTAGCATCCCTTGGCTTCAAGATATGTATGCATGGCTCCTCCCCCCCATTTTTTAAACCATAAGTCACGCCCATGATACAAATAATATAAGATATGATGACGAATCTTGCTTGGTAGCAATTTAATCTTGGTAGCAAATTAATGTTGAAAGTAGACTTTCAATTTAAAGTTTGTGTCAATAGAATTTGTTTCATATACAGGGCAGAGCTGGGCAAAGCCCTCAGTAAAAGGGCTTGAAGCACTAAGCCCTAAGCCCTATATCAAAGTGCTTCAATTTCAAGCACAAATTCCTTTTTATTTTCAAAAGTGCTTCACAAGCACAAAGCCCTCAAAGTGCTTTGGGCTTGACAAGCACAAAGCCCTCAAAGTGATTTGAAAAGTGCTTGAAGCACATCAAAAGTGCCTGGGGTGCCTTGAAAAGGGCTTCAAGCTCTTTAAATGTGCTTCAAGCTCTTTAAATGTGCTTGAAGCTCTTTAAATGTGCTTGAAGCTCTTTAAATGTGCCTAAAGCACTTTGAATTTGTAATAAAATTCTCAAAGTGGCATAAGCTACCGCGTACAGTCATCACACAGAATTGGTATAGTAGAGACGAACTTTACATTTCACAGAGTAGCAGTAGTATGTTTTTTTTTGAGATGTAGTTCTGAGGTACTTGGGGTACTTGGGGTACTACATGGTAATTCAATTTTAAAGTTTTCAAAATGTTCAATGGGGAAAAGTGGAAAAAATCCAGTGATAAAGTTAAATAGGTTATAGTTTTTCCAAAGTCAATTGGAACAAGGTGAACATATATTATAACCGGTGACTGACTAGTGCCAGTGCATTTCTTATGGAAATTTTCAGTGACCAGTCAGCCACCAGTTGGCACCTTGTTCCAATTGAATTTGGAAAAACTATACCAATATAAATTAATTATTTATTTGAATAATAAGTTCATTCACAAAACACGATCGAAAATTTTCAAGTGGGGGATAGGTTGAGTGATTGTCAATTCAAATTCCTTTCAAAGTGCTTCAAGCCCTTTTAAAGTGCTTCAAGCCCTTTTAAAGTGCTTCAAGCCCTTTCAAAGTGCTTCAAGCTCCCAAAAGTGCTTCAAGCCCTCTTAAAGTGCTTCAAGCCCTTTCAAAGGGCTTCAAGCTCCCAAAAGTGCTTCAAGCCCTCTAAAAGTAATTGAAGCTCATTGAAAGGGCTTGAATTACTTTTTTCAATTACAAATTACCAAGCACTTTTCTAAAGTAATTGACTTTGCAAGCCCTAATTACAAATTTATAAAAGGGCTTGAAGCACAGGGCTTTCAAGCCCTCTAAGTGCTTCAAGCACTTTCGCAAGCACAAAGCAATCAAGCCCTGCCCAGCTCTGATACAGGGTGATTGATGGTCGATGGTAGGTTAGACGCTTATGGAACACGGAATGTTAGATGTTTCTGAAAATTTGCATGCCCAAATAGTTGCTTGTGATCTATTATTCTAAAATAATTTCAACGATGCGACGTTGCCGCTTATACCAAAAAGTAATATAAAGCTTCATATTTTGAATTAGATACCTTGTATATAGGATTTTTACGTTATATTTAGGATGACGTCACATTTAGTAAATTTCTGCTGCCAACCTAACAAACCTAAAAGTACTTTTCAATACATTCAAAGTAGGGGAATTTCAGATGTTTTTGGTTGGCAAAGTCGCGCGACGTTGCATGACTTGTATAAACATTTCCATTTCGTTACTTTTAGCTGTCGTCAGAATAATAAAATTGACACATGATCCTAAATATAACATAAAAAACCCTATTGTATTTTTCGCTCCGCTATCACTTTCTGATTATTTCTATTCAATACTGTCCTATACCTATCATCCGATCACAATCCGATGTCCACAGGTACAGGTACAATTTATCACCTTTCAATGCTATTTGATAGGGAAAGGTGATAAATTTACCTGCACCTGTGGATATCGGATTGTGAACAGGATATATCTCTAGTGATTTTTGATTAATTAATTTCACATAATGTCTGTCGATTTTAATCTGATACTCTAAGTGCCGGTACTTTTGCTCTCATTTGACAGCCGTTAAAAATAATCAGGGGTTTGAATGTGCTCTTACCACATCATACTTAAATAGACCTTGGCCCATGCAAAACTTTGACAACGTATCAAATTCGCTAATCGAAAGCAAAAGTATCGGCCCTAACGGAATTTGAGCAGGTGGCTCCCTACATTAGAACGCCAATGGTTACCTGACGTCACACCTGTTTTTGCCATATTAAATACCTCCTCGCTCCTCATACGGAAAGTGTCAGTTTCAAAACGACGTACTTTAGCTCTAGTTTTTGTATTGCTACGTCAATGAGATTTGTAGAAAGTTCAAATTTTGGAGCTAACTTAGGGAGAAAATTTGTTTTGCGTGATACAGGGTTGGTCAAAATTAGTAATTATGCTGCCAGGTACAAAAAAGATGAAAAGTGCACTTTTTTAAATCGAGCACCCTGTATATTATGAAATATTTATTTATTTATTTATTTATTTACTTATTTATTTTTTTCCAGTAAATTTTACAATGTTTTTTTGGACATTTTTAAACCTATAGAGGTAATCGAGTTACCTATACATAGGACTCGATACACTAAAGCTAGCTTAAAAACTATAGACACATAAAGTGCCAAAATATGCATACAAAATGCTATTCATGCAGGGGAATGTTATTCAATAAAATTATCTGTTAGAAATTTTTGAAAGGTGTTTTCTATAATAACAATGCACTTGCAACATTATACTTTACCCATTTTTTTAAATTTTCGTTTGACTGTTTCTTTATTGTACTTCAAAGTTTTGTATTTATTTGGAAGTTTATTGAAAGTCTTGATTGCAGTTAAGTAGCTACTTTTAATAAATAATGTTCGATTTATCTTTGGTAATGCTATTCGATTGTATAAAGTTCCTTTTTAGATCCTTGTAATGAAATTTAAGAAACTCAAAAATGAAAGACTGCTCTAATTTCAGTGGAACCGGGAAATTAACATCACCCTTAAGGACTTTTTTCAGTAATCTTTTTTGGAGAGATTTCAAGGTACACTTGACGTTGTTATATGTGCCTCCCCAGGCTATAATTCCATAGTTACATATACATACTATGAAAAAAAAAAACATAATAGACACTCAATAGCGATTTGGATGCATTAGCCCAGCCAACTTTGTGAAAATAAATAATAAATATTTAGTCCTCTTGACAACATATTCAATGTGAATGTCCCATCTTACTCTATAATCAATGTAGGTGAAAAAAAGCCAAGCCAAGACATAGAGCCAAGACTCAAGACTAAGTAATCTACCTATTAACGACTTTGAGGACATAGAAACATTCTAAAAGATTCGCTTTATGAATCAAGTGCATCAGTTGTAGGAGTTACAGAGAACAAAAAACAAGAAGATTGGTTCTTAGAAAATTTGCAGCAAATAAAGAGCATCTTGGACACAAAACACAATGCGTTTCAATTAGTCCAAAACAATCCCAACAATATTAACATACAAAGAAAATATGAAGATGTGAAACAGTCAATTCAAAAAGAGATTAGGCAAATTAAAAACAAGTGGTGGACTGACAAGGCAAAACAAATCCAAGGATATGCTGATCAGCACGAACAAAAAAACTTCTTTGATTATGTCAAGAAAGTCTACTGTGTTAGGCACCGAAAAGCTTCCCCACTTAAGGATGATAATGGCAACTTAATAAAAGATAAATGGAAAAAACATTATACAGCCGTTCTAAAACAACACTCTACAACTGATGACACAGCCATTAACTTAATACCGCAGTATAGACATGAAGAAATTCAAAAAGCAATTAACAGCCTAAAAAACAATAAAGCTTCAGGTGCCGACCAAATACCAGCGGAGATATATAAAGCTCTCGTGAACCAAAACCAGACAATGGAAAACCTAAAATCCCCCAAGATTTCCGAGACGCATCTATAGTTGATCTATTCAAGAATAAAGGCAGTGCTGCTGACTGTGGACACTACAGAGGTATTTCGTTGCTCTCTATTGGTGGAAAAATTCTCACAAAAGTTATGGCAACCAGATTGTCAAAATATGTAGACCTCATTCTACCAGAGACACAATGTGGGTTTAGACCAAACAGAGGTACCACAGATCTGATTTTCACCCCGTTAGACAGCTCCAGGAAAAGGCCAAAGAACAGCAGTCACAATTATGTATGGCATTTATAGATTTGGCAAAGGTCTTTGATTCTATTAACAGGGAAGCATTATGGAAAATCATGGCGTACCTCCAAGGTTCTTAAAGGTATGCAAGAGTCTCCATGAGAAGAACTGGGCAAGAGTTTTAATAGATGGTGAACCCACTGACCCATTTCTAACACAAACAGGAGTCAGGCAAGGGTGTGTACTTGCCCCAGTTCTTTTCAATATTTTTGTCACTGCGCTAGCCATAATGGTAGACACCAAGCTAGAAGTACGAGGTATAGCAATTAAGTACCGATTTGATGGAAGCCTCTTTAATCTCAAAAAGCTCAGAGCCAAGACTAGATCGAAAAATATCACCGATTTAAAGTATGCTGACGATTGCGGTTTGTTGACTGAGTCATCTGAACAGCTGCAAATAATCCTCGAAACCTACACGTGGGCCTACGAAGCTTTAGGTTTGAAAATAAATATTAACAAAACCAAGATAATGACCACGCCCCCAGTGCAAGAAAACGTGATTATCTATATTCAAGGAAACGCGTTGGAGAACGTAGATCACTTCAACTATCTTAGTAGCATAGTTAACAACAAAGGAAACATCAATGAGGAAATCCAACATCGCATTAATAGCGCCACTGCAGCTTTTTGGAGACTTAGAAACAGAGTTTTTGACAATCATGACCTTGCTATATCCACTAAGGTCGCTGTGTATAGAGCGATAGTTATTCCAGCATTAACATATAGCTGTGAAACCTGGGTGCCATACAGAAGACACATCAAAGCTCTAGAGCGTCTTCAACAGAGACAGCTACGTCAGATTATGCACATACAATGGTTTCATAAAATATCAAACATAGAAGTACTCCAGAGAGCTGTAGATTTCCATCTCATTCTCTCAGCCTATTAAAGAAACAGATAGAAATACATTTTCTTTGCACTCATTCTACCAACCGGAAACGCCATTGAATAGCTATGAAATACCGAATGGCATACAACATTTTATTTTCAAGGAAATGCAATATTTCCTTTCTTTTACAACTCAACCACTGCTATTTTCATCATTTTTTCGGAAAAATAAAAAGCTCCTACTTACTGCTTATAAAGCTATGACTAATATCAATTTTGTTTCCTTTCAATTTCAAATCAATATCAGGTCATTCGGAACATATTAATTTTACTGCTCTGAATATGGAAGCTCGTGAAAACAAGCAGACAAGTGGTACTTATCATTTATGCAATGTATCACTACTGTGTGTGACAAGTGTTGACGACAATAAAGTTCATTAGACCTCTTGAACATAAAAAAATCTAATGATTATCTTATATCGTTTATTATAAAACGTAATTCACATTTACATATTTACTAATTTCCTTGCAATCCTTGCCAATTTCAAAATCTGGATATAAAAGAACCATTTTTTTTTATACTTATCCAACAATTTCTTATGCATTTAAGTATATGAACTGTATCGAAAATTGAGAAGAGCAATCTCTCAGAATCAGTTAGATGTGTAATATAAGGTTGTAGTGTATTATCAGAGCTTAAAAGGTGAAAAGCTTTTCTGTTTATTGCTCCATTATCTGATATAACAGAAATAATTTTCAACCCTATTGGCTCAACCTGGACTATTACATCTAACAAATATTTTCTAAGCTGATTAGTAGTCATATTACACACCGGTATCCGGTATAATACACACAACAACTCTATATTTTGAAAGAATGCTCGAAATCATAAATATTTGAGCGGCTTTAGCTATTTTAGAGGAATTTTTCGAATTTTCGCTTCTTCCAAAAATTCTACCACTTTTAAATTGAAGCTGTGCGTTTATGTAAACTTCATCTATGTGAAGATTAACTACAAATTCATGAGATTTTAATAGTTCTCTGTCTGTCTGGTCTGTTTCTGCAGAAATCAAAAACCAGTGAGTGAATTTCATTGGTTGAAAACAGTCAGACAACTAGTTTCAACCAATGAAATTCACTCTGACGGGTTTGTGATTTCTGCAGAAACAGACCTATTAGCTAATTCAAACCACGTGGTTTTCTACAATGGCGGGTGATGGCAAATACTGAAACCATCAAGGATTGAAAACAAATCAAATGCATAAGATGGTCCACTTTCCACAATGTGTCATACGCACAAATATTTTCATTGTTGTGTTTTTGTCTATCTCCTACTCATGATGTTTTTGACAATTCAAATCTAATGACGTCACAAAAGTCTTACCATAGGCATCTATGGAAGTTACCATAGGCATTTATGGAAGTGTGAAGCCTGTCAATTTTGATATTGTAGAAAATCAGGTGGTTTGAATCACCTAATATGTTTCATCATGACATTTCATAGCTATTCAATGGCTGTTCCAGTTGGTAGAATGAGTGTGAAGAAAATGTATTTCTATCTGTTTCTTCAACAGGCTGAGAGAAAGATATGGAAATACACTCAGTGCAAATTAAATCTACCAATCAGAAACGCCATTAGACAAATATTCCAAAATAATCCAATTCCAACAGAAACTTGCTTGTATTTCCAAAACCTCACTTATTTAGGTATATGAACATGATACATATATTATTTGTAAGGAATTTTACTTGCCTTTTATAATATTTCATAATATACAGGGTGTTCTATTTAAAAATGCGTACTTTTCATCTTTTATGTATCTGGCAGCGCAACTACTAATTTTGACCAACCCTGTATAATGTAGCACAAAAGTAATATGCAGGACCTCCCTAAGTTATCTCCAAAATTTAAATGTTCCACGAATCTCAGTGACGTAGTAATACAAATTTAACTAGAGCTATGTTTTGAAGAAAAAATAATAGTTATTTATGGTACTAGTGTGTTATGTTGAAAATAAGTCACGCGAGAAGAATTTATAATAATTTTTCGAGTGACTTAGCAAATATAACACACGAATAGCATACAATATTTTATCCAACAACTGAAAAATCATAACACACGAGCAGCATACAAGAACTGAGAAAACTAACAGGTATTTTTTGGGAATGAGTCTTCTTTAAAGCAGGATTTATAAATTTTTATTTCCTGACGTTTTGCGTTGAATTTATTAGAGAGTGAGTTATGAACCATAACCCACTAGTGTGTTATTTTATAGTTTACCTGTCTAAATTGGCACAAATAATGCGATTGTCCCAATGCAAAACACAGTAACTAACATTTTCGTCAAAATTCAGTTTATTAGGGATTTGTGGTTGCTGTGTTTTGCTGAACATTTTGGTATTTTACAGGCTTAAATTTCTTAATAAATAAGGAAAATAGTGTGCATTCAAAACACAATAACTGCGCACTGAAAAATATTTTACCAATACAAAACAGTATTTACCAAATAATATATCAAAACACAGTAACTAATTACTTGGCAGTTACTATGTTTTGTTATCGTTTTTGTGGTCAAAGGTTATTACTGTGTTTTGTAATGGAAAATCGGTTGGACTTTGGTTGAATGAAAAACAAATGGTAGTTACTGTGTTTTGACACACACTTATCTTGTTTAGTTAAAAAAATCCTATGCAAAACCGTGTCCAGTTGCAGAACTTTTTTTCAAAGGGTTTATCTTCTTCAAATTATGAAAAAAAAGAGTGCTGCAGGTCATACCTAACTACCATTGAAATTTTGAAGTAATATCTCCATTTATTTCGTGGGGCTAGAAAATTTATCATAAAAGTCGAGTTTTCTCCATTGTTATAAAAAATTTCTTACTGCGTTTTGAATAGACCTTTTCAAGGTCCACAACGCGCTTGCGCGTCAAATAAGTGGGGTTATGTTGGCTGTTTGTTTTGCGGTCCAAAACTCCAAAAAGCATAGCGAGTATTATAAAAAAGTTGTGATTAATACCTTTTCCTTCCAATTTAAAATGGCCCAAATGCCTTTTAAAAAAGTTAAATTATCAGCACCATGTGCCGGGTGCAATTTTACACAATGAGATTGTAGAGAAAAATAGCGTATTAGAACTTAGAAGGAATTTACGTTGAAAACATGGCCAGGGAAAGCGGTAAAAAATTAATCCTTCGGAATATCCGGGTCTTCCAACTCTGCTGTCACTATTACACTTTCCAAAAACACAATATTTGTGTGCCCCATCGCTTTTACTAATTTTTAAACAGGTTTTTCCAATATTTCCCCATGCAAAACGTGTAACATGGACCGCAAAACAATAATCAGCTGATTGAAGAAATGACAGTGAAATTGTGCGATGTTGCCGGCTTGTACAAATTGAAGCGCGTTAACTTTAAAAAAAAACTTTACAAAATGACCATCAATATATCTTTCCAATAAATAGCTTGAGTCCTCGGCTGCATCAAATATTATGTTAATTAATAATGAAGAAATTGAATCTCAGTTCTAGTGAAATCGAAATTATTCATGATTCTTTCCTGTATAGCGTGATGGAAACCGACACTTGGCAACAATGTTTTACGCATGCGTAACAGAATTATTCCACTTTGAAAAGGTCTATTGGGACAGCAGAATGACTCTTATAACTAGCAGCGTGTTGGATAAAGAAATTAATTAATAAGTCGAAAATCACTAGAGATAGGTATAGGTTAATATTATACAAAAATAATCAGAAAGTAATAGCGGAACGAAAAATGCAATAATATACAAAAAAGGTGTCTCATTCAAAATATCAAACTTTGTATTACTTTTTGGTATAGGCGGCAACGTCGCATCGTTGAAATTATTTTAGAATGATAGATCAGGAACAATTACGTAGGCATGCAAAATTTTAAAAACAGCCCATGTTCCGTTTTCCATAAGCATCTAATGTACCATCGACCATAAATCACCCTATAATAATTCTCAAGTTAAATGGTATCAATATTTTATCAATGTCAATATTCTATGTAAAGCGAATTGAACGGGCAGCAGGCATAAAAGCCACCCTTATTTTCATTAGCTAACTATAATAAATATTTTTAAAAAAAATGACTCCACTCAACAAAAAGTAAATAATTCAAAGCTGTCTATAGATCAAGTCATCATATCTGTATTTTCTTTGTATCATGGTGTCAAGTCCACAGTGACATTTCCTCAAGCAATATTCTCTCTTTTCTCCTCAACAGGCTACGTGGCTAGCGACGTTTACTCGCGAGGCGGTCAATCAGCCGGAGGTACGCCGTCGGGTCCGCCCGGAACCGCACCCAACGCCGGTACCACTTCCAAGCCAGGCTCAGACTACGGTCCCGCTTCGTACGGATCGGCCTACGGCTCGTATTCAGACTATTCGGCCAGATCCACCGCTCCTTATGGCGCTGCCGATTCGACCGGAGGCTACTCGAGCCAACCCCCGCAAGGTGCGGCAAAGCATTTCGCTGATTTTAAGGAGTGGCCGGCGTCATGACAACCTATTGATGGTCCTCCTCATCAGGGTGCCGCTCCACATCAGACGGTACCCGGCGCCGCTGGTATGGCCGTCAGGACCGTTTCAGCGGCCGTTGTCGAGCTATCTCACTGACTGCAAAATGTCGTGGTTAAACACAATTAAATCCGGAGAAAATTTGAAATTAAAAGCGTCATCTTTTAAAATATCATAAATTTATACACTTTTTATTTTGGAAACTGGTTCTTGGTCCAAATATAAACATAACTATTTTGTGACCTAATATTACAGATAGATGAAATTAAAAACTAAAATAGGGGGTTGACAACATCTTACCACTACAATATCAAATTTAGTCCTGTGAATATTTTTTTCTTTTTCTAACACTGGTATTAGGTTTGCAAACACTGTCCAGATTACAAACATATAAGATCTGTTCGTGTCAGTGAGAAATAAATTGTGGTTCTCCTAATTGAAAATTTAATTCTTTAATCCTGTCAACATAACAAAGAGTATGATATGATTACGTACTAAGTACTTATTTGACTCTGTGCCAGTTTCCATAAGAAAGGTGTACTCGTTTGAAAAATGACACTGAAACTAATTTCCGGGTTTTGTTTAGTCCACCACTTCTTAGAGTAATTTTGCCACTCATTGAGTCAGCTCTACAACATAACACCCATATTACTAACAAGAGAATAAACCAGTAAGTTTTTCTCAAACAAAAATATTTAATCAGAATTTAGGGGTATTAGTGTTGTTGTGTAACATTATAATTAATTGGTATAAGTAAGTAAGAAAACAAATGCTATCTATATTAACGACGGCGGACAAAAGAATTAAAATACACACGCCGGGTCACGTGGTCCACACACACACAAACACGAGAGCAAGCTTTCTAAGGCGACTGTCGGACAGACAAAAGTGGCGCCCCCTTATCCATTTACTGCCGCGTTGACTATTTTTAAGTATTATTAGATGTCTGACTATTTAAATCTTGTAGCATTGTCACCTTTAAATCCTACTTAGAAAGACAAAATAAGAACTAGAACATTAAAGGAAGAATAATATTTACTCTGGTACAAGACTAGTGTAAACAAAAAAAAATATTAATTCACTGAAAACATTGGGGGTCTTTATGGCAAAATGTTACAACATTTAAAGCACGTCTCGTACAGTTCACAAAAAGAAAACGTACCTAACTTGTTAAAGTAATTTTTATAAGTACTAATAATTATATTTAATGATTTAGACAGAGAGAAATATTTAAAAAAAAAAACAAATCGAAAATACCTCATATCTTATTGACTATTTAATTATTATTATTATTAAATGTTTAACGGTAATATAAGATATGTGTTGTTGAATGGCCTTATACGAATTTGTCTAAGATAATAAGTTTTCTTGGACAAATATGCGTATATTTCTATCAATGACTGATTTAATGAAATATTTTTTTAGTTCCAATACTGAAACAAATAAGTAACATTCTTGTTTGGAAACTGAAAAACATTTTTTCTTAAATCAGCATTTTAGATATTTTTTGAATGGCTAAGAGTCGGACTATCGGTATCATATTATTTTCATTTTAGTATACTATCCCACCCTTCCTTTTTATATGTGATTCTTATAGATTTAGTAAGTTGGTTTTAATTATTATTATAGGCTTACTATTTATAACAGAAATGCATTTCTTATTTTAAATCTTAGCGTAAGAAACTTTTATTTTTGCTTGAAAATTTTCTTTTTTTTTTTTTTAATGGAAAATTTTAATTTTAATTGAAACCCATAGTTAGTGTTTATGCCTTAAGAGAGACATTTTTAAATATTTTTGTGCGATTATTTATTTTAGTATATCCCCCCCAAAGTCTAGTCTTTTTTAATTTTTCAAAAAATAGTATCAGAGTATTGTAAATAAATAATTCTTATTAGGTAATAAATATAAGGTATCTATAATATGAAACCGTATAGTCCAATTCTAACAATTATTAATCGATTAAATTTGATTAAGAATTTTTGTAAATAATAAATAGTGCACAACCACGTCATGATTTTTTTTAAGGTAAACAGTAGCTCTTTAGGATTTATCGTATTCGATTATTTTAGATCTGGGGCTGTAACTATAAATATGCTATAGAGTATTTTTCTTTGTTTTGTTACTGTTTTTTAATGGTTAAGTATTAGAGCGCTCTCTAGCGTCTGCCAGTTTAAATTCAATCCTGCTCTTCTTTTTTTTTTTTGGATTTAAATTGGGGTTTCACGACTGAATCGGAGAGTGCATTAAAAGAAAAAAAACGACTGAAATAAAATAATATCTACAATTTACTTAAATTGAATATTTAACTATATAAATAATAATAATAATAGCTAATTGTTGTTTTTTTTTTTTGTCATTTTTTAATTTACATTTTATTAAATTTCTATTTATTGTATCTAAGTTTAGTTTAGAAGACTTAAAATCCGATTTTAGCGTAATTTATTGTTAATTACCTTCTAAATAAATAAAAAAAAGTAATTGTAATAGGCAAAAATAAAATAATTTAATAAAAAAAAAATAAGAACGCGGACTATGTGGTTGTGATCTATATTATATATTTAAAATTTACCTAAATAAATACATAGATTCTTCTTATTCTAAATTAGAAAACGCATAAAGTCAATAATTTTTAAGTTAGAATTTTTAATTCTAACAAAATTTATGTGTACGTTATTAGTAAGCAAGTTATTAAGGAAATAAGAATTAAATGGGGGACGTCCGATGTTTTGTCTGTTTGTGTGTCGTAGTTTTTCTTTTTTTTTAAGTTAAATATTCAAACAACTCTACACAATTGTAACAATTTGTCATAATTATTAATTTGATTAGGTGGGGACTTGAGAATGCTACTTTTGACGTTTATTTTAATAAATTTGTGGATTTTTGTATTTATTTAGTTTATGATAATATTCAATGTCTATCCAGACACAATATCTAGCTATAGAAGACAATTTCTATAGTATATTTTTCTCTCTAGATTTCAAGAAAATTTGGCAACGTCATACAAACAGTTTATCATGGGTAATATTGGCGCCAAAATATTTTCCCTAGTTTCAAGGAAATGTAAAGTTGCACTGTCACATGTGCGCCATCAAATTCAAGTTAAAATTTTATTTAGCATTTACAATAAGTACTTAATTCTACTGAAAGAAGTCAAAAGAAAATTACCTAGCGGAAATACAATGTTCCAAAAAATCAGTGTCCTATAATGTTGAACACAAGATGGCGGAATTAATAAAAGATGAATCCTATAAGACATTGTTTAACTTATACTACATTTGAGAAAGAGAGAGAGCGATAAACCCTAATCAAAGTTGGCTAATTAGCTTATGTTGACATGAATATTTTTTTTACTGATAAACAGCAGTATTTCGTATACTCTCCAAACAAAAAGTCGCAAAATAGTTCATCTTTCAACGCGCTTATGTCAAAGACTGTAATACCTACAAGATTTTGTCCCATTTAAAAGTTGTTAGGAATTAAATCCTCTACAACATATCAAAAAATGGGCAAAATACATAGAGCCCAAAAACCCTATGTGTTAGCCTTTGGAAAGTGCCCAATTTCACGAATTCAAAGAACGAATGGAATTTACTTACTTTCCAAATACTCTAGATTTAAATGTATTTTTTGATTCAGTATATTTCTGTCGAATTTGTCTTTTTCAATTTAACCATACCGAATGAAATATTTCAATTAATATTTACTGCGACGTCTATGGAAGGAGCCTTCAAAAATGATTTGTTACTCTCTGTCTTTTTCAAATGCCCTATAGCCGAAAATCTTCCATATGAATCGTCAAACCAATGTTATACATAAATATCTATCACATTTTGATAAAACATCATTCGTTAACTTTCTATATAATGGAGAATTAATATCATAGTTAGCTCTGTGAAAATCAACATTACACAGAATCCTATTTCTGACATTCATTGGGGAAACAGCAATGCCAATAGCCATTATCCATTGAGTAATGTCATTCATATTTTTCCAGATTTCAGAGATGTAATTTTACAAAGGGCTAAAAAATTCCTAAATAAGAGCTCATTTCAATATCCATTATGTCCGATTTTGTGTGTGAAATCCTTGTACAACTGTCACAATTTGTTAAAATAAAGCCGTCAAAAGTCGATTTTAGTCCCGATCAAATACTATATTAATCCGAAAATTATTTGTTCAGTGTGACAATCTTTTAAGCAAAACGGTTTGCACATTATAGTATTGAACTGTTGAAAAAAAAATATATATCGTTTATTATAGGAAATTCTGGTTGAAGTTAGACCAAAAATAAATTTGTGGGAAAGTATTAAAAAATTTATTTCTTTCCGGCAAACAGGCCCGGATATTTTCCCCGTTCTCTTCTTTCTTATGTGGTGGAGGGATTGAAACCAAAATTTGTTGTAAATACTATACATGTTTAAATAGAGAATTACACGAGAAATATTATAAGATATTATATGCACTTATTGCTCACTTTACTCTTGCTCTATCAAGTCTTTGAGTCTAGTTGAAAGTTGGGGCGTGTCACACTTTAAAGGATATTTTTGGGGCTAAGTTCTTTAAAATGAATTTAATAGAATAAAATAAAACAGAACACACGAATATATCAATATACATTTAATTAAAAAAAATTAAAGAAAGCATTTCACTTAATATTAATTAAAGAAAGGAACTGTGTATTCTAATTTATTAATTTAAAATAGTTAGATTTTAGACTTAACTGATTTGAGTGTACCTACTTTATAATTAATTACAAAATAGTTATCATTGACCTGTTAGTTATAAATAAATTGGATTAAATTTAAACTATAGTTAAAGGAAAAACTAAAAATTAGACCAAATCGACTGATGTACAGAGAATATAACTAAGTTTTTAAATTTAACGATTGAAGAAACAATACAAAAATTAGGGCCTTCTTATTAAAAAAAAAAGTATTTATAGTGCAATTCCTCATTAATTAATTAATTAATTTAAAGAAAAACTTATAGCGAAATAGTTGATTGTTGTGTATAAGTTTAAAAAAAACTATTTTTAGAGAATATTGCCCTGACCTGACTCCATTTTTTTTAATTAAAATTAAGAATGCAAAGATGGACTGTCTTAAAATACCGTTAGTTTTTAAAGAAATGCATTTTTCTTCGTATAATTATGTGGAGAATTAAATAAAAGCTCTACTCTTAAAAAAAAATCTGCTGCTGTGTTTTATTTCTATATTATCTTCTAGTTTTACCCTAAAAATAATTTTTTTTAGATATAAGGGTGCTAGTTTCTATCATTTACGTCACCAATAAAATCAAAATAGGAATAAATAATGTAGTTCATTAAGACTATAGTATAATTTTAAGAGTAAGACTCAAAAAAACTACAATGTGATCGACCAGGTTTTCATTAAAATAATAATGATAATGATAATTTAAGCTTTAGAGGTAATTTTAAATTAAGGTTTTGTTTAAGACTTAGGCATTTTTAGTGTCCGGGGATTCACTTGTAAAGAAGGTGATATTTTGCGGACACTACATTTCATAGCCAAAAAAAAAAATGTAAATACCTTGTAATACTTAGCTTGAAGTAATGCATATCTTTAAAATACAACCATATTTTAAGCAAATCCTTGTATTGCAGGGCAAATTACTTATTAAAATAATTAATTTAGAGAACTAACAGTCTTTTGCTCAAAAAAAAACAAACGATATTTAATTAATTAAACTGTTAATTGTGTTAAGAGAAGATGATGATTAATTAATTTAAACGTAAAACTATATCTTGAAATTGTGTATATTCATATATGAGTGTGAACCGAGTTTAAATGTTAAGTGTGTTGAAACTTGTTTTTAAGTCTAATGGTACTTATCAAATAGTTAATCGACATTTAGGAAGTGTCTACTGTTCTGCAAGAATATTTTTTTAATGGTTTCGCTAGTATCATATATTTCATTATATTTTATAGAATTCAAAAATCATAGAGGGTCTAAAGACAGCAAAAACTTGCTCTCTATGGTTTTTATAGTCTTTTTCTTTGGAGACTTGACTTTAAAGAATCTGAAGACCTTACAGATCTAAAGGCTTTGAAGATTCTAGAGCTGAAATTTGAACTAGAGGAACATCAAAATCCTAATCTTGACTCTACCAATTAAAAAAATAAACTACAGATCAGGAGCGTATTACTATGACTTTGATTCTTGACTATTCTAGGCTTGAAGTTACATTTTTTGACTTTCCAAGGAATAAAATTCAACTGGAGCAATCTTTCAACTGGCTCTTCTAGAGACAAAGATTCTTCTATTAAGACTAAAGAATCTATTACAGTAGAATCCCGTTTATCCGAGCTCTAGATTAATCGAGCCAGTCTAAAGACCGAAAAATCCTGAATATCCGAGGTTTGCACGTCCATAATCTGTATTAACAGAATGTTTTTTTATGTATTGACACCCCACTTACAGTCTTTACCTTTACAGGTAGAAGAAAGTGTAAATACAAAAGTTGTACAGTATTGGCTGAATTTTTAGAAAGCATGGTCAGAAACAAAATTTGAATGTCAGAAATGTAAAATTTTGCATGCTTCCAGCTGTTTTCAAATGGGATGTCCTATATTTCATTCTATATTCTTGAAGAGCACAATGCCCCGATTCCAAAAATATATAGTTTGTCTATATTTGATTGAACAGTCTCTCATATATTCAGCTCCAAAAATTGTACAGGTGAAAGCTATAGGTAAAATTTGAGGTACTTGGTTTCTCTGATAGTATTTTTAAAATAAATAGTATTTACACCTTTCATCTACTTGTAAAGATGAAGGAAGTAGGTGGAGTGTCAATATATATATAAAAAAACACCTTGTACTTGAATAATAACTTATTATATAAAGTCAGAATTTCTGAGATTATCCACTTTTTGTCAATTTGCCAATTGACAGGATTTAGTAATGTTACTTTACCAAACTAGTAATATAATGTGACAAGTTATTCAAGTGCAAACGAGTGAATTGCTGCGGAACTTATGGGTAGACCTCTGCGGGACGAGCGTAGCGAGTTCCGCAGCTATCTATTCATCAATATGTTGTTTAATTATGATACTAACCTGACTCACTCAAATGTGAGTTATTCTCGTTAGTTTAAAAACTACACGTTTCAGGTGAATGTCTTACTTGAACAGTTCAACAGTATATTGGTGAATAGATGGCTGCGGAACTCTCTATATGACTATATGATGATAATTAATTCAATGCAGTAGATGTAAGTTTGTGGATGATCCAGTTTCTCGTTGACAAATAATTGATTGTTCCTCTCTTGTTCGCAATATTTATATATAATATTCACCAAGACTTGAAAATAGTATATGACCAATTGAAGGTAGAAATAAGGCGCCAATTCCAAATCCTCACTGCTCACAATACTAGATAGATATTAATTAATAATACATACAAGATTAACTAGCCAGGATAAAGTGTGGTAGCTAATTGACATACAGACGATATTACTACAGACAAAAAACTACTGCAACAAAAATTAATTCTAGATTCTTGAGACTCTGAAGCCTTATAATGGAATGAGTATGTGGAAACTTGTAGAACCATAGAAAAACTATTTAATAAGTAGACACGGCCTTAAATTATTCGTGTTAAATAATAATGAATTATTATTAATCTACGCAAGTGTTTTATGAAGGTAATAATCTCTTTATATGACACTTTGTATAAGTTAGTACATTATACAACAGTATTGACTACTTTATGGCAAAAATAATAGTTATATTATACATGTCCCTCCTGTTGACTTCCTCGATCCCCATTAAAAAAAAAAATTCCCTGTTTGATGACTGCACAAAACTGTAGAGAAATTAGGATTTTGGAGTTTATAATGAAAACGGGTTTGAAAAGTGTTCATAGAATAATTATTAGTGTATTTAAAGTTTTGTGTATTCATTGAAAAAAAAAAAATACATCGAAAGAAACTAAGTTTTGAGTATCAAAGTGTCGGACACAATTTTCTTTTGACATACCTACTTATCCAATCTGTCCTTCACTTTATACAAATCAAATTAAATTCCTCAATGAATCATTTAAAGATAATTTTCTCTTGCTATCTTTGAATGATGATTTTAAGCTAATTTATTAAATAAGTGTTGGGTTGTCTAAAAAAATAAATATTCTATAAAATATACTTATTAGTAGGAGTAAATTGTTATAATACAACACACGGAGACCTGGTTTTTAGCTAAAAAAAATAATATTTAATAATCTATTTTAAACAAGAATTAAATTAATTGTAGTGCATTTGTATTTGGGATTTAATTAATTAGTAGCATAATTATAATAGAGATAGTATTTGAAGTATATAATAATAATAATTAATAATTAAACTAAACCTATATTATAGCCTGATATAAAATTTAAAAAAAAATGTCTATTAGATTTAAAAGGAAAAAAAAAAAAATGATGAGGATACTTAAACGTAAAAAAAAGGTGTACCTTAATAATAATTATTTATCATTATCGATGATAATGAAAATATAAACTATAAAATCGTATATTGGGTCTCTGATTTGTCATCCCTTGAATTCCTAATAGTTGGGGAGCTGGCGTCGAAAACATGCAAGAGTTTTCGGAAGGCTGATATTTTCAAAATAGGTTGTACTTTAATGGTAGAATGCCTTTGCACAGTCAGCACTTACAGTTCCGGGACAGCTGGCGCTGGGACTCGCGCAAAGTTGTAATTTTAAGAAGCATCTCTAAACTGTTTTCTCAAAGCTCAAAATTTATAGACAACAAGCAAATGTAATATAAAACAGGAATCTAATAGTCAGACAGCGAAATATGGGGACATATAGCGTCAGCGCTATTCCATACCTGTCAAAAAAATATCCTGACCCAAAGAGTTTTCTGGAGGCTGAAACTTTCCAAAATAATAATTACAATTATAAAGTTGATAGAAAAGACAGTCAGACTCCTTTGTGATAGAATCACTTCAGTCAGCAGTCTATAGAAATGAGAATGGTAACTGCGCACATTAGTACCTATTGCTTCAATATGTCAATAACTTTTCAGAAAAAAAAAAACAATTTCAATTCTAGTTGTTTGGAACGAAGAATGATAAAATAAAATAACCTATACCTATACCTATATAATAACCTATATGCTGCCTCCTTTTTTTATGCAAAATACACAAATCTCACACGCTTTTTCCATAATATTTTCTCAATGCGTCACTGAATACACACTATTCACAACTACTGTCAAGAATACAATGTCAAGACTAGACTAGGGACTAGTAGGATCGCATTCTTCGATTTGAAAAAAATTGATTTACCAATATACATATTATTCATGTATAGTCTATTTCATTTTATCATTTTTCGTTCCAAACACTTGAAATTATTGAATAAAAAAATTATGATGTATTGTTGTGAAAAGTTACTGACATAAAATCGACAATGACTAATGACCACTCCACCGCCACTGGATATTTCAACATAAGTCGATATTTCAAGATGGGAGGATAAAATTACGGGAGCCCTGACCAATAGCGAGATGTGAGTCCCATGGCAATCGCATGGTGCCTCATGACAACCGCATGGTGCCCCATGACAATCGCATGGTGTTCCATGGCAACGGCGATCGTGCCAAAAACTCCACCAATCAGATTCATCGATCAGTGGGTTCATCCAGGCTGGATGTTTGCCAAATTGACAAAAGTTGATGATATCTTTAGAAAATATTCACTTTTTATAATAGACAAAATTGAATAAAATCAGTTAATCAATAAGAAGAGACTTAACAACCACGTTAAAATATTTAGGGCGGGTATTATAAAACTACTTTGAGAGTTAACTTAAAGTTAACTTCTAGAATTACATGTAATTCAAAAAGTTAACTTCAAGTTAACTGTCAAAGCAGTTTTATAATACCCACCCTTAGTGTTTTCTTATTATCGATATTTTGTTATACGTCCGAATTCCTTCCGTACCTTTAAAACCACTGGCTAGACATCACTAAATCACTGATGCGCGCAGTTACAGTTCTCATTTCTATAGTCTGCTAACTGTTGTGGTTCTATCACAAAGGAGTCTGACTGTCTTTTTTATCAACTTTATAATTGTAATTATTATTTTGAAAAGTTTCAGCCTTCAGAAAACTCTTTGGGTCAAGAATTTTTTTTGACCGGTATGAAGTAGTGCTGAAGCTAAGGGTCCCTATATTTGGCTGTCTGACTATTAATTAATTAATGAGTTAATGAGTAGCTTTAAGCTAATCTTCGCCCTATAGGCAAATGTCATGAACATTTGTTTTCAATAAAGACATTTTATTATTATTATTATTATTATTATTAGATTCCTGTTTTATATTATATTTGCTCGTTGTCTTTAAATTTTGAGCTTTGAGAAAACAGTTTAGAAATGCTTCTTAAAATTACAAGTCTGCACGCGTCCCAGCGCCAGCTGTCCCGGAACTGTAAATGCTGACTGTACACAGGCTTTCTACCACTAAAGTACAACCTATTTTGAAAATATCAGCCTTTCGAAAACTGTTGCATGTTTTCGACGCTGCCTCCTGGACTATAAACTCCTACAATTTTTGCCTTGATAAATTAATATCCCATTGAACCATATCCTTAGCTAATAACATCTTTGCTATGAAAAATATTACTTGAATCAGTTTTTTTGGATATTGTTACTGATTCTTACATTTTCAAAATTTGGTAAGTACCCAAGGCTGGGACTCTGTAACGGATAGAGATTGTTAACCCTATCGCTATGACACTTGTTGTCTTTTTCTCCCTTTGTGAAATCAATAGAGATAGATAAAATAATCTTTATTCGTTACAAAGCCCCAGCGTAAATTAACCATAATAGTGATCTCAGAAAATTAACTCTAAAAAGCAATTTTTTTTCTTCTTTTTTCAACCAAATATTTTTTCTTTCTAAACCGTCGTCCACATAAGAACAGAAGTTTTTTTTCCATTCAAAATTTACTAATAATATACCAAAACAACCTTATACCCCAAATTAGCTGATTCAAAAAAAAAACAAAACAAAATGGTTGTTATGACGCCAGTTATTACCTCCCTCTGAATAATTTAAGTACATTCAAAATGGAAAAGAAAATCCCACCACATCTCCTACCATTGGGTCATAGCTAAATTAATAACAAAAAAAAATCCAAAAAGAGGTTTTTACATATAAACAACTAGCTACGACCCTCGATAATACCATCCACCAGGTGGTGCCCCGTCCTGTTTCGTATCGTCCCACCCGGCGGAGCTCGGTCCTTTCACTTTGGGCTCGCTGATATCCAATATCCCGTCCAGTCCAACATCCACCCCATTGTATTATCCAACAACGATATCCAGCGACGACGAAATGCCTAAGGAAAAGTCGCCAGGTTTGTTGTTTTGGAAGAGTTATTATAATCTATTTCCAAACGCTAATTGATGGATAAACGCATTGAGCTTTTGGTGTTTTTTAAATTGGCAGTTATAAGTAGGTAGGTATTCAATGAAAATTATTATTATTATTATTATTATAGGTTTGAGCAGCAGTAAACGGCAACGCCGATGAGACTACTGCTGTATTGTTATATCCTTGTTTTTACTGTTATGAGTCACATGTAATGCACAAAATTCAGTCTAGCTCTCTCCAGGTCCCGGTTGCATCTAAGCATTCCGTATATGTATTTGGTACCTAGGTCTTTTCTATTGGTTCGGTGCGCCATGCTGTCGTATTTCAACCAATAAACAGCTAGGTGCCAAACACATATTCGACATTTGATGGTGTGCCAAATTCGTATACGTCATAGGACTGACGATTTTGAGTTTTACATATAAGTTGGAAAAACAAAAACATATTTGACAACCCCTCTTCATTAGAAAATTCTTTCTGATCTCTCTTTATACAGCTTCTCAATATAGCCTCGGCCCTCGGAGTTGCTGGTTAGTATTCAGACTGAAAATGTCCAGTTGCAAATCTGGAGAATAATGGTGATTTAAGATTTTGTACGGCTCAATCAAGTCCCTTCTCTCTTGTCTAGCTTTTAGAGTTGTTATGTTGTATCTCAGTAGTGTTTCTTCGTATGAGAGATTTCTGATTTCAGGGGAAGTTTTGTCACTCTACGCTGGACGCTTTCCAAGATCTCAATGTCCTTAACCAAGTATGAGCCCAAACTGAATGTGCGAACTCCAATTTAGGTCTGATATATGTTATATATTTTGCTGATCATGGGGATGGATCTGTCACTAAAAGTTTTCTATATGAGGTATACAAGAGAGTTTGTCCTCTTGACAACTGAAGAAATATGGGCTTCCCATTTAAGGTGATTTGAGATAATGACACCCATATCCTTAATTCTGCGCAGTGACAGCCTTCACGGTAATGCCGTTCAAGCTGTAAGGTATTTTCAAATTATTTTTGATCTTGGCGTATTTATCCCAAAGTGTTCGTTTTCTCTCGATTGCTCTCAATATTGCATTATTTACCATGTTATGTTTCGCAAGCTTAAGTTTCAGTGGGATATAGATTTCAATGGTTTCCTCCACTATGCCCTCAAATTCACTGAATTCCATATTGTCAGTATTTGTGCCTGCAAGACTGTTAATAATATAGACATTGATGCTGTCTGCCCAAGTCTCAATTGTGCCATGGCTATGATGGTGGTGGGTGATGTTCAATATTTAAGATCATTTGTTTGTCAGTTACCAGCAGTAAGTCCAACAAAGATGATTGAGCGACCCGAAACCTTGTGTCTCCTGTCACTAGCTGTCTACAATTCCATTCCTTCTAGGCATCAATAAAATTCACAGCGTTAACACTGTTTTCTCTCAGTAGTCAGTGTAGGACTTTTCCAGATAATCTCAAGGAAGATAAAGTCTCCCCAGATAACAGCGTCTATGTTTTTCTCAAATGTTCCTTTGAGAGAGTCCAGAAGCCTCCTGTAATTCTGTTCCGATGTGATATGATGAGGCAAGTATATACAGACCAGAATAAACTGTTTCTGCTATTTTGATATTTAGCGTTAATGTCTGTGGGCACCCTGTATTTGTGGTTTATGTTCTCGCAATATTTTGCCCGTTGATTTCAGTTTTTATCTAGATGCAGACTCTAGACTAGGTAGGCATATGAGTGAATCTGGGATTCCTTTGTGAAACCATGTCTCGGTAACTAGAATGAAAGTTGGGTTCTTTCTAAGCACGACATGGATTTTCTTGTTTAGTGAGTTGGCATTTGTATGGTAAAATATAACTTCAGACATTATTGAGAGTTTTTTTGGCCGCTGTATTAGGGTTCACCGACCTTATAAGATCTCTCACTGCCTTCATTTCCTTCTACATGCTGCCTTCTCTTGTATATGCCTCACTTTCATTTAGTCCAAATATGAGCACGTTTACCTTCCTACACTCTTTCCTGTGTCTCATAGATGGCAGGTTCTAGTTCGGGTTAAGATACAGTATCTGACAGAACCACAGTTGTTTTAACCTCCTTTTAAATTTTGACAATTTCTTATTTCACCGATGTTATATCAGCGTAGCTTGGATTTCGATTGATCTGTTGCTGCAAATCTTGGATTTCACTGCTTGAAGCCGTTGTTTTTGCTTCCAACTCTTGCAACATTGTTTTTACCTCTCATACCTATGATGTGACTTGCTTAAGTTCAGCTTCAATTTTTGGAATTATGTGTGTGAATGATGGTAATTTTTTGGCTGAGCCAGCACATATATCACAAAAGAACAGCATGTTTCTGGTTGCCAGAATTATTGTCCGTATTTCAGTGGAAGTAACATTATGGAACAGTATATTACTTTTTTGCAGCACATCACATGGACAACCAAAGATCTCTCCCGTTGGGGACTTTTCCTTGAGTGTACAAGATCTCTTGAACCTTGAGCATTTAGGCATGTTCCCTTTATTCTCTTTTACTATTTAGGTTCACTAGTTATATCTGTTATCCCACTTTGCAAAACGAAAACAAATTAATCACACTTTAATTTGAATATGAATATGAATAGCGCGTCCGCCAGCCTGCCCTAAATCCAGCAAGCCACCGCGTAAGGAAAAAAGTGTTATGGAGTTAAATATTGTGCCCATATTTCCTTTGAGTCATTTCCTCACACCGAACCGTTGTGTTGATTTAGAGTTACTTGTTTTGAGCGTTGAGAAAAATACTCCGAACTCACTAGGGGTCCGTGACCCATCATGGAATCCCCTCCACCAAATCCAAATCCAGAATAGTAGTTTGAGATATCACAGGGCTAAGAAATGTTGATAATAAGAGAGATCATTGATACGATAAGTAGGGGAATCCATTTTCGAAAATATTGCTACTGAAATAACAGATTTGAAAGAAAGAAAGAATCAGGGTGAGAACGACTTGAAAATAAAATACTACCTCGGTATTCCCAGAGTGGTGGAAGTGAAGACAATTAATTAAAGAGATGGGACCAAAAGACTAGCGGAAGATGGGTCGCGGGGGTTCGGAGGAATGATAGAAGCCACATTTCATTACATCAACGCTGGTTGACCAAGATTGATGAGCTACACATTCTTGCCATAAGAAAAAAACCATAACTATTATATTCGTGAGTGAGACATCGTTGCGGTCTGAAATTATTGATTCCCTTATTAGTATTGACAGTTACAAACTATTCAGAACAAACAAAAAAGGCGGGGGAATCTGTGTATACATTAAGGAAAAAATAAGTACTATAGATATCCAGAGTCACGAATTAAGGGAGTGCAGTGCATCAATGCCACCAACTATAGAGTCTATATGGCTACATATCGTCATAGTCAAATTTGTAGTTGCCTGCATCTACCGACCACCGGGTTATGTAACCGAGGCAGAAAATAGAACTCTAATAATCAATTTGAGTAAGGCTTTCAATTCGCACTGTGCACTACATATTTGGGAATTTTAACTATCCGGAAATAAATTGGCGGACCCCGAGCTTGTCATCTTACTCCTCTAAAGTTAACGACTTTCTTAGTGATTTCAAGAAAATAAATGTTAAACAATTAAGATCTTTTTCAACTAGACACCGAAATGATCAAGTATCATTGCTGGACTTGTTTTTGGTTAGTGATTCCAAACTAGTTACCAGTATTAAAGCTAAACCACCCCTTCAAAAAACTCTCAAAAGAGAGATGCACAAAGCTTGCTAGCACTCAGATACTGTGGATGCCCCATCCTTGAACACTTTCAAAAACAGACTGAATAGAGACCTTACACATGTGAATCGCGAATTTGTACATTATTAAGTTTTTATCGGACTTTCCGCCTACTGTCAGATAATAATAACAATAATAATTTCTCATCTCCATCTATCTCAGTCTTGCATAAATATTGGCAGTTCGATTCCAGACATTCTCTGTATGTGTCGAAACCAAGTTCTCTTCTTCAAATATCAACTCAATCTTGAATCTATGGGCAATTTATTGCACTTTTAATGATTTGTAATCTCATTATTGTAAGTATGTATCCATAACGATAAGGCTGTTAATTAAACTCTTACGAATCTCAAGCAACCATGTAAGATCAGTGTTAAGTCAAATGAAAAGGTAAACAAAAACTCAATGTTTTTCCATTGATTAGTGTTGGAAAATAAATTGCACACATGCTAAATCGGGCATTAATTCTAGTAGGTTACTCCCCTTCGGCCGCAGGAGGTGACTCGTACTCGGGAGGACCCCAAAGGAATTCTTACGGGCTTCCTGGCACAGGGTACCATCCGTACAAGCGATAAACGGACTTTGTTTTTTTTTTTAAATATTTTTCCACAGGGTTAGGTTAGTTTTTGGCTCGGAAAACGTAGAATTCAACTTTATAGATTAGGTGTTTCTGTTTAGATATGTATTACTATTCAAGGGCTAAAAAATTGCAAATAAATAATATAATTTTAATAAGCCATAAAATCTAATAATATGTAAAAATAATTAAGGCTTTTTTAATTGATGACAATCTACGTTTTCCAATGCTAATTATTCCAGAGATTTTTTTTTTTGAAAAAAATTACAGTCATAGAAAACCTAGAGTTAAATCAAGGTTGCATCTTTGTACTAAATTTTGTTAATTTTAATTTTGTGCAGCACTAAATTCCAATAATGAGTTGTTGAATAATATAATCTATGATTTCATATAGAAAAATATGATCTTTTATTTTGGGCAAAGCAGCTTTTTTAATTCTCCTTAATCATAATATACAATCCAGCTTCAAAATAAATAATGTAACCAAGACGGGCAGAACTTAAATAAGGCAAACTCATTCCGTACTCGCAAGAAGTCTATCACAAGATTTATTACAACATTTTCTATATAAAACCAAGGTTCTAGTAATGATAAAGCTATTGATATTGATAGCCAGGAGGGGGCTGATTTTGGCCCAGTTGCGACGGATCTTCCAGCGGAGGTAGTTGAGGCTGAAACTGTTCGGCGCTGAGTCTGGTGAATAGAATTCCTACCCCTTCGATAAGTGCTAGAAGAACACCACCTAAAAGAAAAAACAGTATATTACCCAAAACATATTCAATTAAATTTGAATGTAACAGTTAGTAACTTCTTGGAATTTTGAACAGAGACAAGTGATTGTCTATAGTATTTTTCCTAAATGAATGAAGTCCAAAAGTTACCATGATTGCTCAATATGGGGTTTGTCGAACTTCATTTGTCATTAATATTAGGTTGTACTATTTAGGGCGGGTAATATAAGACTATTTTGACAAATAACTAAAAGTTAACTTCTGGAATGACTATGAGATGTGACATTATTTCGGTCCAGAAGTTAACGTTCAGTTATTTGTCAAAATTGTTCTATAATATCCCGAGGGGGTAACCACTAGTTGAAAAATGTGACAAATTTGCAGAATTTAGGGATAACAGGTAAATTTTCAAGGATTACAGGTAGATTTTCAAGGATTTTGGGAGATTTCCAACAAAGACCAAAAAAGCTATGAATGACTATAAGTTTTAATTTAGGTTGTCTTTCTATTAAATGTGTAATTTAAGTCTACTTTGGAAGGGCTTTGAACGAAAATAGGTGAAAAATCGCTGATAATGTCCTAAAAATACAATTTTACACTCATTATGGACAGTTTCTCTTCAAGATATTTCAAAAGCTAGAAATGTTGAACTAAAAACACGTCTACGAGAGGGCCTGTTAGCTCTAATAGTTCAAATTTGAGTTATTTTTTCGTTAAACGACTAGCTTTAAGTTCACTTTGCATTGCATGTAATAACCTAAAGTAGAGCAAATATACTCCTGGACAAAATTATCGCACCACTGCACATAAGCACCACCGTAAGCAGTGGTGCGATAATTTTGTCCAGGAGTATATAAAGGTTGGTTGAACAAGATCAAATATATACTTTCTAGGAGATAGTGCAAACAAGTTCAAATGCTTGGAACAAAGATTCAATTTGGTTTGGTGTTGCCAATTATTTTTACTGAATCAGGATAATTGGCAACATCGAACCAAGACGACGGCTGTAGCTGTCTTTTTTCCGTGAATTTAAACTCCCGCTGCTCTCTCTTACACCTAGGAAAAATCGTATCCCTAGATTTCAATTAATTGAAAACTTAATTAATTTTCATTAATGAATCCACAAAAGCATTTATCAATGTTATCTAAAACATTCAATTGTGTATTTTGCGCCAGAATCTCGTAAATTTTGTAGGGATTGCGCAGTGATTGCGTGGATTGCGATGGGATTGCGGCCAACGGGTTATGGATTACGGTGCGATTGCGACAGGATTTCCGGGATTGCAGGCGATTTTGTGACAAGATTGCGGAGAGTGCGTAATGTTTGCCCTTAGTATCTTAAGGGAATCAGAATCAGAATATCTTTATTTTAAAGAAACATACATAAGAGGGTGTAAAAAACATCAATTGCTGTTCAACTAAATAGTGTCAACAGAGTGTTAACCTTGAATCCTTGTCAATTCTGTGATTGGTAGATTTTTTGAAATTCGTCTGCATAGAGGAAAAGAAACCTCACATCAAAATGAGCTCAAATTTGGCATAAACATTTTTTTTTATAGTTGTTCTTTGAATCTGCCTTGGAGGCTGTGAGTTTAGAATGGACACTTGCTACTATTTGACAAGTTAGTCAATTCTAAACGTTCAAGGCGTCCTTAAGCAAGAATTGACTATAAATTGAACCCTAAACTTTTAGGTGCAGTGATATGGTTGCTAGAAGGTTGGGATGTTTCTCGTATTAAAAGGTGGTACATATAATCCGATGCTGGAAGTGAGATAGGGATAGTCAACAAAGGAGTTGAGAATTTTAAAAAGAAGGAGTAGTTCATGAAAACTTTATCTTTCTTGAAGTGATGACATATTTAGCCTGTGACACATTTCTTCGTAGTTATATTCAGTGTCCCTATAGAATTTGAAATGAATATGGTGCATACATTTCTTCGGCACTCGCTCAATTCTGTGGATATGGAAAGCATACTGAGGGTCCCATACAGAGGTGGCATAATCCAAGAGATTTCTAACAAGACTCCGATATAGAATTTCAATGGAACATACAGTAACAAAGTCAGAAGTATTAAGTTTTAATAAATCCCAACATTCTCAGTGATTTACCAATGATTGATGATATTTATGTGGAGGAAAATGATAGCTTATCATCAAGAATAATTTCAAGATCCTTTATGTTCACAACCGATGGTAATATTGCTCCATTAATAATGAAAATTAGTTTTAACTGTACGACGAGAAAATATCATGAGATTGCACTTAGAGATATTAACATGCATACCATTATTACGGCACCAAGCCACAAATCTGTAGATATCCTCCTGCAAAGCAATGCAGTCGTTAAGATCGGATATTACTCTATACATTTTTAGATCATCTGCAAACAAAAGGAACTCCGAAGACTGGAAGCAGGGTGCAAAATCATTGATGAAGTTATTAAAAAGAAGTGGTCCAATGTGGGACCCCAGACGACACAGGAATTTCGTTAGACAAGATATTGCTAATTTTTACAATTTGAATCCTATTTGAAAGGCAGCTGTGCAGCCAGCAGAGTAAAGGGTTCATTTATAGCCATCGTTTTAAGTTTGTCTATCAGTACATTATGTGGAACCTGATCAAAAGCCTTGGAGAAGTCTGTGTAGACGGAATGGATCTCCGCTCTACTCTCCAAGGCCTGCAATACAAACTAAGAATAGGTAAGGACTAAGGAGATTAAAGTATTTCTACCCACACAGAAGCCAAACTGCTGGTTAATGATTTCAGGAGACAATAGTGAGCTTAGATACCAAGGTTTTCAAAAATTTTAGGGAAGGTATTGATGATGCAAATGAGCCGGTAATTTTTTATGTTGGATTTGTCTCCAGATTTATGTATTGGGATGACAAAACTTGTTTTCCAGAATTTGGGAAAAGATCCACTTTACAAAGATTTATTCAATGTAATGTAGAGGGGCCTAGAGAGAATGAAAGGGCAGTTTTTAAGAGAGACATGATGAATATTATCAGGACCCGGATTCTTGTGAGGATTCAAGCTAATAAGCTCAGTGTATATGTCACATGTGGAAATGGAGTAATTGTGACCATTAATATGCTTTAATGACAACTTTTGATTGCATTGTGGTGGGTTGCAGATAGGGTAGAACGAGGAAAAATAACCTGCAAATAGGTTGGCATCAGGATCCATGAAAGCAGGCGCATTGCGTTTAGAACTATTGCAATTCCAAAATGCTTTCGGATTAATAGAAAGGTAATTTTCAATGTTTTGGACAAAACTCCTATAACATTCCCGGGAAAGGACTGCACACTGTGATCCATAATAAGACTCTTTGTATTTGGAACAAAAGGGAAAGGAATACTTATTGTCAGTAGCAGGATAAGGTGGTACAGGAATATATGAATGAAGTAGAAGAACTGTCAACTGTGCTGAACACCATGCAGAAATAGAGATCTGGATTACTTACAAAGAAAAAAGGTTTCTTATATTATTTTTTGTTCATTTTACCATTTTTATTTTCTCACCACACTAAGTAATACTTTTGTTGCATCTCCGATATTGCCCATAATTCTTGAGCAAAAAAAATTAAATGTGGTAGGATCTTTACATAATATACGTTACAATATGTTCCAGTCGCCTTAGAATTATTGCTATATGAATGCATAAGAAAATGTCACTGTTTCAGTTGCCTCAAAATCAAGGTAACTGGAACAGTTGGCAAAAAAAAAATGGAACACTGAACGACTGAATGAGAACTAACATGCACGCAATTTATGAGATTTTAATGAAAATTCCCAGAAAAAAAAAACGTTAAAAGTGGGGTTGGAAGTTATAGAAATTTACAAGTACTTCTATGTATTTCCAAATTATTCCCATGAATCCCATGTACTTCCAGAGTATTCCCAAGGATTTCCAAGTATTCCCAGGTATTCCTAGATATTCCCAGCAAAGTGTACAGTGATTTACCCCTCGGTTCTTACAGAAATCACAAACCACTCAGAGCGAATTTCATTGGTTGAAAATAGTCAGGAAACTGGTTGTTAGCGATTTGCACCAATCAAAAACGCTCTGACTGGTTTGTGATTTCTGTGAGAACAGACCTATTAATAGGCAAAATCAACTTTTTCAGTAATTCTATATAATGCACACCTAACATGGGATTTTTGGGCTCTATGGATTTTTCCCATTTTTTGATATGTTGTAGAGGATTTAATTCTGAACAACCTTTAAATGGGACGAAATCTTGTAGGCATTACGGCCTTTGAGATATGAGCGTTGAAAGATGAAGTTTTTTGCTACTTTTTGTGTGGGGAGTATACGAGATACTGGTGCTACTGGTGTTTATCAGTAAAAATATTGACAGGTTCACATATTTTACGCCACTTAAAAATGAATGTCAACATAGGTTAAGGGCGGGACCGCATTAGGGTCAATGTTGGCGCCAGTGCGGTCCCAGCCTTAGCTTATATTGATATTTGTTACTGACGTGAAATATGTCGACCTATCAAAATTTTGACTGATAAAAACCAGTTTTTCGTATACTCTCCACACAAAAAGTCGCAAAAAAGTTCATTTTTCAACGCTCATATCTCAAAGACCGTAATACCTACAAGATTTCGTCCCATTTAAAGGTTGTTAAGAATTAAATCCTCTACAACATATCAAAAAATAAGCAAAATTCATAAAGCCTAAAAATCCCATGTTAGGTGTGCATTATCCTTTATAAAGTAATTTTCCAAGTACATATAATATGACTCTATAGAGTTTCCAAATACATATTCTTTGTTAATGTAGGTGCTTTTAACATCTCTTAAGCTAGAAGAGCAAAGTCAGCAGAATCGAAAATCAATACATGAAACATTAAAGGCTCATCAAAGGCTAATTAAATGCCCTAATGAGAAATTTTAGGCTCCTTGAATTTTCGTGAAAATTACCGTTCTGCTAGCTTTAACTTAAGCCAGCAGAACATGAGCGAAAAAGTGGCTAAAACAACGAACATTGCAATTTCAATTGCACAGGCATTAAAGGCTCTCGAAATACACCAATCCCAAATTTCAGGCTCAATTACTTTTTTTTGTGAAAATGCAAAAAGCGCGATGCGTGAGTGATGTCGGCCAAGCATGGCAGAAAAACCTCTCAAGACGGTGAAAATCAGTGTTCCGGTAGTGCAGTCGTAGTGAATACATTAAAGGCTAATTAAATGCTGTTATGAGAAATTTTAGGCTCTGCTAGTTTCTGCGAAAATGACTATTCTGCTAGCTTTAACCTAAGCCAGCAGAACATAAGCGAAAAAGTGGTCAAAATAACGAAAATCGTAATTCCACTTGCACAGACATTGAAGGCTCATTAAAGGCTCCGGAATTGCACCAATCGCGAATTTCAGGCGCAATTATTTCTGTGATTTAGTGAGTTTGGAAAAGTCTGATTAAAATTGCAAAGTACCCAAACTAACCTGGTTATTATTGATAAGTTTAGAAATGTCTGAAATTCGCGATTGGTGAATTTCCGGAGACTTTAATGAGCCTTGAATGTCTGTGCAAGTGGAATTGCAATTTCTGTCGTTTAGCCTTTTTTTTTGCTCAGATTCTGCTGGCTTAGGTTAAAGCTAGCAGAATAGCCATTTACGCGGAAACTAGCAGAGCCTAAAATTTCTCATTACAGCATTTAATTAGCCTTTGATGTATTCACAACGACTGCACTATTGGAACACTGATTTTTACTGTCTGGCAGGTTTTTCCGCCGTGCTCTGCCGACATTACTCACATATCGCCACTTTTCGTGTTTTCACAAAAAAAGTAATTGAGCCTGAAATTCGCGATTGGTGTATTTCCAGAGCCTTTAATGTCGGTGCATCTGGAATTGAAATTTTCTTGGTTTTAACTAAGGTTTTAACCACTTTTTCGTCCATGTTCTGCTAGCTTAAGTTGAAGCTAGCAGAACAGTCATTTTCACGAAAAATTAAGGCACCTTAAATTTCTCATCGGGGCATTTGATTAGCATTGTGTCTATATCTATATTTGTATCATGTTGTTATTTTATTGATTGTAATGAATAGTACCATAGCACATTATTTTGCTGTGAGCTTTATATTGTTATTGACTCGTGTAAGCACACTGTGTAAAAATACCAATAAAGAATTTGAATTTGAGCATTTAATGTTCCATGTATTGATTTTTGATTTTTCTGACTTTGCTCTTCCAGCTTAAGAGACGTGTGCTTTTAAGTTTTTAAACTTTTTGGACTCACAATTTGAAAATGAATAATCTAAAGGTAACCAGGCTAAATCCTTCAAAGGGATGCCAAAATTGGGTATTGGCATGCCCATCAATTCTCACCAATAAATGCGCTTCCAGCCATAGCAGGTAACCCATTCCTAGCGGCCAAAATACCTCCAGTGGCCGCCCCACTGATAATAGAATTCCAAGGGTCCTCCTTCTTTCTGACGTGGATAAGGGCGCAATCAATTGTCGAAAACATACCGCCCCAAACTGCAAAATTGCCCGCTATAATCGGAGATCTTTGCTTTATGGCTGTCAGAGATCCAATCTAAGAAGTATGTGTAAGTGTTTTTCATTAGTATTATGCAAATTATTTACTAGTCTTCTATTCATTCCTGACGGGGCGTTTCTGAAACCTTTGATGCTTTGAAAGACACCGCCTCCGATAAGTCCCATTGTGAATGCCCCTCCGCAATCGTCTACGATTCTCCAGGGGCACGGTTCTCGTGTGTATTCTTCCATTTTTGTGATAACCTTCAATATTTAATGATACATGAGTATGGTGTATTAAAAAGGCACAAAATACGCTTACCTTAGTGGGTTTAAATTAGTTTTCTTTAAATTGTTTTTGGCCCTGATCAGGCGAAAAGTTCAAAGGTAAATTATGAAATTAACGTTGAAGAATGTTCACTTATATTAATTCAAATATTGTTTATATGGGATTATTAATTTTACACTGAACTATTGGCAGTTTTCATTAAATTGTGGTTTTATGTAACAACAATTAACAAAAACACAATTTTGCAACACTCAAGTTTGACGAGATGGAAAAAAAAAGATTTTTTTGAGGTTAGGATGACAGGTAGTTGACAAATGTTGCGACATAGGCGTTTTCTTGTCTTCATCTACTTCTCGGTCACTGTCATTTTCAACGTACTAGACAAAGATAGACAACTAAAAGAAAATGGATACGCTCACCCATACAAAACAAATATAGTTATTGAAAATTAATTCCAAGAATCGCTTTTTCTACTTCCGTGCGTAAAGTACTTACTTTACGTACTCTTCAAAGAATGTAAGATCATATTTCATGTAAGTAATTCACTTTACACACTAGTACGTGAAAAATCGTTGAAAAAGTACGCTCAACGTTGCAAATAGTATATTGCATTACTAGTGAAGAAAGTGACAAATTTCACACGAGTGTATGAAAGACGCTTTCTCACAAGTGATGTACACGATTTTTCCTACGACTAGAAACCGATTCACACCAGTTTTCTCTTATTTTATTTCTTTTCATTTCCACACATGTGCTGAAACTACTTTTAGCACGCGTATTGAAAGTACCTACTTTCGGCACGTGTGTGATATTTAGCGCTTTCAAAAGAACCAACTAGTGCGGATGTCACTTTCGTATGTGGTCGTAGTAGGAAAACGCATGTAGTTTTTCAAAATTAATTTAAAACATCGTTTTTTCTACTACTGTGCGTAAAGTGTAAAGTGCGTACTCTTCAAAAGTCGTGAAATCATATTTATATGTAAGTAATTCACTTTCCACGCTAGTACGTAATAAATCGTTGAAAAAGTACGCTCAATCTTACAAAACGAATATAATTTGCCTATTTGCCAAAAGTAATTTTTAAAGAATTCTTTTTTTTACTACCGGGCGTAAAATACCTACGTACTTCACGTATTCTTCAAAGGACGGAAATAGTATATTACCTTACGAGTGTAGAAAGTGACAAATTTCACACGAGTGTATGAAAGATGCTTTCTTACGCATACGAGTGATGTACACCATTTTTCCTACGACCAGAATTCGATTTACATCGATTTTCTCTTATTTTATTTCTTTTCATTTTCAATACAGGTGCTGAAAGTACTTTCAATACACGTGCTGAAATTACTTTCAATCCACGTATTGAAAGTAAACTGTTATGTCAATCACAAATAAGGTCAACAGTATTTTCCACATGCGTATTGAAAGTATCTACTTTCAGCACGCGTGTGATATTTAGCGCTTTCCAAAGAACCAGCTAGTGTGAATTTTGTCATTTTTGTATGTCGTAGGAAAAATCATATTTCCACGTGAAAAATCTATAAAATGACGGTAAGATTTCTGAAAACTAAAAAAATAAAAATGTTTCCATAAATTATCAGACTTTGCTCACAATTAATTGCCCTTTACAAAAATTGGCAACCCTGCAAGCAATAGCACATTATGGCGCAATTATTCGAAATTGCGCTATTTTCGGAAAATCGGGGGTCTCTAAAAATAGCTTCCAGTGGAAAGTCACCGACGTTTGAAAATAGATTCTCTCTTTTACAAGTTTGCACTCGTGTTATGTGAATTTTGCTGCACAAAAAATGGCCCAAGTAAGTTACTTTTTAACAACCAACACATTCATAATTAATGCGTTTTTAAGGCACAAGAAGTAGCTACAAGTAACAATGAAGAATTTCAAAAAATCCTCAAGGTAATATTACCAACAACAAAATAACCAAAATAATTACTTAATTCTAATTATAGCTCAAAGATGCCGAAATAGTTATTTTAAAAGAAAAACTAACCTCTATGGAAAACGAAGTTGCAGAAGCGCAAAAAATCAAAGCTCAAAAAAAAACGCAACACGACGAAGTGCACGCACTAAAAATCCAATCCGAAGGCATCCTCACCAAAGCCAAAGCCATGATTTTCGAAAACACCAAAGTCATCAAAAACCAAGAACTCCAAATCGAAGCTTTGGGCCAACAAAACGAAAGCCTTAAAGACGTTGTTAGAATCACCAAAGACTTACTTGAAATAAGAAACTTAGAAGTAAAACAGTTGGAAAACAAAATAAACGCCATGGAAGGCAAGGTGAAAGCCGAAAAAGAACGCCAAGATTTGTTGCACAAAAAATTGGAAACCATGATCAGGCATAATGGGGAATTGAAGCGCGAGTACGAAACTCAATTGTGTCTTTTCAATGCGTTGAGGAAAAGGTACAGCGAAAAAGAGTTGGCTAAAGATGTCGTCAAAGAGTTGGGGAACGATGTTGATAATGCGCGTAGGGAACTTCATAAAGTCAACGAAGAAAATAATGAGCAGAAGCAAGTTGATGGAGCTGAAAATCAAGTTAATGGTGGTGAAAATCTGGTTAATGGTAAAGAAGAACAAGTCAATGTTGAAGAAATCTCTAAGGAGTAATAATTTGTATTGTATAATAATTATAGACAAATAATTATTATTTTAGATATTTATTTGGTTGTTAATAAGAAAAAAAAAGGAAAAATATAACATTGGTTTTTAATATTTTTATTATTTTCAAGTGTATTCTCCCTGTATATGATTTGTGTTTTGATAATAGGTATCATCTTGTAGCTGTCTGTCCAAATACTTAATTTTTGGAACTTTAAAGCCACCCTATTCTATTCGCTAACATCAGAGTAGGTAAATCAAACCCAGTGGCGGCGGCGCTTGGATGCACTGGGCCCCTAAGCAAATATCACAATTAGAACAAAGCATCAAGAGTCGGTATGATAGTTCAAATTTTGATTATCTATGGCTCCTTGATCTATCGGATAATTTTTTTGGAGCAATTAATATCTATTCTGGATGCTGGGCTGTCTGATAGAAAAAAGAAAAATCATGCAGTCTATGCTGACTTATGGAATTTCTCGAGTAGTTTTTCAATATTTTGAATTTACTTAGGACCGGTTTATTCATTCAGATAAGCTTGCTGGTAACTATCTGCAAGATAAATTCACTGTTCTATGATTTTATTCGTCGGCGGATAATTGGCCGACCAATAGGATTACAGATTACGTTTCTATCCGTCAGATTGCATACCTGACAGTTTATCGGAAGGTGAATAAACTGGCCCTAAATGACCTTTCAGCGATGGCAACTGGAAGGAATGTACCAGTTAAGTATGTCGATCGATATCGGTCATTATATTTCTCAATTTTACTTTAAAGCATTTTTATTGAGAAAAAATATTTGTACTTGGGGGCCCTTTCATGCCCGGGCCCCTAATAGTATTGAGTGGTATCCTAATGGAAATTTTCTGTAAAAAACGATAGTGAAAAGTCTACGATGACGCGTTTACCCAAATAAATGGCTGACCATTATTTGATACATTAGGTAACTATACCTATATATTTGAACTTGGAATTGAAAATCCAGTCCGTGAACAATTAACACAATAAACAATAATAATTATATGAAAGTAAGCTACACACAGTTTCAACATTTTAGGGAGATTGGGCGCGTGCGGGGCATGGATTTAGGGAAAGCTATGACACATGTAGCTTGTTGCTTGTTTCCTGGGCAGCATGTTTACATAGGTTCAAAAATATACCAGAAACTCATTACATACTGCCCCAGTAAACAAGATACTTGAGCTTCAGCTTCCCCAATAAATTAGATGCACTGCACGTCCTTGTGGGGTATATAGAGCATTATACAATTTGTGAGTAATAATTGTAACAAAACATTCACTTGAAGTTTATTCAATTAAAATACTTTTGGATTCAAAATATTTGTTTATTTATTCATAATAATAGTTTTCTTTCAATCATCGTCCATGTCCACTTCCATAGAATTGCAGCAGCTTATTCCTCTGCACATACATTTTACAAATTTCAGTAAATGAGCTGGTGCTGGTGCTTGACTCATTCTAATAATAGGAGACAAGCAGTGGCGGCTCGCGCCTATTTCAAGTGAGGAGGCTAAAAAATATAGTAAAAGTATTAAAATCAGTTGACAATGAACGGGTTCGTATAACTCCGGCCCTTCGGGCTTGTATAACCTCGGACCTTCGGGCTCATGATTAAAATAACTCCGGCCTGTCGGGCTCGTATAACTCCGGCCCTTCGAGTTCGCGTGACTCTGGCCCTTCGGACTCGTATAACATCGGCCCTTTGAACTCATAATTGAGATAACCTCAGCCTTCCAGAATCGAGATTTGAAAAAAAAAAAACATATGGCAACACTGCTTATACTACAACAAACGTCAAAAAATTAGCCGGTCCCCTGTTTGGCTACTTCATACGTATTCGCTGAGGCTAAAATCTATATGCCCATGTAGGTTTTTTAAAATTTTGACAGCTGTCAATCTCAAAAAAAAAAATCTTTTGTTTTTTCCAAAAAACAAAGGTCGTTTTTCAGTTGGTTTTAGGGTGAGATTTATGTAGCAACAGTTGGTACAAAAAATTCAATTTGCCGTCGGGTTTGGAATTCGAATTTTTGAATTTTCCCGGCTCCTGATTGGTTTGGGGATTCGAATTTTGATTATTCCCGGCTCTTGATTGGCTTCAAGTTTTGAATATTCCCGGCTCTTGATTGGCTTTAAATTTTGAATATTCCTGGCTCTTGATTGGCTTTAAAATAACCTATAATCTCGGCCCTTCGAGCTCGTGATTTAAAAAAAAAAAAAACATATGGCAACACTGCTCATGATACAACAAACGTCAAAAAATTGAAATTTCAAAGTAGACCTTAATGTTTTTGACAATCGATATAAAATGACGTCTTTTTGTTTCAAAGATAACGGCCCGAAGGGCCGGAGTATTAAAGTCAGTTGACAATGAACTGGTTCGTTCGGATAAAACTTTTGTCGCACGACACTTTGGCGATATCGACAGATATCACTTGTCAAATTTGACACATGTTCGACTTTTTCCCTGTCTACTATAAAAGCTACGAAAATCAAACCCCGGTACAAGGCAGTTCCACGACGCCAACTATCGATTTGTGTCAAAAAAATTTGACAGCTGTCAACGTCAAAAAAGTTTTTTTATTTTTTTATTCTGCGAATTTCGATAAAAAAAAGTGGTGGAAAACGATCCCCAAACCCCAAAAGCCCTAGATAAAAATTCTAAAAAAAAAAAAACAAGGAAAATGACATTCCAAAACCTACTTGATAAAACTAAAGTTTTTCTCACTTACCCCGTTAAAACATTTTTGGTGGAAAATGAAGAAAACTCAAAGCCTCGTACTTTAAATCAGTTTTCCTGACTGAAAAAGCCCCGGAAAAGTGAAAAATTCGAAGAAAAACTGAATAAAAATGTCGTCAACACGTCAATTGAAAATGGCTGACTGTCAAAAATGCTTCCTTGATTGAAGTTAGCCACAAGCCAAGTTGCCACATCAGAAGCATTTTAAACGGGATTTTGCTAATTATGGCATTTAAAATTAGAAATTTTTTACCAAGAAATGAAGAAAACTCAAAACCTCGGTATGTTAAATCCCTTTTTTCCATTAAAAACCCCGGAAAAGTCGAAAATTCGAGAAAAAACTGGCAAAAAATTACAAGACGTCACTTCAAAATGGCTAACTAAAAGCAACGTTGCCACATCTCATCTCGGAAAACAAAAATAACATTTTTCAAAGATTTTTTGTTTAAAATTCAATTTAATAACCAATTAATAATGATTATAATAATTAAAATTCCCCAAATAAATCATAGGAAACTTGTTTTTAATTTAATTTCAATGACAATGACATTACAAGGTTTCCTTATTGATTATAGTGAGTAAGACAAAGACAACGATAAAGTAGTATATGTTTGCAAAAACCACCGTTTTCTGAAAAAAGTAAAAATCTTAAGAAAACCAACATTTCAAAGCCAATTTGATAAAACTAAAGTTTTTGAATATTTTCGACTCTTTGATCGGACGCTGAAAATCGCATTTTAAATACTCCCGGTTTTTAATTGGCTCTAAATTATCCGCTTATAAACTAGGCCCCGTGATTAAAATAACTCTAGCCCTTCGGGCTCGCGTATAACTCCGTCCCTTCGGGCTCGCGTATAACTCTAGCCCTTCGGGCTCGTATTACTCCGGCCCTTCGGGCCGGTATTACTGAGTATCCCAGATTCACAGATTTTTGTCGTGGAGGCGCGGGATTGATTGAAATAATGTTGTCAGATTTTTTTAAATTACATTGAAATATCGAAATTTGTAAATTATTATTTCAATTAGGAATCAGGAATAAAAAACTGAGATTGAATTTTCAATTTTTTCGGGGAAGCTTAGCCTCCCCTGCCTCCTCTGACGAGCCGCCACTGGAGACAAGCTTCCATCTCTACTTCAAATCCCCACTGTAATGGATTCATATATCAATACCCATCCACTGTTGCACTAAAGGAATGAAATTTGCTTGCATTTTCTGTAGGAGGCAAAACTTGACATGGATTGTTGATTTTGTTGCCTTTGAAGTGAAAGTTCGAAGATTCATATATCATGTAATGTGCTGTCTCGTGTCTTTCCTCCATATAAATATACAGGGTGTCCGGAAAGTCAACGATAATACTGAAAAGGCTGGTGGAATAAGTCATCAGCATCCAGAAAAACATAATATCTACCTATGACTTTAGTAAAAAATAAATGGTTTACGAGATATTGCCACTTCAATGAAATTCGTTAAATCGTCCTTCTGGATCAGATTGTCGAGAAAAATTATTATTGGGTTATCTTGGATTCAAGATGGATAAAGAGGTTATTTTTAAAAAGATGCCGCGCCTGCATTCGCGTTGGTGGTAGGCACTTACACACGAACATACCTATTATTTGATTTATTTATTTTTGGTACCTACTTCAAGTAAAAATTTTTGTTTGAAGATGATTTAATTATATAAATTATTTAGAATGTAAGGTAGATTAGGTTTATTCTTCACTATAAATCATTACAATAAACTATTTATTAGAAGAATGGGTAGTTTTTAAAAATAATCATTAGCCCGGTAATCCAAGAGGACGAGTTCAACAAATTTCATTTATGTAGCAATATCTCGAAAACCATCGATTTTTTACTAAGGTCATATTATGTTTTTCTGGATGCTTATGAATTGTTTTATCAGCCCTTCCAGTATTATCGTTGACTTTTCGGACACCCTGTATAATGGCATTCAGACCAGCATTTAAGATTTCTTCTGTGGATTTTAGTTTGGAAAATGACACTTTCTTTGAAGGGGTCTGATTTTCTTAGCAGTTTTATGCAGTCACTTTTTCCTAATCCAAATGGTTTCGAGGTGGTATCACATCTTAATATGGCGTGAGCAAATAAGATGTGAGAGCAGACGTCACTACTCTGTATGCATTTACAATTTTTCTGATATCTTAGATAGATAGCTATGGTTTTGGGAGATTTGTAGGCTGGGCGAGGAAAAATCATCACATTAGCTTTAGGATGACTTTTTGCCGACTCTCTAGCTTCCATAATGATCAAGACGTCTGCATCACTCTGAGATTATTTTGTTTTTCGCCCAGCTTCGTGTCACTTTTCTGATAGTTGTGCAATTAATGGCAAACGGTAACTACCACTTTAATGCACTAGTGTTCTTGAAATATCTTTACCGCACTAGTGCATGAAATAATAGTTACCACACTAATTTGTTTTAGAGAAAATTGAATTGCATTCACAACTCGCGTGGTGAGGTTTCAAGCGCACGCAAAGAGAAGTTTGAGAAACTCTGCGCTGAAATCCCAGTTACCACACGTATCATCGAACGATAACAGAAAATATCAATATTCACATCATCAAATAATAATATAATGCGTATAACTGTCTCAAATAATGGACAGCCATTTTGAATAAACGCGTCACTTTAGAGTAGTAGACTTTCTGCCATCGTTTTCTACGGGAAATTTCCATCTGGAAACCACTGTAGCAAAACGCCCCAAGTACTCTATGTAATTAGTTAGATGGTAAATGGCGAGCGGTATATTGATGGTGTTTATTGACTTGGAGCTGCTACCTAAAATCTGTGGAAGGGTATATTTGAAGAGAAAAGAGAGAAACAAACTATTGAGGTGTACTAAATTATTATTCCTACTATTCCTAATAACTTATAAGTTAACTTATTTCAACACTTCCGATTCATTCCTATTAACTACCCTCCACCTATTTTTATAAATTCTTTATAATTATTAAGTCCCTTACTGACTGCTTATGAAAAACCCAAAATAATTACCTATTTGTTTATTAATATAGGTATTCCTAACTTATTCTTATAAAACCTTACAATAATTTCTACATGAATTTTAAAACCCTAATTCAAAAGTTCGGCACTTAAGATCATCAATCTCTCTTCATGGATCACAAATTTTGAATAAACCTTTTCAATACGTCTAATGATTATCGTCAGCAATTTAATTTCATGAAGAACAACAGTTTTTAAACTAACCACTCCATTACATTGAATGATTACCGTCAACAATCTCATTTCATGCACAAGTTTCTTTTCGAAACATACCATTTCATTTAAATAGAATAATTACTATTTTTGCAATCCGGGCTAACATACACAATTATTTAAATTCTTATTAGTTCGTTACTATAGCCCTTCAATTGGACAATCCAATTTAATAATCGCTACTCAAATCGATACTTATTATGTTATGTTAAATGCATTATAAATTCCCTTCATATTTTTGGTGCAAAATTAAATTAGAATGTCATTATATCTGAAGGCAATCAAAGTTATGCAATAATGTTCCATTTTCAAAACACTCGAGTTATTAATATTTATGCAATAAAGTTCCACAGTTAATTATAAAGTCAAAAGGTTTTTCTAGTAAAAATCACTCAAGTTTATCAAGTCAAAAAGTTTTTCTAGTAAAAATCACTCAAGTTTATAAAGTCAAAAAGTTTTTCTAGTAAAAATCACTCAAGTTATAAAGTCAAAAAGTTTTTCTAGTAAAAATCACTCAAGTTTTTAGGCATTAAAAGTCATTTGTTAGTTCACTTCTTATCATTCGGAATCATTGATAAAAGTCAGAAAATTATTAACTACTAAAGTAAGGTCCGTTTCACCAGGGTTCATACTTGACCTTGAAACTTGAGAAAAAAGGGTTGTCGTAGATTAATTCATATGACACATTCAATTTTTTTGACAAATTAAAATGATTTAAGAACCGACGAACGTTTTTGACGTCATTGATTTGTTTCAGTCAATTTTGATTTGTTAAACAAGGAAGGCAAATGCTGGTGGCAAGTACAAACCCTGGCGAAACAAACTATACTTACATTTAACTTTTCACACGTAAAATTACTTAATTAATTACTCAAAATTTTTAGCTAGCACGCACATAAATGTTAACGACTTTAATTGTTCTTTCTTTCAAAATTTTTCCGCTACTTTTTCAAAGACTGTTACCGAGGCAATACAAGAAACTTTCCGCAAATATTTTCTCCGAACGACACTTTAGGTACTGTAGATTTTAACTCAAACTGGACAGGACTGCGAACTCATCTCTCAACTGACAACTGTCTTCCACTTCTAAAACCGCGGTATTTATATTTAATCGATCCCCCCGCAAAGTATTATTAATTATCCCCCAAAATCGTCAATAGGCGGTCGTTTGACCATCAATCAGACAATCCCATTGGCCGACCTAAATATTATTAAAAATAATGATGCAATTTCCTTGAAATTTTTATCATTTTAAGTTTAAAAAAATCGAATAATTATGTCGCAATATCTTGATTTATCGGGGTCGAATACATTGGTTCAAGAATGCCATAAATCATTCGATTTAATTATTATGGCCTCGTTAAAAAAAGTTCATTGATCGGATGTTAGGATGACATCACGCTGGGGAATTAATATAATTTCGAATGTATTTAGGATCACATTAATTTGTTCCATTTTTTAATTTATAGATACTGATTTGGAAATACCGGAAATTCAGTTTTTGATTATTTGATATTATTTAATTTTTACAATTTTCTGGGTCTATTTTCTCGGAATATTACACCACTTACAGAAATTGTATTGCAATTTGTTTGCGGTTCCACATCAATTTCACTAGGCTATAAGCATCGCATAACCGCTCATGCATATTGCCGCCACTGATTTCTAGTCACGTTGAACAATCTCAAACATGGATCCCCTTAGTGACTTCTTTAAATAGATGGCAGTCTTAGGAACTTTAAAAGGCGTCGATGGCTAGAATTACATTCTTTAAAACTCGATACGCTCGTCCTGCAGCAATTCCCTTGTTATTATAATGCTCAAGTAAAATACTGATCTGAGAACAACTGAGTGAGTGAGTTTTTCTCATTGGTTCGAAAACTCACATATTCCAGATGAATACCTATCCTACTTAAACAGTGTATTGATGAGTAAACGGAACAACGAAGATCGCAATTTCCTTGAATATTGAGGTCAAGAGATGTCGTAGAAATGTGAGGCCGCATCTATCAAAGGGGATGCCGAAACTTGAGTCGGTCTTGAATAATGTTTTTCAGATGAATCTGTCACTTGGCCCCAAAATTTAATTACTTTAGCTTTGCTTTTAATATCTTTCTGATGTCTAATTTATGGGATCATCTTTAGGATCAGCAACCTCACGATGTCACAAGTGTGCTTATTATTTGACAGTACCGCGTAACCTGTCGTATTGATATATTGGAAATTTTCTAATCTGCGTCCTATTTACTTGTACCTAAAGTTAGGTAGGTTCTATTATTTTCAAATATTTGTCTGCAGTTATTTAAGTATGGTATATATCCCCTTGATAATTTTTTGTAATTTTTAACAGAGCGATTGGAAGGAAACACAAATAAAGTTTCTACCAACTCCGTTTTTTGGTAAAAATTGATTTTGATCTATTTTTTGATGTATGTAGATAGAGATTTGGAGGGGTGACTTGCATTACCTTATACTTAGGCCTTTTTAGTGGGCCCATTGTGTCCTCCGTTAGAGTGTTACTAGTTAAACCAGCCGACAGTATTGATATCGGGTCTTCAAAAAAAAAAACAATCAAAGATTGCTATGGTTTTTTAAACGTATGTCTTAGCAATATTTTTTTAAAATTTTGTCAATGAACTTTAATGTCAAAATGCCATGTCAAAAAATCCTGACCAATAAAAAAACAGTAATGCGACGTACGTTTTCGTAATCAACGCAATCTTCGATTGGTTTTTTTTTTGAAGACCCGATATAGTTCAATAATGTAGCGGCGGAGTACCCTCTAGTGTCTCGTGGCACTCAAGGATTAATTTAGATGTTACTTTCACCTTATTTAAGGCTTGAAATACTTATTTGGTATCTGTCAGAAAGGTGATGGTTGTTCCCCTTATCCTCCTTTCTCGTATTTATACAGCTCCCTGCGTTATTCCAATCAGCTCTGCCTGAAAAACTGACACATAAGTACCTGAAGCTATTTATATTTATTTCTAGGTTGAGCTCAGGTACTGGTTTTTTTGCGCCATCCGTGTGAATATGTATATCTGCTCTTATGCCTGGTTGTGTTAGGCCGCTTAGTTCTACCTTAAAGGCCTTGTCGAAGATGAAGCGTGGAATCATTGCATCTGTTCGGTGTTCCAGCAGTGGTTGTCATTCGACAGCCTACGAAAACAGCAGCAGGAATGCCCTGAACCCCCGCTTTCTCCACACCACAATCCAATGGAATGCAGTCGGATTGCTGTTCTCTCTGCCTCAAGATATGCATCAAGAGGCGGCAGTCTCAGCAGCACTTGCAAGGCCATTGTTGGTGTGGTTCTCATTGCTTCTGCGATTGCCAGGCATGCTAACCTTTGTAGCTGTTGAGGTAGATAGATATCCTTATTTGTATTGTACGTGTTCTTGTATGAATAACTCATTTCTATGAGATGAAAAAATAATACAGATTTAAAAATAAAAGTCAAAAAATTTAAAAATATAACATTATTTTTAATATTATTATTTTTTTTTTACTTATTGCTATAATATTTCAGATAAAATTATTAACTAAATCTTTCGGTTTACGGTTAAATTAATTACCTAGTAATCTTCTTACTTACACAAAAAATAACAAGCATTATTACAATCTGGCCACCCGATAGTTGCTAGAATATGAAAATTGTATAAAAATCAATAATTATTTTATTTATTGGTCAACAATTTATCTTCTTATGTTAATAAAGTGAAAATTATTTAATATAGCCTATATTTGGTCTATACAAAAACAACCATCAGGTAATTATGCTAGAATTCTGTTTTTAATGTAATTATCCAGGAACAAGAATGGTAGGTACATATTTTTTGTAGAATTTCGACCAAGAATAATTAAAAATGACAATAATATTAATTAAGATTTTGAGCGATTTATCTTTAATTTATTAAAATCAAACATACCCAAACTTGTCCCATTGAAAATAAATCTAATAGTTTAACAATATATCTTTTTTTTTTGATAATTCTCTTATTTTAAATATTAGTCCATTCCTATTGGCACTTATTTGCAAGTGTATTTTATTTGAAAAAATGATAGAGGCTTAATAAGTAGAACAACCTGGTTGGTTCTGTGTCAGTTATTGGCTCCATCATTTCTTTACAAGGAAATTTGCATTGAAGAAACAATTAACTAAGGCTATCAAAAAATAAATAAACAAAACCAAAAATTGTGCAAAAAAAAAGTATAACCAAATTCTACAATGTTTCAGTTTATAAAAGTAAGGGGCACTCACTCGATAAGCACATACTTGGAATTGACAAAAATACAAAAGTAAGATAAAATGCATTTTTTATTCCAGGCTCTTGTTGAATAGTCAATTCCGAATCAAAAACAGTCACTCTTCATTGCATTCCAAATTATAAACTACAATAATCATCATCATCTGAATGGCAGTGACTAAGTTGCTGGTTCCCGCGATATGTTTCTTGGACTTTGCATGTCAGACTAGGACCTCCATCTTGTTCGCTTTCCTCAACACCCTAATTTGTCCCGGTTGAACCTCCGGAAGACCGCATTTGAACGTAAACGTCACCGTTTGTGAACCAAAATTAGCTTCAAACCTTTAGAAAAACTTGTAAAATTGAATCGGTTAAAAACCAAAGGTACTTACTCGGTCGTAATGTTAACTTCGGGCGGTTTCCCGGTGGCATTTTGAACGACCAAAAACAGTTTGGTGACGATTTCTATGACGTGGCCAGTTTGGAAAACGAAATCGCCCTTTTTTTTGCTCAGGTCGCTCTGAAATAGGCAGCCCGGAGTGTCAGAGGTCACACTAGATGTTTCTGGGTTCACTACTGACGACTAGCAAATAGATACAGAGAAGGTAACTAATACAATAGATTCTAGCTCTCTAGAGGAAGCTACTTTATACAGTTATAGCAGTGATTACATACTAATATTTCTAGAAAATCACCAGATGATTTTTAAAAGAAAGTAATAAATAGTCTACGAGAAGTCTAAATTAATTTTATTTGAAGATAATATTGCTAATATTTCTAAAACTACATTGACGAAAAAATAGGGTTTTTAAATTGATTTCCAGTGTTCCCGATAATATCACAAAAGGTACGATGAAATAACCTTGGGTACGATGGACGTTTTTCAATTTTCGTCCGAAAGCAAGGATCATTTTTTAAGGAAGTATCGAATATTTCCAAGGCCCAGTTGTACGATCTCGGTTCAGAACAAAGTTCAACTGAGCTTGACTGATAACACTGGTACTTGGGCTTGAGGCACCAGTCGAGTTCAGCTGAACTCTGCTTTGAACCAAGATTGTACAACTGGGCCCAAGTAATATATTTCATTTTAAGCCTCTTACCGCTCTAACATGGACTACCGCCACATCATCTAAAAAAGGAGACAAAGACATTCGATATATCTCAGTTGCAGGTACTCGGTATTTTATTTGCAATGTTCTTTGGTCCAAAATTAGCATGGATCTGGTCGATATCACTAATAAAATAGGAACAAACTGAAAACAAGTTGAATTAGTTTTGGTTTTATTTTAATAAACACGTTTACGTACTTTTCCACTAGACCTAGCAATTTTATTAATAATATCAGCAAAAACTACGTATTGGTCGTTATTTTCTAAGCTCATCTTTTTCCATTGGACATTTTGTCTCAGGCGCACGTAATCGCCCAAAAACGGGTGTGAAACGCTATTAAGAAAATCATTCAATTAATTCTATTCAATGACTATAGGAATTTTACCTTCTGGGATATGAACACTTTCTATCTTTAAAAATAAAACTGGCAGTAACTTTTTCCCTCATCCTGTTCCTCGCAGTCTGGTCAAATGTTGACCTATATTTATGGCACCGCCACCTGTGGTGTATTTTTTTAAGTAAATTGCTAGTTTCAGACAACCTAGGCATACAATTGGACCAGTCACGGCACAGGGGTGAGTCGCTGTCAGCCGGCAGTTTTTTTAACAATTCCAAAAGGTACTGTCGTCTCTAAAAATCCAATAATAATCTTTTATACGAAAAAAAAAATTACTATTTCGTACTTTCCACTGAATATAATGTCTTTGTATAACTCTGGTGGCCCATTCGACTTGTTTTCGGTGTTTTACGATTCGATATTCTTTTCTCGCCTAAAAAATAGGATAGCTTTGAATATTTTCTGCAGTCTTTTTTATAAAGAAACAAGTCTCGAATCTACCCATTATCTAACAAGGCAGGGCTCAATTCATAAGAAAAATAATTCATTTTTCAAATCAACCATAATCTGGCATTCGTAATGCATTATTCAATGGGTTATGATTGCCACTTAATTGAGAAAATCGAAAAATATCACTATTTTGAGTTTTAAATGTTCACAACTGTTCACTAACAATACCCTGACTCAAAAAAAGCAGAATACACTTTTGTACCTTGAAAAAAATAATTTAAAATTCACTTATATAGCCTAGTTCCTAAATCAACCAAAATTAATACTTTCTATTGCTGCATTTCATAGGCAATTTCAAAGCACTTTTAGCCTACTAGAGTCTGAAAGAAAAACCCATTTACCACGTGATACAAACACCACAAATGCCCGCGTCCCGGGAAAGTAATTCCATGTTTTAATTCCTAAATATATAAACAATTTTAAACAAAAAAAAAAGTTAAACAAATCACTTACCCTCCAGCTACGCCAAGCCGAAGCGATAATCATCTGACTGTGTTTCAGCTTCTGATATTCCTTTTTCCGACTGTACCCTCTCCATATTTTTTGTATCAGCAAGGCCAAATCGTGCAAACGTTTCTTGCGGAAATCTTCTAGTTCGAACACAGTTCTCGGACTCCTGATGAACAATTTGGTGCGGCCGAAAGTGAATTCGGCACTGGGTATCGGTAAACCTCTGATTAAAACCGAGACGCCTTCTATGGGCGAGCCTCGCCATTTGGGCCACGTATGAGGACAAATCATTTTGTAGCGGCACAGGAATTGGAGGAAAGGCATTTTTTGACAGTAGCCTGAACGCCAAATTTGGACTGTTGATAGTAGGCACATGTATCTGACCTAAATGGAAGTTTATTTAAAAAAAAAAAAAGCATATGAGTTTGGCATTGGTAATTTACTTGATGTTGAACCAGAGGCATTTCGAAGAGTTTGGGTTGTTTTGTTTCGTTTGGTTTTATGCATCTGGAAAATAGAGAGTATTGATTTGTAAATTGTACTGGTAGATTCCTTACCTAATGTAATGATTTTGTCTATTCCCTAAGTTCTTCAATAAGGCATTCAATGAAACTTGTATTTGACTTGCTTTACTCACAGGCCTTTTTACACTACACCTGGGAAAATAATTAATAATTAATGGAACAAAAATCTCATAAAAACTACCTTCTGGGATTCCCCTCCGGAAACAGCTCTTGCATAATTTTTAATTCGCACTTAAACATCGTCCTGGAATGTTCTTTGGGCAATTTATCCCGATTCTTTTCAATGAACGTTTTGATTTTGTATGTTACAGTACCAGCAAAGTGTCTTATCCTAGAAAAGAAAATGTTGAGACATACAGTCATGACATGGGCTTCAATGGGACCAGTTGACTTTATAACAATTTCATTATGTGTCTAGTAGATTAGTCCGGTCTGTATAATACTCACTGAAAACAATTAGGTGTGTTCACTTCATCAATTAAACAATGCGTATGCCCCGAACAACATTGTTCCAATCTAGTAAAATATTCGTCGTCCGTTTGTATATGAGGCTCTTCTAATAAAGATAATATTCCATGATTTTCGTGTTCTAACAATTGACATATTGCTCTACGAATATTATTAAATAAAATCATCAAATGAGAAAAATTGGTTTTTGCTTACAAATTATTAAAATATTCGATTTTGGTCCACTCCAACCCCTCCTTGATCATTCCTTCTTGTTCCTCTTTGACGCAAATATTAATCATAAACTGGTGCAATTTTTCATTGCAATAGTTTATAATCAATTGCTCGAAGCTGTTTGTATTAAAACATTCAAAACCGTACAAGTCTAGTACACCTAGAAATTTTCTTTTGCCTAATGATTTTGACTAGAAATATAATCAATTAATATTTTGTAATAGAGAATGAGTTTGATTTACTTTAATGGAATCATTTATCCTATTTATTAACCAAGTAAATAGTCTACTATACAAAGTCCTACATAAAGTATCTTTAACTTTTGTAGCTTCTATTGCACTTAAATCCGTCAAAACTCCATCTTCAATTTGCTTACTGATCAGAATTCTTTGAATCCATCTATTATCGGCCAAAAGCAACTCACAAACTTCAAATAATTCTATAAATGACAACACATTTTTACAAATACTACTAAAAAGTAAGCAATTCCTTACCATAATCGTTACTAATAGTACACCCGTCAGTACCGTCAATATTATTACAAGGCACGAATTGTAAATTACCTAATTTCAAAATAACAGCTAAAACTCTAAAAATATCAACAATATCGCTAGGCGAGAAACCCAGTATTTCTAGGGCCCCTTTGGTGTATACGAATAGTTTTTTGTCGTCGTCTTCAGTCACCGTCGGATGATTCGATTCGGTTTGAAGTATGGCGTATTGTTCTGCGTTACGTTGAAGTTTTAAGCACTCTAAAAAAGATTATTAGTTTATATTCATATAGTAGTAAGTAGTGGGTAACTTTAAGAAGTAATATAAAAATAGTAATATAGTATTATAATCATGCCAATCATCACTCAGTATGTCTCAAATATGATTGAAATGATTCTACTTCAACAGTGGAAGTTCGAGTGCAATTTTAATGGCTCTTCCATCCATTGAACCTGCCTCAGTTAACATTTAACAGTTTGTACCTAATTTTCAAGGCAGATAGGCTTAACGGGGTAGCACAATATGCCTTAAGGCTGCAGTACAGTTGGTAGAATTTGAAAAGTTTTGTAGAACCATGCCAATTTCAAATACAGACTTTCTTTTAGGAAACCATTCTCACATCTACCCATAAAGAAGTGGGGCACAATTCATAAGAATAATAATCTGGCATATGGCCATACCATACCTAGTGCATTATTTAATTGGTTATGATTGGCACTTTTTTATGTTTACTAGTCAACCTAATACACAGACACACTTTTACCTTTGACTTTTTTTACAGTTATTTAAAGCCTAGTTTAAATATAAAATAACTTACTCAGTAAATGTATATCGGCCCCACTTAATAGTTGATAGAATATGTGAAAATTTCTGTCGTGTAAACCCAAATTAGTTACTCTTGCCTAAAATAAAAATTATTCTTTCAAATTCCAAAGCAAAACTTGATTTATAAAAAAATTACCTTATCCAAAAAATCTGTTAGCATAAAATAGAAACAAATAAAAATATCAAAAATCAATCAGTACAAATAATATAGGTACTTACAGTTGGTCAAGTGACCCCCAATAGGATCGCCTCTAAAATCAAATTCTATATCCAAAAATTTGCCCTACAAAAACACAATCAATAAATAAATAACTCGCGAAATACATTCTACTGACAAATCTTGAAGCGTTATCATTTTTCATAGTTTTAGCATTCCCGAAAGCTTCCAGGAGGGTATTGGCTTGCAGCAAACGGTCGTTTATTGTCTTTACTTCGGGGGATTCACCGGAGACGAGAACCAAAAATTGCAGAACTATTCTGGCCGCTTCGGTTTTCCCGGCACCACTTTCACCTAATAATAAGTATCAGTTGAAACGGGTTTTTCTTGTAAGTAGTTTCCTTTTACCTGTTACAATGATACATTGGTTTTCGCTTTTGTCGTTTAACCATCTGTAAGCTGATTCCGCAACACCATATCTGCAAAGAATAATTTTAGCTATTCTATATTTTCTTAAATTTATATGTATTGTTGTTTAAATATTATTACAAAATATTTTTTTCTTGTTCTTAATTATATTAGAAAGAATTTTTTTATCATCTGAAACGTAATAGGTACATTTCAATGTTTCTAAATCCGTATTCACTTACATATGGGGTGGTAATTGAAAAGGAGGCTTTTTCACATAACTCTCAACCAAATCGGCAGAATAAAGAGCCAATTTCCTGTAGGGATTTATCGAAACCAACACATTTCCAATATAAGTATAAATGTGATCCCTTTTAAACCGTTGCTGCAAGTTTCCAATAAAACTATCTTCCGTAAGGGGATCTAATAGAACAGTATCCCATGCTCCAACTTCCTGGTTCAAGCTGAGCATCGCACGGGTCTGGAAAAAAATTGAGTTTTACTCGAAATTTGTTCATACAAAAAATCCTTACCCTTCTTGATATGCCGCCCCCCTGGCGGCATTTAGCTTCGCAGTTCCTTTTCAGTGTGCCCCACAAATCAACAGGATAAAGGGAACACCTAAAATCGGGCCAACGGGAGCGACAGCGTAAAAGGTCAGTTTCATTATAAGGGCACAAACCGTGGAACAATTAAATGACCTAATTTTCGAAAGGGGAAATTTGTGTTTGGATCTTGCCTGCTGCCTGGGTTCTCCTCGCAGGAGAAAATCGAACATTGTCACTGTCAACGTCGCGAAAAGGGAAACTCTTCTTTTTTCGCGTTGTTGCTTTTGCCCTTTTTCCCACCCTAGATAATTTTCAATGCGCACTTATTTCCTGCTGTGCGGTAAGCTGATTTTTCTCGCACCTATTTGCGAGCTCAAAGTACTTAGTACTTTTACGTAGAGTACCTACTTTGCCGCACTCTAAAATTTCCATTATGATTCAATATTCGTAGTTGATATAAGACCGTTTTTATGTGGTAGGTATTTTTATTTTTTTTTTATGCAAGTTGTGTCGAGAAAAATCTTGTACTTAACACATGCGTAAAATAACTTTTCTGCACTTGATAACTGATCAAAGTTTTGGGGATTAAAATGGGTTGAAACCAATGACGTTGAACCAATTCCCAGAGGAATTTCCAGGTAATGAAAAGACGGCAATTTGACCAAGAGTAATGTCTGTGCAAAATACTAAGCATCAAAGCTGAGGTAGCTACCTACTACTTAAAAATGTAGGTACTGAAAATTTGGATCTACTTAAGTAGTTTTCAAATGTATTTTAACTATTTTAAGTACCAGGTAGGTACCTAACTACTTATCATTCAGTATTTTACTTAAAAGTCCTAAAATATGCACTCAAGTACTCAAATGAAAAACTCTATACCATTTCCAAATCCAAGCGAAATAGGGCAATTTGATGTTTGACGTACAAGATGGCGCCGCGACATAACAAACTTAACGTCCATAAGAGACTGTGTATTTTCCTAGTAGGTATTTTTTTGTTTGTTTGAGAACGTTTTTTGATAGAAATTTTTACATTCATTTTTACAGCTTCTTGGGGTCCGTTTTGTATCTGATGCCCAGGTATTTTATTTGTAAATAAATATTCCAAGTAATTCGGTTTGAACTATGAATATTAAAGGAAATTGAAATAAATCAAAATTCTCAAATCAAAATAAACTCTGGAACAGGTAGAAATAACACACATTTTTGTGGAGGCAATGTTTGTTAACATTTCGGGCCGCATCGCCATCTTGAATTATCAGCTGATTCGAATTGCCTACCCTACCTGGACCAGTGCGCATGCTCGGAGGACATTTAATAGGTTGTAATGGGTACATTCAGGAGGCGTCAGCGGCTTAGTTCAGCCACTCAGCGGGAACTTTATTCTCGAAACAGGGGAGCAGCGTTCTCATTGGAACGAAGGTTCTGTCTTTGTCGTCCGACGACAATGACAGAGCAATCTTTCTTATGAGAACGCTGTTCCTTGATTTCGAGAATAGAGTCCCTGCTGAGTAGCTGAGCTTAGCCGCTGGGACCGCCTGAATGTACGCAATGTTTATGGTTGTAATCAGGGATGTGCCGTAGACTATGAAATCTATTTTATGCGGTTTGTCTACTCGTTGTCTACGTATCGTTTACATCCACTTTTTTCCATGTAGACTATGTAAATTATGTAGACAATGTAGACAACAGAAAATTTTGAAATTTGAGTAATTTTTTTGAAAGTTTGCATTGCAATAAATTTATATTGTATCAAATTAGACATTATCTGCAGTTTAATTAACATTACAAAGCGAAAAACAAAACAAAGCAAAAACCAATGGCAAAAACAGAAACATAACCTTAAAGACCTGCCAACTGTCAAAAATTGTATACTTTACGCGTTGTCTACATATTTTACACGTTGTCTACATAATTTACATTGTCTACGCGTTGTTTACACCAGACGTAGACAATCTTTGTTTACGCGTAGATGCCCATCTTTGGTTGTAATGTAAATGACCAGTTGATGTCATTTGTGTGATCAAATACTTTAAGTACAGGGTGTTTCAAATTTGAGATTATTTGAATTAACATTTTTGAAGTGAATTTTTTTAGGCGGCGCGGCGGTCTGATATTTGGACGATAATGGAGAGTGATTTGAAAAGCGCGTCACGTTCTGATAAATCTAGTTACACGAGAGAGAAGAAAAATATAACGTAGAGGGACGGAGAAAGACAGCCAATGCCAATGACAGCTGACTAACGAGTGACAAAAACAAAAAATCATTAAATGCCAAGGACTTCCAAATTCCATTTTAGAATTTTTTGGCATTTTTTGGAATTTTTTGCATTTTTGAAGCTTTGACGACAATAGAGAGTGATTTGAAAAACGTGTCACGGGCAATTTTTGTTAATCGAGAGGGAAGAAAAATAGAAAGATATAGCGTAAAGAGACGGAGAAAGACAGCTATTAATTGACACAACCCGAGGAATATAAGCACAAAGAGGATTGCCTATTATTGACAAGCACCGATACCCTTGTGACGTAACTACAGATGCTCGTCTTTCTTCTGTTATACCGGGTGACAACGAAATCGTTATACGTTATTTAAAAATTTGTAAATCGGGTGGAACGGGTAAGTCATTGAGATGCACACTTTTCATAAAAAACAATTGAATATCACTTCCGGTTACTTTGGAAATGGACCCAAGTCAAGAAATTTTTATGGAACCCTGTATATTTTTTTACACAGTTGGATAGAGCTTAAAATTCCCTTTTCAATGACATATGATGAGTGGAATTTGTTTTTAAGATGGCCGCGTGAGAAGGCACTTTCTTAAATTCAATATGGCGGCATTCTGACCTAACCTTTGAATACCTAACCGAAAAATGAATATGCATTTTGGTAGACATTTTTCGGTAGGCCATTGAACACACGTTAATTCTAGAATTTAATAAGTACCTCTTCCTATTCAAATTTTTTTGAAAAGGACCCCGCACACCTCTTATGGGTTTTTGGTTTTCTGTCAAACTCAATGAAATTTTGATATGTGGTATATCTTGACTTACTGATAAAAAGTTCTCATGGACCCAACATGATACTATGAATAGTTTCCGAAATACAGGTGGTTTAATGTCCAAGAAATGTACACATTTTATATGCATTCACATCTACCTGTCACCTATTAATAGGTCTGTCAGAGTGAATTTCGTTGGTTGAAACTAGTTTTCTGACTGTTTCTGACTATTTTCGACCAATCAAATTCGCTCTGACGGGTTTGTGATTTTTGCAGAAACATACCTCTAATATTAGGTGACAGGTAGATGTGAATACATATAAAACCTAATCTAAGAATCCTTAATAAAAAAACATTCTTTGTAACTCAGGGAAGTATATCTCCACTAAATAATATGCTGGCAAATTGTAATGCTTTGTCAGAGTCTAAAGATTTTGATATATTTAAAACTAATGCCAAAGAAATCAGGTTACTGTTTACTTGTTAATTATATAAGTGTTAAATGTTAAATGAGTTATGAATTGATTTTATACACACCTGGTCAATTATGTTGTTTGTGATAAATTAGTGTGATATATTTTATATGTACATCATGTCCTTTTTTACCTTTTGTTTTTTAATAATTTTTAATCTAGTTCTAGTTTGTTAAGTATTTTTTTTGAGACCCTAGTGTCTATTCTTTGCATATAATTACTGTTTTTCTATATGGTGTTTGTAAAGAATTGAATAAATAAATAAATAAATAAAATAAATAAAATGTGTACATTTCTTGAACATTAAAGTACCTGTATCTCAAAAACTAATCATAGGATTGGTTCAGCCCCATGAGAACTTTTTATCAGGAAGTCAAGGTCTATCACATATCAAAATTTCATTCAGTTTGACAGAAAACCAAAAACCCATAAGAGGTGTGCGGGGTCCTTTGAAACTAAAATTTGCATTTCAAAGAAATTTTAATATGCCCTTGTTTTTGAGCAAAATCATTTTTTTTTTTTCAAATTCGATCTAAAACCATTTTAAATCTAAAAATTATGGATTGTTAAAAGTGTTTGTTTGACAGAAACATTATCGGTTACGTCAGAATGCCGCCATATTGAATTTAAGAAAAATACCTTCTTACGCCGCCATCTTGGAAACAAATGCAAGTTGTGATATGTCATTAGAAAGGGAATTTTAAGCTCTATCCAACTGTGTAAAAAAATATACAGGGTTCCATAAAAATTTCTTAACTTGGGTCCATTTCCGGAGTAACCGGAAGTGATATTCAATTAGGCAATCTCAATCACGTGATTTTATAATGGCCGTTCGGGTCAAATATTGCGGTGACAAGCCGGTGACGTTCATAAGGAGAGCATTTGTGCACATTTGTGTTCTGGCCCTTGTTGCTTTCGAAGTGAATTTTATGTATTTCTACGTATTTTCCATTGGTTTTGGTCATATTGTTGTTTTCATAGTGAATTTTATAGTTTTTAGTATGTCTACGTATTTTTTAGTGTTCTGGTCCTTGTTTACAAAGTGAATTTTATAGTGTTTATAATGTTTCTACGTTTTTTTTAAAATTTAATAATAAATTCTTAGATGGAGAGTGAATATCTTAAGGTATTATTAAGGGAAAATCGAGCCTCTGTTAAATCCTTTCTTTTAATTGCAGCAGTCCATAAAGCCCTGCGTTGTTTTGATAATTCACTTTTGTAGATCAAAAGCCGATGATTTAAAATAGCAGGAACTGAATAAAATTTCACATAAGCCCTGTTACCTCAACTTCCACACCCAATTACGATGCAAATCGCTGGCATTTCAATTAATACAATACCTAAACACACAAAAAAACACAAAATCCGATAAATTAAATCTTGACGTTTGTCCAGATTGTGACAGAATCAATGACATATAGAATAAACAACACAGTGCTTGACCCGAACTTCCATATTGAATTTCGTTTTTGACAGGTCAGTAGATTGCCTAATTGTTTTTTCACGAAAAATGTGCGTCTCAATGACCCGTTCCACCCAATAGACCTATCTATTTTACCAGACAAAGAGGTAATAATACGAAAACTTCATTAAATAAAAAAAGACACAGAACGCTGATTGCGCAAGACGAGGCAAAACGTACCAAATTATGTTAGACTTACGTATAGCAATCCGTCCTTCTTATTTGCACAGGATAAAAAGAAAAGGAGAAAAACCGCGTGTTGTGCAACGTATTTGTCAATGAAAATGTCAAACAACTTTTGAATGACACTTGTCAAATTGAATATCAACTTTAGATTTATTCTTGTCAGATCACGTGTAATGAACAAGGAAAAAGAGATGCCCAGCGTGCAAAACGATTACCTCACACCTGTATTAACTAGCCAATAAAAAGACATTGCCTCGTGTTGCGCGCGCATACCAGGTAAAAATAGATAGGTCTATTTTCAAATTTTTAACTTTAAAGACAACTGAATGACGCCTTGTATAACGATTTCGTTGTCACACGGTATACTATTATCATTGAATTTTGTGAATATTTTCGTGTCCTCCTGTGCTTTTTGAAGTGAAACTTCTTAGGCGGGGTTCTGATATTTGGATGGAGAGTGATTTGAAAGACACGTCACGTTTTGAAAATTTCGTTTCACGAGGGAAAAGAAAAATATAACGTAGTGGAGCGGAGAAAGATATCCAATGACAATGACAGCCGACGAACGATTGACACAAACCAAGAATTATAAACGATTATTGTCAAGCGCCGATACCCTTGTGACGTCACTACAGATGCGCGTTTACCTTCGTCTTTACCCCGAATCATACGTTAAGTCTAAAAGTTGTAGTTGTATGAGGGGGGATAGTTTTTAAATAGTTTCACTTCTACCACGTGTACGGCGTTGCATATTTTTTTTTTTGGTATTAGTGGTACGAGCACGAGCACTGTATCTTTTCCGTATACAAGATTCCAAAAAATGTCAAGAAATTCCATTTTGGAATTTTGGAATTTTTGGAATTTTTTTCATTTTTTTTTTCTGGAATTAGTGGTACGAGCACCAGCACTGTATCTGTTTTGCGCACTCTTACTGTTCCGTTTGTAAGATTCCAAAAAATTAAAAATTCCAAACAACCTACAATGAAAAAATTGAGAAATAAATAGGAAATTTGAGGCAAATCGAGGAAAAACTGCGTTAGACAAAAAGACGCAGTTTTTCCTGGCTCTCATATCTTGTCTATTTTTCTGAATTCTTTTTTTAAAGAAGCTTAGAAGATATTGGGGATTCAAGAGCCAGGAATCGACAAAAATTCAGACTAAGAAATTGGGAAATAGAGAGGAAATTCAAGGTGAATTGAGGAAAAAATGTTAGACAAAAAGACGTAGTGTTATTCCAGGCTCTCATATTTTCTTTATTTTTTCGAATTTTCTTTATTTAAAAAAGCTTAGGAAGATTTCGAAGATTCAATAGCCAGACATCGACAAAAATTCAGACTAAGAAATTGAGAAATAAAGAGGAAATTAAAGATGAATTGAGGAAAAATTGATAGACAAAAAGACGTTATTTTTCTATTCCAGGCTCTCATATGTTGGCTATTTTTGTGATTTTTTTTTATAGAAGCTTAGAAGACAAATATTGAAGATTCAAGAGCCAGGAATTAACATAATTCAAACGAAATGAAGAGGACATTCAGGCAAATTGAGGAAAAGCTGTTAAGCTACGTTTACACTTGGAAAGTATACTGGCGGAAAGTACTTGGCGTCACTAAACTTGTTCTTGTTTTGAGTTTACATATTTTCAAGTTTATTTCATACCAAAAATTTGAAGACACGTTAAGATTAGTTGAACCTCTAAACTGACAAAGTCAGAAACGTGGATGAGAAGTCCTATTGCTCCTAAAAATTGAAAGTCACATTACGATATCTTTCGACTGGTGATAGTTTTGCTTCCTTGCAGTATTTATACAGAAACGTAAACGCCGGTATTTTTGTGAACCGTTTACACACGGAAACTATACCGAGGAAAGTACAGACAGAAATTCGGCAGAACGGCAAGTAAACTAGCCGGTTTATCAACTTTTGGAAAGCACTTTCCGGCAAGTAGCAAGTGCACTTTTCTGTGGTTTATACACGACTAGTTTAGTGGCGGCAAGTACTTTCCGCCAGTGAACTTTCAAAGTGTAAACGTAGCTTTGACAAAAAGGCATAGGTTTCCTAACTTAACTTCAGGTAAAATACTAAACACAAAGCTATTACTATTAATACTTTAATTAAAGTACATTTGCTGAGCGGGCCTGCGAGTGACGTCACCACTATGAGCATCATAGGCAGCTTATAGTATAGTGGTGACGTCACCCGTAGGCTTCCTTTCCCTAACCTCTAACCTCACTTTCATTCCTTTTGAATCTCTCTTTTTTCACTCCTTGTGATGTTATTTAAAACACTTTTCCCCAAATCCAACTTATTACAACAGTTCAAACAGTTTAGCTTATCAAAAATGGCAAAAAGTAAATTCGAATATGTGCGATCTTTCGAATCCGAAGAATATTTGTTACCGAACTGCTGGATAGTGGTGAGAATCGATGGTAAATCATTTCACAAATTTTCCAAGAAACACGATTTTGATAAACCGAATGACCCTAGGGCTTTAGGGCTCATGAACAAAGCTGCCTCTATAGTTTTAGAAGAGTACAAGGACATATTGATAGCTTACGGACAAAGTGATGAGTATTCTTTTGTGCTACGCAAAGACACTCAATTGTACAATAGAAGAAAAAACAAATTGATGACCTACATTAACAGCCTATTTTCATCGTCTTATGTTTATTATTGGAGGGATTATTTCAAAGATGTTAAACTCAAATATCCACCTTCATTTGATTCACGAGTAGTCCTATACCCCACAGATCAAAACCTTCGAGATTACTTGAGCTGGAGGCAAGCAGATTGTCACATAAACAACCTCTACAATACAACTTTTTGGGCTTTGGTCTTAAAAGGAGGCCTCACCACTCAAGAAGCAGAACAACGCCTATGTGGAACCCTATCCAGTGACAAAAACGAAATATTGTTTAAAGAATTTGATACAAATTACAATAATGAACCTTTTATTTATAAAAAAGGCACTATATTGTTGAGGAAAAAAATTAAACATCCAATTAAGGATAAAAATAGGCTTGTAGTGATTCCCTTACACAAGGATCTAATTCAGGATGATTTTTGGACAAGGAACAGTGAAATATTGGACATTAAAGCTTGTGGGTTTTATGAATTTAAATTTAGTGATATTCCAGAGTTAGTTTTAAGCCAATTGCACCATTTGAATATTAAAGATAGTGCAGAGAATGATAGTGATTATAAAAGAGTTTTAAATTAAAATCAAAGATTTGAAAAAAAGAAAATATTGTGGCCTATAGCAACGTTGCCAAATTTACTGGACGCCCCAAAATAAACCTAACCCTATTTTTTATATCTTGATTTTAAATTTACCTATTTGTGTTTCCCATTTCAAATTATAAACCAAAAATGGTAGCTTTTCCTGATCCCAAATTCTTTAACAAAAAGTCAGTCAAATACGGACTTCCTTTTCTTGTATTAATAGTTGGAGGTTCGTTCGGACTAAAAGAATTTACACAGCTTAGGTAAGTTCCATTGTCTGGGTCCAGAATAAGAAGTATTGCATTTTTATTTCAAGATATCAGTTCAGAAAAGTATCCCCATTATCACGTGAAGAATCCATGAAAATGGGCCTCGAAAAAAAACGGCCCGAAGAAGTCACATTAGAAATTGAATACGAGAAAATTAAAAAGTTGGATATTGATAATTGGGAACAAATAAGAGGACCTAGACCTTGGGAGTAGAAACAATAATTTTAATATATTTTATTAGTACATACTGTAAATATTAATAAATTAATACAATTAATTACTAAAACGTGCTAAAAACTTAATTATTTTTCTTTTAAAGCTTTAATCCTAGCATCTAAACTCATCACGGTTTGATTAATTTCATTAAGATTCATTGCAAAACTCTCTTGAACTCCTTGCAATAGAGTTTTATTATTCTGAACATTACTGTTTATTTCTGATTGGGCCAATTCCATTTGTGTCAAGGTCTTGCAAAATTCAGTTGCCTTATTATGCAGAGCTTCTAAAGATTTCAATCTCTCAATAGTCTGCGGCAGGATTTTATCAATATTTTGATTTTTCACTTGTTCATAAAGTTCCAAAATCATTTTATCCTTTTCTTCATCATGCTGCAACACACTCTTCTTATCGGCAATTTCTTGCAATTTTTGTGACAAAGCAGACAATCTTCCTTCAATATGATCCAACTGAGAAGAATCCAACAAACTTGCAGTGGCACTCAAATATTGTGCAACCTCTAGTAAACTGCCTTTATTAGTAGCAGTAGTTAGTCTTGATAATTTATCTGAAGAAGCTCCTATTACAGACTCCAATCTGTGCAGCCTGCTTTCCAAATCAGCTACACGAGCTGTTTGCTTCAATTTAGCTTGTTCAGGCCTGTAAGTGAATTGATACACAATTCCATCAGCTTCATTGGGTTTTTGGGATCCTGGTTCTTCATTGATGCTTTGTTTAAATTGTTGCAATTGTGCCAAAAGTTTTTGTAGCTGAGCTCCTTCTGGATCTGACATTTTAGCAATTAGTTCTTCACCTAAAGTTTCCTCTAATTTAAGATCTGCTAATAGTTTCAGGGATTGTTCCACTTGTTCAGTTGGAACAAGACAATCCAGTTTGTTGGTGTCTGGATTTTTATTGAGATTGTTGACTTCCTCAAGAAGTTCACTCATTTCGCATTGAAGCCTCTGATACTTTTGTATTGGAGTTTCTTTTTCCCTGGCTCCTGCTAACTCCCAATCTCCACTTCTCGCATCGTATCCTCTACTAATCTTTTTAGTGATGCTGTCGGAAAAGTCAGCGCCGGAGGAGTCGAGGAACTTGCCTTTGAATTTACTGTAAGCCTCGTCGGTAGTGATGTGGATTCTTTGAATACCTTCGCTTTCTGGTTCGTAAAAAACATCGGCCTGATCTGATTCTGGTAAATCTGTTGTTTCGTAGATATCGGGTTCGTCCTGGGCGATGCCTGGTAAATCGGCGTATTTTGGATTGGACATTATGGACATTTTTGAAGGAATGTAATTAATAATTTACTATGAAAATTAACTTTTTAATGGAAAGGAAAAACTATTTTGTGATGAATCAGTTTTTGTTGAAGGACAAGGAAAGGGAGCGAGGTTACAGTGTTGCCAAATGTTCGCCTGGTGAAATCCATTGTCCGAACTAGGACGCATTCAGAGGTGGGTTCGGCTTGCTCACTCCGAGTGACTCCATTCGCACTCCAGCCGTTCGGGTATTGCTTTTTACCGTATTAGGGGTGGCTTCATTAGCTCTGTTCACTCCACTCCAACTCCGCGCTGAATAGCCGAACCCAGCTCAGATTGAACGAGGGGTGACACCCGAACGGGCTCTGGGAGTTCAACTTGAAAAGAAATTATTGCTCGTTTGGTGTAGTCGAACACAAGACATTTTGTTATAAAATTCATGATCTCACAGAAATCTAAACCGTGTTACAAGCTCCGGAGCTACTCGTTTGGTGTCATTCGGAGTAACTTCAAAACAGAACTTCTTTTTTGTACTCGGTTTGTATCACATAATTGTACAGTGATTTTCGGCGAGGCAACTCATTTCGTGTAAACTTAAGCCTACCATATTATTCTGATGAAAAAACGGGACATTTTCATGAAGGAGATGTTTCATGTATTTATAAAAAAAATAACGCCGCAGACCAATTTTTTTTACCGGATCACGCCCGATTTCATTGTTCTTTATTAAATAACTATCTACTTCGGCGATTTTATCTCAAAAGACGCATGAATCCAGTCAAAATCCGTAGGCCGAACCCAAGGATAATACACAAACTACTACTACAGGATAGCCTATCCTTATAAGGCCTGTGTGGAACAAATCTGAAGCCCCCCACCACGCTAAATCACCAGTTGTGACGTTGGCTGTTTGCACCACAGGCTATGAATCCGCGGGCTTTTGCTTTATGCATACTTGGTTTTACTACATTAATTAACATTCTAAAACAACTCTTTTTTAGATATCGTTTTCATCTTCCTCTTTGCCTATTATGAAATTTTATAATAATTTTCTTCATAAAGGATAACGCACACCTAACATGGGATTTTTGGGCTCTATGGATTTTTCCCATTTTTTGATATGTTGTAGAGGATTTAATTCTGAACAACCTTTAAATGGGACGAAATCTTGTAGGTATAACGGTCTTTGAGATATGAGCGTTGAAAAATGAACTTTTTTGCGACTTTTTGTGTGGAGAGTATACGAGATACTGGTGCTACTGGTGTTTATCAGTCAAAATATTGACAGGTTCACATATTTTACGTCACTAAAAATTAATGTCAACATAGGTTAAGGCCAGGTCTGCACTGGGTGGGGTCAATGTTAGCGCCAGTGCGGTCCCGACCTTAGCCTATGTTGACATTTGTTAGTGACGTGAAATATGTCAACCTGTCAAAATTTTGACTGATAAACACCAGTTTTTCGTATACTCTTCACACAAAAAGTCGCAAAAAAGTTCATATTTCAATGTTCATATCTTAAAAACCATAAAACCTACAAGATTTCGTCCCATTTAAAGGTTGTTAAGAATTAAATCCTCTACAACATATCAAAAAATGGGCAAAATCCATAGAGCATAGAGCCCAGAAATCCCATGTTAGGTGTGCGTTATCCTTTAAATTCTAAACTACGACCGCTAGTGCAAATAAACATTGTTTCACGAGGGTTCATACTTTTTGCCTTCCTTTTTTAACAAATGGAAATTGACTGAAACAAATCAATGACGTCAAAAACGTTCGGTGTTTCTTAAACCAGAAGTCATTAATTTTAAGCCGATTAAACGCGATGGAATATTAATAACCTAGTTAAAAATGGTATTACCATTCACGTAAACGCGGTTTTGGTTATTTTTGATCATTCGGTAGTGACGTCATCATTTGGCCCTTTGTGACGTATTGAATCAGCTGTTTTTATCTTTGGTTCAACCATTTTTAACCTACCTCTGGAGCTAGGTTATTATGTTCTGTCCTTGTCTGAAAAAGTAAATAAAGGAGAAATACCCGAAATGGCGGATTTTGACGGGTTTTTCGTTGTTCTGTTGTGTTTTGTATGTTGTATTTTTTTGTGCAACTCCAAAAAATGAACTTCGAACTGATCGAAAAATCAATCTTTGAAGATTTGATCTAGGTTAACACAAAACTAAACACTAAAACTTCACCAAATAATAAACATAATAATAATGTACCTTACTTTAGGTGAAAATTTAACAAAAAATAATCACAAGACAGAACAGAACGGAATAAACAAAAAAATTGGGGTTAACGGAATAACCATAGCATAAACGCGAGCTCTCAGGTTAATCAAAAAGGGTCGACAATCGCTGTTTCAAAGATAACCAAAGGACTGACCAAAGATATCACCGCGGTTAACAATATTCCATCGCGTTTAATCGGCTTTAATTTGTCAAAAAAATTGAATGTGTCATATGAATTAATCTACGACAACCATTTTTTTCCAAGTTATGGCGTGTTCGATATCAAAAGTATGAACCCTGGTAAAACGAACCTTACCTAGCTGACGACTTAACACCCATATGCACCGTATGGACTTAAGAATTTAATCTCGCTTAGTTCGAGAATTTGCATATAAAAAAGACGTCCTAAGTCCTAATCTAGTTTTAGCAACTAATCTGGATTGAATCCCTACGGTGCATTTGGGCGTTAGTTAATGACGTCTGACGTCGCACATGGTGACACCAATATGGACAATATGGCGGCGATTACCAAAAACGAGGCCTATAAGCTTAGATTAGGGAAGAGAGTGGATACCGCGCATCCTATAGGCGCACTAATTCGATTCTGTTACCACGCGGCCATTGTTTATGTGGCAGACAAAGGGAATGCAGTGCTTGTTATTTTTCGTGTATTTTTCAGTGAAAATCAGCAATGAATTGAACAATAGTGAATTTTACGATGGAGAATTGTTCAGCCTATGGATTTAAAAGTCGCGGCGTGAAAAAGGAAGCAGGATATTTTTGTATTATTAAAACCTGTTTAAAAAAATCCTATCTTGTCATGTTTTATTTTATATATCAAATTGTCCCGAAAAATAAATAAAAATGCAGAAAACTATTTAAGGTTTAAAGTCAACCCCCATTTTCTGAACCTTGTGTTCAAAAATTCCAAAAAAAATATATGTTTTATGGTTATTGATATACTTTAATCCATAATTTTTTTAAGCAAATTTGACTCGCCATTTTTGAGTTATATCGCAAAAACTGAAAAAAAAGTGGTTTTTCACCATTTATTTCAAAACGAATAGATGAAGTTTCCCGTTATCTTTATTACGAACTACTATTGCAATTCTACGCGACATATATTTTTTTCAAATTTTTTGAACTTGTAGTTTTCTCGCTACTGCAAGAATAGTTGGAAATACGCCTGTAGCTACACTGTTTAAACAAAAATCCGACGGATGAACGTTCAAAATTATTTGTGTTGGTCCAAACTACAACCCTGTTTATGTAAAACAGAATAATACTTCGAATTTCCGCAAAAAAAAGAAAAAACTTTGCATCACACAATTTAATCAAATGCAGATTTCTATTTTTTTTTGACTATCAAGTTAAGGCACACTATAGGGCGACAGTACTGACATCTCGCGTTGCTATAATAAACTATATGCCTGACTTTAAACCTTAAATAGCACCTCATAAGATATTTTTATCCTTTGACGTTTAAAAATGACATTATTGAACGCATAATAACAAAGGTATAAGTAGACGTTTATCACCTCAGTGATTTAAAATATTTTTAACTCACTGTCGGTCTTTTAAGTCACTCTACCAGTATAGAATCTGCTGCAAATACAAACAAACAACTAAGTTATACCCTAGCAACCAATTTCAATATTTAGACGTTTTCATATGCTGCTTAATGAATTCTTTTTATAATTTGATTCCTATTAATTTAAATGTCCATCAAAATAGGATAAAATTTTGTATACATCACGTGAGTTAACATGTTTATTCATTCGAAGAAAATTAACCCACTCGCTAAGGCTCGTGGGTTAAACTTTCTTCTCATGAATAAACATTCATTTAACTCACTTGGTGTATATTATCAATCTGAAACATTAAATTTCCCATTATTAATACCTTAAAATAAAAATAAATCGAAAATTGATAATCATTGGCGATGTGGTAACAAATGCCTTTGAGTTGTTACGCATCCACTCTCTTCTCTAATCTAAGTTATTTATAAGTATCCGTAGTAGTGTCGCTGAGACTAGAGATGAGGCGCAAAAATCGAATTATTTTACGGTTTTTAAAATATCAGAGAATACGGGACATTTACGTGTCCCGACAACAAATTTGGGGACGCGGGACATGGACCTTGAAATAAGGTACTGTCCCGTATAATAAAGGACGTATGGCAGGCTTATGTAAACTGAACTTTCGATTTCGATATTTATTACTTTCTAGTTGGTAAGCTGGGTTCCGCTTGCTGGCTCTGTGCACTCCAAGGGGCTTTGGCCGTTATCTAAGCCACTTTCGGGTGCTCCTATTTAAGAACACTTCACACCCTGTCAGTGACCTGTCATACTCCTTGCATTTTGCACTCAAACGCTTGACACCGAACGGGTCAAACTGTAGCGGGAGTACTTCGGAGTAACTCGGGAGCGCTCAAAAGGAGGCACTCGAAAGCAGCTCTAATACGCGAAAAAGCGATACCGCCGATACCCGAACGACTGGAGTGCGAATGGCGTCACTCGGAGTGAGCAAGCCGAACCGAACTATTGCTCAAAAATTACGAAAATTATTAAAACTTGAACCGTTCGGAATCTTTTTAGGATTTTCCGAAAACACTTTCTGTACTGTCAGAAATAGGCAACCAACTATACACAAATAAACAAATCGGATTGGTCAGCGAAATGCGACGCGTCCTCTGTCGTTCTCTTTTCGCAGCGGTCCTTTTACTAAAGTGATCGTCTGTTCGTAGACTTAAATTTATTTTCCCAAAAATATTTAGGGCATCCTAAATAGTTTTGCAAATCAAAATGGTCCAGAAGAAAGTGAGTTTCCTCTATTTTCTACTTATGTGCGTATTTTTTAGATATTTTATTTACGTTGTCCGAAAAAGGTGATGTTAATTTTGGTATTGTAACTTTTTGTAATATTGAGTTTTTAAGTAAGTAATTTTTGTGCTAACAAGCTCAAATAGGCTTTAATTTAAATAATCTAATAAATTATATCAGTATTATTTCAATAGAAATAAAATTATTACATATTGTTTATAATTTTGAGGTTATGTTTATTGGCAAGTTAACATCACATTTGGGGCCCCCCCTAATTCATATGATGACCGTATTTGCTATCTGAAAGTTTTTGAAGAAAGCCTAACTACCACCAATATTAGTTGGACTGAGTTTTTCTTGAATCAATACATAACAAATTTATATCGACGGCATGCTATAAAGTAATTTTTGCTTGGTTTTCAGCCCAAGAAGAAGACTGGCGGTAAAAAAGTGGCAGCAGCTCCTCTTGCTGTAAAAAAAGTAGAAGCCAAGAAAGAAGTAAATCCTTTATTCGAAAAGAGGCCAAGAAACTTTGGAATTGGTAAGTGTAAATTCTAATTTGTGAATATTAATAAATTGGGTGTCCCTAATCACCCGGATCTTCCGGTTGAATTTTTTTTTTTTTATTAGCCAGGAATTTCCGGATTATTATTATATTATTATTCGTCCGGATTGTTTTTTTACTTGTGTACCAGTTTACCAGTAGTCCAGTACACTTATATCCAGTATTAAATGAACTGTAATGAAACTAACCAAAAATATGCAAACTAGCCCAAACTAACCCGTCCACATAATGCGTATTAGTCCTTGCATGTATTGAATTAAGATAAAAAACAGCAACAAATCAAATCAAAATAAGCTTTATTGTCTAAAAAATACCATTGTTTTTCATTGACAAAGCAAAATTCTTATTACTAATTAATTCTAAGTAAATTAAGTTAAATTTTTACCACAATTATGAACCTTAAAAAAGACAAAAATCATTAATCAAATCACTAGTTCAAACTATAAACTTATGGTGCAAATTAGGTTAATAAACATAAATAAGAACTTTATGAGAAAAAAAAAAAAACAGAATAAATATAAATAAATAAATAAAATTTAACTTTTTAGTCGTCAGTTTAAAAATAAAATAAAAAACAAACGATATAAAAAACAAACAACAAAGAGTAAAACATCTATGTGGTAAAAGTAAAAAACAAACTATAATTTGTGTGACTGTTTTGTGAAGGGAAGGCCAAGACGCACTCAGCGCATTGTATTCTATAACTCAACATGTACCAAAACCTATAAAAATTATATCCTATTTTCCAATTGGATCCTCTACCTAACACACATGATCATAAAATTCCTTAAGACTATAAAAAGCTTTAGTGACTAGATGTTGCCTGACTAATGAGCGAAATATATCATATCTGTTACAGTTCTTTATTTGTTGAGGTAGATGATTAAACATTTTTATACTTTCGTATATAACTGAATTTTTTGTAAGAGTAAATCTAGGTACTGGCAAAGGCAAATTATCCTGACGCAGGTTATAGTTAGTTGTTTGAACGAAACCAGAGAATTTTTTAAAAATGAGACTCACAGATTCTAAAATAAAAAGAGAGGGCACAGTCAAAATTTCTTCCTGCACAAACAATGGTCTGCATGATTCTCTACAGCTTTTTTTACAAAGGTAACGAATCGCTCTTTTTTTGCAGAACAAACACTGCTTGAAGTGACTTTTGGGTTGAGTAACCCCAGAAAGCTATGCCATATCTTATATGTGACTCCAATAAAGAAAAGTATGCTATTTTGGCATTTGCTTTGCCAAGTTCATGTACCACAGTTCGAATAATGTAGCATGCACTAGCCAGTTTGCGATTTAGGCAGTCAATATGATTTTCAAATTTAAGAAGTTCATCAATATGGAGTCCTAAGTATTTGACAGTTGGCTTATTCTCTACAGTTTCATCCTGCAGCTTTATGTCTGTTACACTGCACTTGAATGTTAGAATATTGGTTTTTTGACTGTTGAAGCACAGTTGATTTGAATCGCACCATTTCTTTATTTCCAGTAGATCAGCTTCAATAGTAGATTTAAATTGGACTAAACTCTGGATTGTATTTTTTGAAGTCCACAGCCCGTTAGTATCATCAGCAAAAGCTGACAGCTTTCCTGAAATCAGCAACGAGAGAAGATCATTGATGTAAATTAGGAATAATACTGGTCCTAGGACAGATCCCTGAGGAACTCCCTGCACTATCCTCTCCCTTTCAGAATAAACCCCATTAACATGCACAAGTTGCTGCCTTTCTGAAAGCATTGAACTAAACCAGTTTAACGAAGTTCCTTGGATGCCATAATGATGAAGTTTCTGCAGCAGTATTCCGTGATCCACACAGTCAAACGCTTTTGAAAAATCACAGAACACTGCCGCAGCGACCTCTCTATCGTTTAGACTTGGATAAAGTTTTTCTAAGAACGCAAAGATGGCATCATTTGTACTCCTCGAACTCTGGAAGCCAAACTGGTTTTTATTTAAAATGTTGTGACAGTTAAGATAGTACATTAGTTGCTCCTTAACGATCTTCTCCATCACTTTGGATATCGTACTAAGTAAAGAAATGGGGCGATAGTTTGATGGATTATCACTGTTTCCTCCTTTAAAGATGGGTATGACTACTGCAGTCTTCAGACAGTCAGGGAAAATTCCTTTAGTAAGGGACCAGTTTATTGAATCTGCAAGAGCTTCCAAGGCATTTCCTGGTAATTTTTTAATAATTTTGATTGAGATGTTATCCACCCCAGAGGTATTCTGTTTTTTAATCATATTGCAAATCTTTATAATTTCCCGTTTGTTTGTCATACTGAACTGAAATTTTACTGCATGTAATATCTGTGGCAAATAAGTTACAGGATCGATATTAGAAGACAAGTTTTGAGTCAATTTTTGAGCAATTGAAGTATAGAATGAATTTAGCTCTTGAGGATGAATATCAATTAAATTCTCTGATTTTGTCTTTTTACCCCTAATTTCGTTAATAATCCCCCAATATTCCTTACTCTTGTTTTCAGCCCTATTTATTCTTTTCTCGTATTGAAGCCTTTTTGCCTTCCGATTTTTATTAAAGTAGTCTAAAAAACTTTGACAGTTGGTGAATTTCCTGATCGTATGTAGACTTCTCAAATTTTTAGCTGAAACCTTAAGTCCTTAGTTAGCCAGACTTTGGTAGTTTTAGTTTTGATTTTTCTTAAAGGAGCAACAAATAACAAAACTTTGTTATTAACTAGTAGTCCAGTACACTTATATCCAGTATTAAATGAACTGCAATGAAACTAACCAAAAATATGCAAACTAGCCTAAACTAACCCGTCCACGTAATGCGTACTAGTCCTTGCATTGTCGAAAAATTTCAAAAATCGAATTTCAAAAAAAAAAATTCTATCGGATAGAGGAGCAAAAAATACGTCGAAAAGTTAATTTGACCCTTCCCGCTGCGGCACATCTTAAGGCCAAAAAAAAATAAAAAAGGAAATTTTGATTTTGATCAGAAAAAAAATTTGGGTATACGACACAAGACCACTTTTTCGCCTATAACTCCGCTATTTTTTCTTAACCGATCGTTTCGAGTCATATCTCATTTGAAAGAGGATAAAATTACCTACAAAATATTTTTTTATTGAGATTCCAGGCCGTTTTTGTCTTGGAGATATTGGCCGTCAAAGTTGAAATTTCTTGTAATTTTGTTAAAATTTTCGAGGTCGAATTTCTCGAAAACAGTGCCCCCTGGAGGGATACTTCTTATAGGCTTTTTTGTAGTACTCGACGAGATCTATAAGTTTTACATTTAAAGTTTTACTCCCAAGCTTTTCGTTTTCGAGTTAGGACGGTTTGAAAATTTAAAAAAAAAAATTGAAGGCTATACCCCTTGAATAAATATCGAATTTCAAAAAAAAAAATTAAAAATCTATCGGATAGAGGAGCAAAAGTTAGTTTGTGAATTCACACGTTTTTTTTCACAGAAAAGCCAAATTTACATTTTTTTACGAAATTTCGTAAAAAGTTTGTAAATTTGGCTTTTCTGTGAAAAAAAGTGTGAATCCACAAACTTTTTACGGAAATTCGTAAAAAAAAGTGTAAATACCTATGGCTTTTCTGTAAAAAAAGTGTGAGTTCACAAACAAACTTTGGTGTGAGTTCACAAACTAAAGTTTGTTTGTGAACTCACACTTTTTTTACAGAAAAGACAAATTCACACGTTTTTCTACGAAATTTCGTAAAAAAAATGTAAATTTGGCTTTTCTGTGAAAAATCTGCGAATTCACTAACTTTTTGCGAAATTCCCACTAACTCACCCAAACTAACTCAAACGAACCCAAACTAACCCCAACTAACCCAAACTAACCAAAACTAACCCAAACTAACTTAAACTAACCCAACCAAAACTAACTCGAACTAACCGGAACTAATTCAAACTAATCCAATACTAACCCAAACTAACTCCAACTAATCCAATACTAACCCAAACTAACTGAAATTAACCCAAACTAACTTGAACCAACCCAAACTAATCCAATACCAACCCAAACTAACTCCAACTAATCCAATACTAACCCAAACTAACTGAAACTAACCCAAATTAACCTAAACCAACCCAAACTAATCCAATACTAACCCAAATTAATTCAAACTTAACCAAACTACTTTTTACGAAGTTTCGTAAAAAAAATGTGAATTCACAAACTTTTTACGAAATTTCGTAAAAAAAGTGTAAATTTTTGCTTTTCTGTTTGAAAAGTTTAAATTCTACACGTGTATACATTCGAAATTGGCGGCGCGGCGCCAGCGTCAGCACAATGTGGCCTGGGGGGATGGGGAGTAATGATTGTATCATTGCAGGGGTACATGGTGTATTATTTTCCGGACGATAATAATAAAATAATAATTCGGAAATTCCGGGTTAATAAAAAAAAATATATTCGACCGGAAGTTCCGTAACATTATCCACACTGTAATAAATTAATAACTTCCATGATGATCCCTTTATTTTAGTCAGACAGTTGACTTACAAAATATACGAGCTTTTTAATTCTGATAATATAAATTTCAAACATAAAATGCAATTTTATAATAGAAATACAATATTGCAATAATGTGTTTTTGTTTAGGTCAAGACATCCAACCTCCACGTGATCTTTCCAGATTCGTAAAATGGCCCAAATACATCAGAATCCAAAGGCAAAAAGCTGTCTTACAAAAAAGATTGAAGGTGCCACCACCAATCAACCAATTCACCCAGACTTTAGATAAACAAACAGGTGAGTGTATGAGGATTTTTCCATATATTTTTTTGAGAGTTTGTGATGATTTTATACTTTCACCGGCGATCATAATTACTTTGCTGAATTATATTGATTGTATCCTGATTTTTTCATTGAAAATTTATATTCAATTGAATTCAACTTTGGTTGTTCAAATATAACTTATTTTTACAGCAACTCAACTTTTCAAAGTTTTGGAAAAATACAGGCCCGAAACTGCCCTTCAAAAGAAGAACAGGTATTTAATAAACTCTATAAATTATCTTAATAATAAATTAGTTTTCGTTCAGGTTAAAGGCAAAAGCTGAGGCTAAAGTGGCTAAAAAAGAAGAGGCTCCCTCAAAGAAACCCAACACTCTTAGGGCAGGTACCAACACTGTTACCAAGTTAATTGAGCAAAAGAAAGCCCAATTGGTTGTTATCGCCCATGATGTTGACCCCATTGAGGTAATTTTGTTGCTGGTTTAACAGCTTTTCTAAAATATTTCAACTATGATGCTTATTTTTGAATTTCTTCAACTGTAGATTTGGTTTTAAAACTAAAAAATGAAGACACATGACACTGAGTTTTGTTTTATAATAATATGTATATTTTTTAAAGTTTTTTGTTATTGGATTTTATATAGTTTTTCTTTATTATTTTTTACAGCTTGTACTCTTCCTTCCAGCCCTTTGCAGGAAAATGGGAGTACCATACTGTATTGTTAAAGGAAAGGCTCGTTTGGGTGAGAATTTTTTTAAAATTATTTATACATTTTAAATAATTGTTTTTAATGATGATACCTTTATTTTGTCTTCTTTTCCCGTCTGAAAAGATGTGATGATAATTTAATAATCTGATGCAACTAAATAGTTTTAAAATAAAACAATAATGGGTTTTTTTTTTAAAGAAAATTATTATTATTTTTTAAAGGGCTCCTTGTCAGACGTAAAACTTGCTCAGCTGTAGCCTTGACCCAAGTCGATTCCGGTGACAGATCCAACTTCAACAAAATCGTCGAAGCCATCAAGACCAACTTCAACGATCGCGGTGACGAAATCCGTAAACACTGGGGCGGCGGTTTGCTGGGATCAAAATCCGCAGCGCGAATTGCCAAGATCGAAAGGGCGAAGGCCAAGGAATTGGCCCAGAAACAAGGATAAAAATATTGTTTTAATAAATAAGTTAAAAGGAAAATGGGTTGGTTTTTTTTTTGTGCTTTTAATGGACTCTTCAGGGTTGACATACACAAAAGCTTTTTGTGTCAAAAGCTCACTTTTAAAGGACTCGTTCCTTCATAATGACATAAAAAAAAAAAAAAAATAAATAAATAAAAATTCATACTAATAAATCTTAACCTTCCTCTTCCCGGGTGGGGTATAAATGTACCCCAGAAAACAATTTTTCTTGTATATTTTCCCAAAAAGTGCATATTTTTTGTGTATAATTTTATTTTGTGTCTGTGGCTACTCTATCAAGTAGTTACCTTGCAAGAAATTTGTAGGTTGGAAATAGATTTTCAACCTGCAAAATTTAGAAATCACAATAAAGCTAATCAAGAAGTATCTGTGCAGCAGGAAGAGAACGAAAGTTTACGGGAAGTAGGAGGCGGAAAAATGATTTATAAATCGAAAGATGGCACTCATCTGTACTCTATAGGTTGATTTTATCTATTATAACTGTTTAGTATAAATAAAATCATGTTTAATCATCAGAAGTATCATTTTTATCATGGGGTGCGAATATACCCCACGTGGGAATCTACGTAATTTTTTTTGACGTGGGAAGACGAAGGTTAAAAAACAGGTTTGTGAAGAATTGAATTGGCTTTAATTAGAGCCTAATTACACTGTTCTGATAAATATTAATGGAGCTGTCAGGCAAAAACTGTCTCGGTGTCATTTTTGGAAAATTTTCAATGTACGATAAATTCAATTTTGAAACTTCTCGGCTGTAAAACTTGAAATTGAATTAAAATCTTGATTAACAGGTTTGCAGAGAATTTAATTGGCTTTAACTAGAGCTTAATTACATCGGAATTGGATGAAAATTGGAGGAGCTGTGAGGCAAAAACTATCTTGGTGACAGTTTTTTAAAAATTTTCAATGTGAATAAATTCAATTTTGAAGCTTCTCAGGTGCGGTACTGTTGGAATCAAATTAAAATCCTAATTGATAGGCTTGTAGAGAGTTTTATTCACTTTAGCTTGAGTTTAATTAAGGTTGAATTCGGATAGAAGTTAACGGAGCTGCGAGGCAAAAACTGTCTCAGTGTCATTTTTATGCCTTTAATCCTGGACCTATCTAAAAGTAAGGGCACACCCTATTGTTGAAAATAACACTAATTCATACTTTTTTTTAAACATTTTATTAAAAAAACTAGCAAACTATATAACACATAAAATAGGAATGTATTAGTATAACGTTAACAATATTAATATAATGATAAAATACTTATTTTGAAAACATAATTAATAAACTGTTAGATAAAAAAATAAACACTCTAGCATTAAGCATTTTCAATTTAAATAAAAATGCGTTAAAATCTAGCTCAGCATTTTCTTTAAATGCTAATTTACTACTTAAATCAGTATTAAGTTGTACTTTTATTTTGTAAAAAATTCCTAGAAGGCTGAAAAAAAGTACACAATAAGAATGCACACTTCTTGGGTGATGGGTAATTAATAGATTTGAATCACATTTTGGTTTCAAAAAATATCCAAGTAGCACATATTTAAAATAAACAAGAAATTAAGTACATAACATAAAAATTCACAGCAAAATATAAAAGTAGAAGTTGTTGCCTAAACATTAATATGAAAAACAAAATAATACTTTTTTTTTGGAATGGTTTGAAAATTGCATTAAGAATTCTACACAGACTAACAAGGTTACAATTAAATGGAAAATTGTGTCAATCTGATTTAAAATATTCCAGTTTTTATTGCATCATATATAGGCAAAAAAATTGCCATTATTTGCCACTCCACTCACTAACCCTTCCGTTATCGAAAACTAGACATCGTCTTGGTAAAGGAACCAACTTTCCCCGTTTCATAATTTCCATATTTTCTCCAGGGAAATATTGACATTGAGATATGAAGTCCAATAACATTGTTCCAAGTTTTTTACTGGAATTTATTAAGTGGTCCAAACTGAAAAACAATAATATTATTTAATTAACAATTTTTTCATACCCTATTAAATTGTGAAGATTTTTACCTATCGTCTTCTGCAAGACCTCCAGAAACTATTGCGTCACAAATTTTAGTATTAGCATCTGCGTCAAATAGTGGTATACCAAAATGACAATCCAAAATCGTCCAGTTCTTAAAATTCACAATAATATTAATTAATAAATAAATTCATTGGCTAAAATTCAATTACCCTAGTTGATTCATCATTTTGCTGACTTTTATCCTTAGTCTCCTCACTTTTCTCGTCCTCTATCCTACTAAAAATTCCAATATTTTCTTCAGTGGGACTCAAAAGTTGATCAACTGAAGGCACTTGATGTTCCAATTTTTTGTTATCTTTGATGTCCAATTGGTCAAGCTCTTGTTGGAGTAATGTTGTACAATCTTGACTAAAAATCTTAGTGTTTCAAACAAGTAAAACAACAAAAAATTCCTACCTAGTAAACCCATTAGTAGGCGATGATCTGTGACTAGACCCATCAACAGGAGTAACAGCAAAGTGAGACTCAACAGGCGATTGCAATATCCGGTCATCAACAATTATAGCTTTTTTCTCAAATTGGAAATTTTCATTGGCAATCCCTGTGGGTTGTTTAGCAACAGTTTTCGAGGCGCCCTTCAAACGCACTTGCATCCCTTCACCTTCGGGACGTCCAAAGTCCAAAACTCCCACATTGGCGAATGTCAAATAGCCACAACTGTGATCCAAGTCTAATAGTTCGAATAGGGCACCAATGGCGGGGTGTTTTGTCAAGAATTGGGCAGCTTCAGGACTAGGTCTGCTATAATAATTATTGTAGATGTATTTTTTTTGGGTGACAAGATTAATTCAAACTAACCCATTTTTTGATGCGGGAGATATAGTTTTAAATGGAAAAGTTAATAGTTTTGTTTCAACCGGATGTTGCACCCCATACCCTTGCACTAACACTGGAGCAAATTGCAAGGCAGCATTTACATACAGAATATTACTTATTGGTATTATTGCAGGTTCATGTAACCATGAAGTAACCTGAAGCAAATTAAGTCAAAATTTGATTTTTCACTAAGACTATTTATACCAAAAGTCTGGAAAATCCTAAAAACATTCTTGGCAATCGTTTAATTTCGCTTCCTTTGGCTAATAGTAAGCTGGGAGGTCCAAAACCTGTAACGTAGTATAAAAACATGCGAAACCATAGGCTGTTGATTTCTGGATGGCTTGGACCTAATAAGGCAGGAGGCATTGATGAAAGTGGAGATATTCTCACCTAAAAGATTTGCTTTAATAGTCTATGGTTTATGTTTCAGAGAAATATACAAAGAAGTCTCAAATTTGATTTTTTGAATTGTCTCAGGTAGATTTGAGGGCTAGAAATTGATATGAGAGATTTTTAATGGACAAAAAAAGTCTCTGACAGCAATATTTAGCTTCTAGACTTCCAGAAACTTTGGTCAAAGACTTGAGAAGAAAAAGTCTCCTAAAAAATTCCAAGCTTTGAGAGACAAATCAATCAAACAACTCAATAGAAAAGGAAATTTTAGCTCATTAAGACTGATTTTTGGCTTGTGAAATCCCTATTCAAAACTGCTGTAAGCCTTTTAAAAATGCAATTTCAGTAAAATCAGTCAATTCCAGCTCAAAATTTCTCATCCAAACAAAATTCTACTTACCTCTCTACCAATTGGAGCCATAGCAATCAAAAGCCGATATTTCTTTTTCAAAAGCCTCTGACAAGTGGCCTCGTCCAAGGAATTCAAACTTTCCAAACGTACCAAATCCAAACCAGGCCCCGGCAATTTCCTCAAAGCCAAAATTGTAGATCTACAATTATATACATGACAATCATGGTTGGTATCACAATACAAATCTGACCTCAAAATTACTGCATGATCGAAAAACCTTCTAGCCTCCCCTTCTCCATCTGCATCCATGGCAGAAACTTTTTCCAATTCGCCCAAAAAACTATCCAAACTTTCATGCTGTAATTTGCCAACCTCAAACATAGTTACGGCGTGACGTTTCAGCCCGGGCGATAAATTGCCCATCATCAGGAAAGCTGTCAATGCTGAATCAAAGAGGAAAGCCACTCTTAAGCCAGTAGGTTGAATGTGTGGGGAATGAGTAGGGCTGTCTGTGGAGAGTTGTGGGGTATCTAAGCCCTCCAGTGGTGGGTTTGTAGTTGAGGGAAAATTAAGAGTGAGCGGAGTGATTTCAATGGGAGGGCTAAAATATGACAATTTAATAATATGAAACTCCAAAGAAAATTATTGTTACCTTTCATTTGCAATAGGTACATTTGACCAAGAAGGATGTCGTCTAACTCTGTCTTGTTCAGTTTCAGCGTCGAATTTTTTGGCGAATTGTAAACGACAATAAAGTGAAACTGCTTGTTTAACTAGCTCGGTATCTACTTCCAGCACTGTTGCCAACTAAATTTTAATTCTTATAAATGGTTTTTGATAAATTTTTTTTTTACATACCTCTCCTACAGTTGTATGCTCGTCAATAGAAACAAAAATTTTATACAAAAGCGTCTCAAAATAGTCACCTAAAATTCTATTCATTACGAATCCTTGTAAAGGTGGTACCTGGACTTTATCTACAGCTGTTACAGGCACATCTAAATATATTAAGCCTTTCCTACATAAAACAATTATGTTATACTCTTTGATTTTTGCTACAATGTAACTTACTTATATAAACTAAGTACAATATTAAAAGGTAAATCACCAGCATTTTTTGAACCTAAATCTATTAGTTTATCAATTACAGCTAATTCTTCTTCATTTACCATCTAAAATTTGAAATAATTGACTATCAAAATATTAATAAGTAGATATTTAATTACCTTAGTATCCTCATCTAAAATAAGCCCAACTTCAACTCTCCACCACGGTTCTATATGAATATTAACTGGTACTTTAGGTAGAAGCACTCTAACATTTTTTTTACCAAACAACCTTCCTCTATTGGTTCTAGATTTATTAATCAAATCAATATATTCGTTTCTGCCAATTCCTAACAATCTTAAACCTAAACAAAAAATTCCTAAACATACTCAAATAAAATATTGTGCAAAATTCTTACAATCTGCAGCAGTAAAGTTAGGCAAAGTATCGTAGCTTTTTTCAGCTTGCATCAGTCGTTCCACAACGGAAATGTAGTAATTGAATGGGGTTATTCTCAGGCCTTTAACAATCATGTCGGCCAAATGGTACGGGAATAGCATGAGTCGTTCTCGGCTGAAAGATATGACTCTTTCGTAGTAGCGTTTTTCATCTTTCAGAACGTGACGGACTAAAATTGGGAGAGAAATGTGTGATTGATTTTTTTGATCATTCAATTCCAATGATTTTTATCATCAGAATTCAATAATTTCAATTTTTTTTTAACTTAACATCTTCTAATATTGATTTGCGAACAATTTTCTCTATTCTTTGGTGTTAATTTATTCTAAAGTGCTCTAGAGCATCTCAAAATGCTTAAAGATGTTCCAAAGTGGCACAAGCGCGCAATCTGAAGAAACATGTGTTCCAATAATATGTTTAAATTAGTTCTAAAGTGTCATGTGACGATTTTCAACATATTCTGAAAGTTTGTAGTTTTAGATTGTTTCCAAATTTTCCATATGATTTGTAAAGTGTTCTAGAGCATTCCAAAATACTCCTGGAAATTTTAACTTTGATCTAAATCTAAACTTTAAAGTATCTCAAGCTTTCTTGAATGTTCCTGAAAGTTCGTAAGTGTTCTGGTCCTTTCTAGAATGTTTCTGAAATTCTAATTTGATTCTAAAGTGTTCCTGTAGTGTCCCTGCAAGTTCCAATTTGTCTCAAACAAATGTTGGAGAAATGAAAATTGATTTGAAAGTCTTTTGAAGCTTATCAAAGTTCTGAATTTATTCTAAAGTGCTCTAGAGCCAATTAGCACAAGCCCAAATGCTTTCTAAAGTTTTCAATGGGTTGCTTAATACTCTTGGAGCGCCGGAATGTTTTAGAAGAAGTTATCAGAAATCTCCCAATTATTCTCAAGTGGTTTTTGGTATTTCTATTTGAAATTGTACATAAGTTCAGATATGTTTTAGAGTAATCTAATATGTTCATGGAAGTTTTAAGTTAGTTCTAAAGTGTCATGCGACGATTTTTAAGATATTCTAAAAGTTTCCAGTTCTAGACTGTCCATATGATTTGTAAAGTGTTCTAGAGTGCTTCAAAAGCTTCCTTAAATGTTGCCAAAAGTTCATAAGTGTTCTGGACTGTTTTAGAATGTCTCTCAAATTCTAAATTGATTCTGTAATGTTTTACAATGTTCTCAAAGATTCCAATTTGTCTCAAATATAGGAAGATTGAAAATTGAATTAAAATTCTTCTAAAGCTTATCAAAGTTCTAAATTACTCTAGAGCGTCTTCAAATGCTTAAAAATGTTCTAACTTTGCGCTAGCGCACTCTAAAGCTTTTCAAAGTTTTTAATTGGTTCCTTAATGATTTTGAAGCTGGGATCCAACCAATGGGATTACAGATTGCCTACCTGACAGTTTATCAAAAGGTGAATAAACCGGCCCTAAAGGGTAAAAATAAACCCTTTAGAACCTTTAAAGGTCACACAAGGAATTAGCCCAGATACAATATGTCCATAATTAAATCAATTTTATGTGACAATAAATATACACAAATAATAGAAAACTTACCTAAATTTCCTCGATAACGTAATTGATTTTGAATACTAAAATTTACAATAAATCTTTCATAGTTCTTCCATGAATTGTTGAGAATCTAAAAACGTAAATTATTGTCGGTGAAAACTGATTGCAGTTTCTATTATTTAATTAGAGATAAATTTTATAGTTCTCAGCAATTATTTGATAAAGGACAAGGACAATGTTTTACCTGTTTTACATGGGTCGGCAACTTTGTCCAAGGGACTTTTTTACGAATTTGGTCTTCCACTTCGGCGTTCATTTCAATATGGTATTTGGAATAGTTGGTCAATTTCAATTTGCACGCAAAAACACAATTTTTACTTGATAAACAACAAATATTTTTAAAATAAAGAAAATTGCACAGCTGGAGGAAGTGTCTTTTAAATTTACCACAACATAAATGTTGATGTGGCAACATGGCAATCATGGCATGAGCTTAGGGGATTACGGAAATCTTGATTGGAACAGCTCGGAATGTTCAAACAGTGATCTGAGGTCGAGAGTGTGGAATAATTTTAAATGATAAAAATCATACAGTTTTGTATATTTTCGTATTAGTCCAAGAGCCGGCAATACTAACGGATGGATGGATTGCCTCGATTCTCATGGCCGGAAAGTTGTTTTATAAAAAGATACTTCAAGAACCATAAGCGCAACAAATAAGAAGTACCTTGCGGTGTAGGGGGTTCTCATCATATGCGGCAAACACTTTATTAACACAATTCCATGTTTCTTTTTTTGTCTAAAGACCTACAGCTGTAGGTATGCAAAATCCTCTTCACAGAGTCCTCTTTTAACTTTGAAAGTGACTTTGAAGGCTGTCACTTTCAAAAATTTGTATTTAGCAAGCAAAATAACGCGTGCCCTCGACTTTCAATGAGGGTTGCCATCATTTCTGGCCATCAAAATCGAGGCCACCCTATATATTATTTGAGAAGACATATTAAAGGATATATCTACCAATTTTCAGCTATTGTAATGATAACATTGTTCCTCCGGAAAAAGAGGGGTAGTTTACGCCCAGCCATCAAGGGTTGCGGCCATGAGAATCGAGGCCACCCATCCATTCAGTTTAAGGATAACTATGAGCTTTTATGTGAAAATTATCCATTGCAACGATCACATACCCGTTAATATTGCCGGCTCTCCTGTACTAAAAAAAAATATATATATGGTTCTCCATTCGTAGGTCGATCGAGTGTGTAATATTCTGAGAAAATAGACCCGTAAATCACAATGTCTTTACTGTAAAAATTAAATAATATCAAATAATCAAAAACTGAATTTCCGGCATTTCCAAATCAGTATCGATAAATTAAAAATGAAACAAATTACCGTGACCCCAAATACATTCGAACTTATATTATTTCGTCAGCCCGCGTGATGTCATCTCCTCTAAATCATATATCAATGAACTTTTTAAGCAAGGCCGCCATAATAATTAGATCGAATGATTTATGGCATTCTTGAACCAATGTATTGACCCCGATAAATCAGGATTTGCGAAATAATTTTTTAATTTTTATACTAAAAATGATAAAAATTTCAAGGAAATTGCATCATCTAATCATCTTAATTGTCATGGACAAAGACATTTTGGGGGGATCAATTAATATAAATACAGGCGGTTTTAGAAGTGGAAGGCAGTTGTTAGTTGAGTTGCCAGTTGTTAGCAGTCCAGTCCAGTTTGAGTTAAAGTCTACAGTACCTAATAAGTCAGAACAGTGGCGTAGCCAGTAGGGGGGCAGGGGGGCGACGGCCACCTCCGCCCCTACACGTATTGCGCCCCTACCGCTCTTAAAAAATAAAAGCAAAAAATAGGAAATTATAAAATTATGCTGTCAAAGGAAAGGTGAAAGTTTCTGTTTTGATGATTGATGTGGTTTCTGTTTATTAAACTATGGGTTAATGAGTTGGGTGTTATCCGTCCGGATTTGTTCTAGTTTTCAAGGCGTCTGGGAAGATTTTTTGAAGTTAACGGCAAACGGCATGTCCACACATTATTTCTTGTAAGGCTTAAAATACATAGATGTTTTTTGGCGTTGCATCGTGGCACTTGAAAAAAAAATTCTGAAGGCCTAAAATAAACTTTTTTGGGCGTGGCAGCCGAGAAAATTTTCCGCCTCCGGCGGCGCCCGCGTCGGGCTTCTCGTCTTGAATATTTTCTCCCAATAAGCAAATATTACAAAACCATACAAATAGTCATTTTTTATCCACTCCCGCTTCTTCCCCTCCCCCAAAAGAATTATGCGCCCCTTATATGCTTTGCCCCCTCCGTCCCGCAACGCTGGCTACGCCACTGAATCAGAAGGGTTGAAATTCGCGAAAAGTTCTTATTAAGGCCTCGGAGATAACGCGTTCGATTTAACTTAGAAAAAGTACGGAAAATTGTGAAAGAAATAACATTTGAAATTCGTTCAACTTATGTGCGGGCTCTAGAAGATTTTGAGTAGTTAATTAAGTATTTTATCGAGTAAAAAGTTAAATGTAAGTACTTTAGTGGTTAATAATTTTCTGACTTTTATCAATGATTCTGAATGATAAGAAGTGAATTAACAATGACTTTTAATGCCTAAAAACTTGAGTGATTTTTACTAGAAAAACTTTTTGACTTTATAATTAACTTTGGAAATTTATTGCATAAATATTAATAGCTCGAGTGTTTTGACTATGGAACATTATTGCATAACTTTAATTGCCTTCAGATATAATGACATTCTAATTTAATTGTGCAAAGAAAATATGAAGGGAATTTATAATGCACTTAACAATATACAATTTTGAGTAGGAATTAGGAATTAAACAGTTGGGTTTATTAGCTAGGCTAGGAATCCGAAAATAGAATTTGTTTTGAATAAATAAACTATTAAATGGAATAGGAAATTTTGAAAAGAAACTTGATGTTCATGAAATAGAATTGTTGTCTTAAAATATTGGAAAGTTGTTAAAATAAACTTATTGTTCATGAAATGAATTTTGAATTAGGGTTTTATTTTTTAAGGTAAAATTATTGTAAGGTTTTATAAGAATAAGTTAGTAATACCTATATTAATAAACAAATAGGTAATTATTTTGGGTTTTTCATAAGCAGTCAGTAGAGGACTTAGAAATTTTAAAGAATTTATAGAAATAGGTGAAGGGTAGTTTAAAAGGAATGAATCGGAAGTGTTGAAATGAGTTAACTTATAAGCTATTAGGAATAGTAGGAATAGGGCGTTTCTTTATTAGTAGGGATATTTCATTGGTCCGTAATAATGACATTTTGAACGGATGTGAAGTAATTCAATTTAGAAAAATAGATGAGGCTGTCAGAATTGGAAGATATTTTGCTGTTTTAAATTTTTGGTTTTATGTATAATAAAATATAATTTTAGTAAACCTCAATAGTTTGTTTCTCTCTTTTGCAAATAGACCCTTCCACAATTTTATAGGTAGCAGCTCCAAGGAAATAAACACCATCAATATACCGCTCGCCATTTACCATCTTACTAATAACATAGAGTACTTGGGGCGTTTTACTACAAGTGTACGCCACTGGTATTTTCCATACGGACTCCTAAATGTTCCTTTAGTTTAAAGAAATGTAAATGAAAACAAAAATCCAAGATTCTGTAAACCTGAAAGAAACAAAAATTTAGTGGAAAAAAAAAGGAATTGAGACTGAAAATGAAGAGAAGAAAATGAAGATTTTTTTTTTTTATTAATACAAGCGCTTTTAAAATTTTCTTTATTATTAGAAAAGTTTCAAAACAAAAATTGAAGAGCCTGAGAGAGAAAAAAAGAAGGACAGGACAACTTGCTAAAATCACTAAAAAGGAGTATAGTTTTACTTCAATGAAAATAGCTGGATTGTATCCCATATATATAATTTATTAAATATTTGAATATTCCACATTGCGATTAATTCAAATAATTTTGATAATCATAGTTGAAATACATTTTTGGTTCGTCGTATATCCGAACTGCGCCCATTCTATTATGAATCCTGTTGTAATCTTCATTATAATTCCTCGGCCCGTTCGCCATATGACCCGGCGGCTCTTTGGTACCGCGTAAAATCAACGTTGTATCCCCTATAAAACCAGAATTTCCTTCTGGACCTTCCTAAAAAATACAATTTTGTTTTAAAATTATTTCAGTTTATAGTTGACTTAAGTAGGTACATTATCTGAGATAGTCAAATTCCAAATCCCACTGGCCAGTTCGCCCCAAGTCATGACCGACATAAAAGTCCAATCAGTGAAACCTTTGCTACTTTTGTCGTATTTTCTTGGAGTTAGTAGTTGGACTGTGGTACCTGCTGGCGAGATTAGTTGAACCTCCAAAGAACCTCTTATAGTATAAGTAATACTCGTCCTAACTTCAACGTGCTCTAAAAATATAACTTGCTGCTCGGTACCATCGCAACCTGTAGTAACTGCTAAAAGATGCACAGGATTTCCATAAGAAAGATTTGTGTTATTTGAAGTCCTATAATAAAAATCACTACTTTGATGAATATATTATGATTATTTCAATTAGGTACTTTTTGAATATAACTTCACAATGATGAGCTTCAGGTACTGCTGTCCAATTAGCAGCGGCAGAAACCAGTCCGAAAGCGTTCATGAGTCCGAAACCAAATTTGGTATTGGACCATAAACCGGCCGCGTTTTTTTGCCAGCCTGGATTGTCCGCTACAGGGGCTAATTCCGATGTCCAGACTATTAAGTGTTGGACATCTCGCCAAGTTAAAGATGGACTAAAATGATGTTTTAATAGATTTGAAGCATATAAATAATGATGATTTTTTACTTGACTTCTAATGCTAAAGCTATAATTCCGGCTGCTAAAGGGGCAGACGCAGAAGTTCCTGTATGTTTTATTGTGCATTGATTGTTCAAATCTGTAGTAGCCTATAAAAATTAAGCAATTTTTTTTTTTGGTGGAAAACTTAAGTAAGTTTTTACTTACTATCATTTGATCTTTATAAGCTCCACTGCTATAAGTTACAGCCAAAGTAGAAGCGCAAGCTTCACCGTACCAAGGAAATTCGCCTTTTTGTGAAGCACTGCCTATGGAAATTGTGTAAGGACTTGCCAGGTAACCGTCGCAATTGCAATTGTCGCCTCTGCTTCCACCATTTCCGGAAGCCCATACATATATCGAGCCTTTGCCGTTTCTACCCTGAAATAAGCATCAACTAAACAATTTTTTGTGCGGATCAAACTCTTTATTTACTAAGCACATATGCCTACAGGTGTTAAGTCATCTAGGTGCTTCATTTACTTAAAGTGTAATTTATATTTATTGGTAATAGTAATTGAATTTGAAAGTTAGTATGTGTACTTTTTAAATTAAAAGGTAAGTTGTTACTTTTTTGATTCCTCTTTCTATAGCTTCTCTGGCAAGTCGTCCAGGTCCATCGACAGTTTTGCCGTCGTCGTTGGGGCCCCACGAGGCACTGTAAATGTCTACCAAGTGATGGGCGTAGCCCAGGGCAGTACCTTCGATTCTGTCGGTTACCAGGCCGTCCAACATTTTTACTCCACCTGGAATAAGTTGATTAAATTTGATTTGTTCTAAATTTTAAAAAAAAATAAAATCATTCTCAATTTTCCCATTTTTCCTTTTCAATTCTGGCCTAGGTATTCCCGGCTCTTGAATTTCAGTTTTCCTTTATATAAAATTGGGAACATTTTAAAGAGCCTGGGATTGGAATAGAATTAAGAAAAATCATATTCTAGGGTTTTGAATTCTTGTTTTCTCGCCGTCTAAAATTTTGTCTCTTTGCGGCTTTTGAATTTCAGTTTTCTCCCAATTTTTCTTAAAGACGAAAATTTGAAAGCCTATAATAGACAAAAAAAAAGATTTTCTTCAAATTTTTCTTAAATTTTTCCGTCTCAATTTTAGTCTTTTCCCGGCTCTTGAATTCTAGTTTCTCTTAAATAAGGAAAATTCAAAAATAATAGAAACATTTTGTTTATTACGGTTCTTGAATGCTAGTTTTCTTCCAAATTCTCTAAATAAAGGAAATTCATAAGTATGTAGGTAATAGAAAAAGAAACATTTTCTTCTACAGTTTTTTCTTAATTTTTCTTTTTTATATTTAATTCTTCGGTTTCAATTTTTGTTTATTCTTGGTTCGCGAATTTCAACTTTCTCCCAATTTCTCTAAGGGCTAGTTTCTCAATAGCAAGTCACCCCCCGGGTTAAGCATAACTCCAGAGTAAAAATTACAACTGGACGCCCTAACCCTGGGGTTAAAACCAACTCGAAGGTGACTCGCTATTGAGAAACCGGCCCTAAAGGCCGGTTTATTCACCTTCTGATAATTAAACTGCCAGGTGTGAAATCTGACAGATAAAAACGCAATTTGTAATCCCATTGGTCGACCAGTTATCCGCCAACCAATGGAATTATATAACGGTAAATTTATTATCAGCAAGTCTATCTGAAAATAATGAAAATTGCAAAGACTCTATCGATAATCAAAAAAAAAAGTTCATTTTATCACACGCTCAACTTTTCTTAAATTTCTTGTCCTTGGATTGCTCATCGGCCACAATTTTTGGAATCAAGGTCGATGTTGCACCGTTGTCGACGTCATCAACGGGGTCATTAGCTGTTTGCGCCAACGGCCGTAGCTTAGAATAAACATTTCTGATGAAATATTAAATTCTGATTAAGATAATAGGCAAAGAGGAAGATGGAAGATGCAAACGAGATCTAGAAAAGGGGTTGTTTTAGAACGTCAGTTAATGCATTAAAGTAAAACCTCGACTAAAACCAAGGTTGTTGAGAGGTAGGTTGCCTGACAACTTTATGACGTCATCTAGGGTGCCTGAACTCTCAACATAATGCAAATCTCCATAAGGCACTCCAGGGAACCTTGGACTAAAACCAAGAATGCATGAAGCAAGAGCCAGCGAATTCATAGCCTGTGGTGCAAACAGCCTACGTCAAAGCAAGATACGATTCGCTGCCTACGTCATCACTGACTGTTACTTTGGCGTGTGGGGGGCTTGAAATTTGATCTACACAGGCCCTATGAGGATATGCTCTCCTGTGTAGTGGGTAATATCCTTGAATTAATCTTGCATATACAGGGTGAGTTACTAAGCCCGCAGTGGTCCATATCTCCTATACTAATGGAGATCGAAGAAAAAACTAAATACAAAACTACTACTACTACATTCCTGAATTATTTTCCAGTATACAGGGTGGCCCAATAAGTAATGGTGACACAAAGTAATGTTTTTTTGAAATGACTTTCCCTGTATATTATGACATTTCTGGATTCTGCGGAAAATTTTAAACATATTTCATATTCAATGTCATATGCCTATCCTCAACTGTTTCGGAGATATTGACAGTTGAAAATTGACTTTTTTGCATCTTTGACAGACTGTAAAACCTGAACGGTCAATTTTACAGCAAAACCGATCATACATTCTTGTCTTAGTTTTTCATAAACTATCATCTGAGACTGACTTTAAATTCAATTAAAGATCAACCGTTTAGCTTTTACAGTCTGTCAAAGATGTAAAAAAGTCAATTTTAAACTGTCAATATTGTATATAACATATTGTACATGAAATATGTCTAAAATTTTCCACAGAATCCACAAATGTCATATTTTACAGGGGGAGTCATTTAAAAAAACATAACTTTGTATCACCACTACCTATTGATGAGCCACCCTGTATACTGGAAAATTATTTGGGAATGAAGTATTCATGTTTATCTACAAGTTTAGTATTTAGTTTACTCTTCGATCTCCGTTAGTAGGTATAGGAGATATTGGACCACCGCGCGCTTAATAACTCATCCTGTAATTACTCAAGGATAATACATACTACTAATGGCCGGTTTTTCTATAGCAAGTCACCTCCGGGTTAGGTGTGGCACCATTGCCGACGTCATAAACTAAGTCTATAGCTGTCGTAGTTTAGAATTTAAATTAATGATGAAAAATATTATTTGATTTTGATTGACATAATAAGCAAAGAGGAAGATGCCAACGACATCTAAAAAAGATTTGTTCTAGAATGTTAATTAATTTTATCTACAAACGTTTGGCTATGACGTTTTTACAGAACCGTTTTTCTAGTATTTGACTCATGCTATGAGACATAACACAACTAGTGGTGTTATGGACTAGGTTATGAGCCTATAACACAACTAGTGGTGTTATGAACTAGGTTATGAATCTATAATACAACTAGTTTTTGAGTGAGTTTTTGTGATTTGACAAATGTCATAGTTAAACCAAACCTGTAAAGGTAAAATGAAGGTAGACAACGACTAATAAACGAAAATTGGAAAAACATTTTCTTATTTTTCGCTTTGTAGATAAAACGTTGTACATCACACGTGCGTTTAAACATGACTACGAAAATCGTGTGATTAGAACGACTCGGTCTACGACCTCGTCGTTCTAATATTTCACACTCGTTATTGTGATAATGATGATAAACGCACTTGTAATGTAAATAACTATAGTAAAAGTATGCCTAGGAAATGCCCGCAAAATCATAACCTGTGGTGCAAACACCCTACATTTATATCAAGGATGATACACACTACTAAATACTACAGGATCGCCTATCCTCATAAGGCCTGTGTGTAAAAAATCCCCCCCCCCCCCCCCTTACCACCACCACCCCCCTGACAAACAACCAGTTGTGACGTAAACAGCATGGCGTTTCTCGCCTTGACGTAGGCTGTTTAAACAGCTGGCGACTTAGTTATCACGTCGCCAATGGTTGAAAACCAATATGGCGGCGATTACCAAAAACGAGGCCGATAAGCACTCCTTAAGACTGTTTATTCTCCTTGGTATACAGCAGGGTGAATCTAAAATGGCGCATAAGCGATCCACTATGTTATAATAGGGGACCCTTCAGGGAACCCCAGAAAAATAGTGAAAGAAATTCTCCTCGACCAATCTTGGTGACATGAGGGAGTGAAGTTGACAAGTCAGCTTCTTTATTTCCGATTTTTTTAAACTGCGATATTCCCTATAAAGTTTCATGTGTCTTTATTGATTTATGATAAAAAAGATCACATCAGTTGGATTCTTCTACCTCTGGAAATGAATTTTCCAAACTGTAAAATCTCTACCTCTAAACCCAAAAAAATTATCTGGCAGCGTTACCTGCTATTAGGTAGAGGTAGTGAATACTGGGTGGGGTACCTAATGAAATTAGGTCCAGGCACAAGGTTCACTATTAGAAAACAGAGGTATAATTCAATATAAGTGGAAGTATTCAAGATGTTACCAATTTTACCACTCCGTGTTCTAAAAACTTTGTTAAGAGTAACTTTATACTATTTTAATTAGTTTTCTGGGGTTCCTCAAAGGTTCCCCACGACGTAGTGAAGAGCTTATACGCCATTTTGGAATCACACTGTATAGTTCTTTGCGTCAAGGCGAGAAACGACATGCTGCCTACGTCATTACTGGTGCTTTGGCATGAGGGGCTTGAGATTTGAACTAAGCAGGCCTTATCAGGATACCTAAGCTATCCTGTAGTAGTGGTGTGTATTATCCTTGATAGTTACCAGCAAGTTTATCTGAAGATGAATAAATCGGGCCTTAGATGTAGGCATGGGGTATGAACAGATAGAAATTGAAAAGGAAAAATTTGAAAATAGAAAGAGGAAATTAAAGAAAAACTTCTCTATTTTTATTCATTAATTCCTAATCCAAACCGCTCTTAAAATTTTTTTTACTTGAAGAAACATCAGAGAAAACAAGAATTTTCTTTAACCAAGACAAATTTCTTAAAAAAAGACACCCTGTATATTTCCAGATCAACATTTCAATTGATTATACAACAAATCCAAAGATGGAGCCACAGTAGAACAAAAAAATGGGCGCCAAACTTTAAACGGTTGAGCAACCGTGTGGGGGCGCGCAAGAGGCAAGGGCGAAACGCGAAACCAGAACAGGGCCGGCTTCGATTTTCTATTAATTTCCTTCTCACCAATTTTTGCATTAAAAGCAATCCCAACTCCGCACTTATCATTATTAGCCACCATAGCCACTTCACCCGCACACCTGGTACCGTGACTGTTGGATTTACTAATTTCGTATCTCGGCATCGGATTTTTGCTTTCGTCGTTACAGTTGTAGCTTATTTCTGGATCCTAGAATTATTATTTTTTATAAGCAATCGAAAATTTATTAGATCTGTTCTCACAGAAATCACAAACCAGTCACAGCGAATTTCATTGGTTGAAAATGGTTGTTCGGGGCGATTTGCATCAATCAATAACACTTTCTGACTGGTTTTTGATATAATCTGTAAGAGCAGACCTTTATTGTTAAGGTTTCTTACATAGTTGGGACTCAAGTCGTCATGGGTGTACTCGATACCATCGTCCAAAATTGTAATTCTTACTCCTTTCCCAGAAATTCCAGATTTGTATAAAGGCAGAACGTTGAGGTCTAATTTTGGTAGGTCCAGTCTTGTTCTGGTATCTCTCTAAAACAAATAACATTTACGAAAAGTTTATGTCACTGTCTTCACTGGAAATATCTTGTGGAAAACAAATAATTTTAGATTAGGAGGGTACCTACGTACTTACCAAGTACCATTGTTGGTTCCACAATTCATCATTAAAAGTTTGATCGATTTCATTTGTGGATCGTTTCCTTCTAATTTTCTCATAAGATTCAGTTACTGGTTCTTCTATACGTTTCACTCTTTCTTTAGGGATATCAGCGGGATCTAGTAAATCCCTTTTTTGGCGCTGTTTCCAGTTTTGTTCTTCCGCCCATTCGATCTAAAGTTTTAAAAAAATCATTTCGAGTTATTGTTTTAAGAATAATCGAAATCTAACCCTTAGATCTTTGTATAAGCTCCTTGGGACTGTGCCTCTTTTTTGTTCATTTGGATGAAATATGGGATTGGCGACTGGTATAAGGATGTATGTGTTGTCAAATCCAGTTACCTGGAAAATTAAATATATATTTTCAATTCTCTGACCTAAACCTCATAATTTATATCAAACTCATGCTTGTTTTATGTAACATTGATTTGTATATTTTCATTATTTGCAATATTTTTCTTTTGACGCCAGAAATGCTAATTTTACAACGTCATCTCTAGATAATTACAGACAGATTTTTTTCCTACACACAAAATGCACATGCTGAGGTCATAAACCTTCCTTAATCCTAAAAACGACCCCTATTTTTCAGATGCACTTCCCCCTCAAAGCCCTAGGATTACTTCAGTGGCGCACCCTAAATCTTCCTTTGTTAGAGCTCTTCAATCTTCTCAGTAACATATTTTAAATAATTGATAGCTTTTCTCAATCAGTTCCACCTTCTTACAAAATGCATACTATAATTGAATCTCAATTTCTCTAATTGCCTGTGTAATTGAAGGATAAATACTAATTTTGTATTTATGATAACATGGGAAATCTTGCAAATGTCATATAATAAATGGGTGGAAACTTCATTCTATATTGGGGGTGATTAAATTTTGCATTTTTAATTTACTTCAAATGCAAATTTGTCCATATAAAAGCCCATAAAATCAACTCGACTTGCCTATTGTGTTGCCTTTTGTTAAAATGACTTTAACTGCCAGGTAGGTTTACCTAATTGTACCTAGATTTTATAGGCAAAAAGTACCTGCAAACATTTTTGTCTACAAGAATCTTTCTGAAAAATAATTTATTTTTGATTCTATAGGTATGTTTTCTTTTTTAGAAGAAAATCATTTCAATGGCTCAATAATGATGGAATTAATAATAAAATTAGAAATAAGAATGGGTTGTCCTCTTATCCGAGCAATTTTTTTAGGTTCTCTGAAATTTACGATGCTTTTATTGGTCAGCACAAATTTTCTACGGAAATCCATTGGGTAAGAATCAAAATGTGAGATAAGAGCCAATAATTCATCTGAATTACATTGTTTTTCAACTTCTCAACTGAATGCTAATTTTTGACTTTTTCATAGCTGAAATGTTATTAGAGAAGATTCTTGAATCTTTAAAAATTTTGAGAAAGTAGCAGAATTTGAAGAGACTTCATACATTTTGTACGCTGTTTATATAGTTTTAATGTGAAAGCCATGGAGATCCTAAAGACTCAAAACAATCTTAGGAATTTAAACTTTGACTTCATGATATATTCCTAGAGGACCTAAAAATTTAAAGTCGAATAAAGCTTACAGTTAAAAGTGGCAGAATTTCAAAAGTTTGAAATGAAAAAGAATTGATAAAACTTAAGATTTTGTTGAAACATTCATTAAAACCCGATATGAGAATATTGTTCATTATGAACAGCTGCAAAAATGAACCGACACATTTATTACGCACATGGGTATGGGTGTATCACCTTGCCAGCTACCTTATGCATCTCTTTCGAACACACGCTAAGCGTTATCAGCCCCACTCTCTTTTACTCGTTACTTTCAGATACAAATTCTATTGTGTATGCAAGTAAGCCCCGTAAATTTACAAACACGCGGTCTATTTATAGAGGGTGTTAGACGCGTGCCAAACTATAGTCTTTTTCGTTTACTCGCTGTGCGTTTTGTGCTCCTGATACAAAGCGTCGATTTTCATTCGAAATGAAACTTGGGGAAAAGCTGGGAAATTTGGGGGGAAACGAGAACTTGGCACGACGTCGGAAAACGGATCGGGAAAATTGAATAATGACGTTGTATATTTACAGTTAGAATTTTGTTCTGTTTTAAAACAAGTTAATCAAGTGTCAGCAACAATGATTAAATTTTTGGTTATTACCAGCTCTTGAGGGCCTCTTAAAACAATATTCAATTCGTCAAGAGCCGATAATAATTAGAATTTGGATCGAAAATGAAATATGGAAGGCTACAAAAAATGTCTACCTTGAATCATTTTTTCCGAAATTTCAGGAAAATTCAGCACAAATAAATCCGTAAAAAATAAGAAGTAAATTTAGGAATTTCAGTAGAGCCCTGGATAACACGTCATCAATTATTGGTTGAAATGTTGCGGGGGCATTTTTTAACCCAAAAGGGCATTCGAATAAATCCGTAATGTCTGTTTTCTACAATAAAAGATGTTTGGGGTGACTTTATTAGAATAAGAAAATTGACTCTAGAAATTGCCTGAAGTAGAAATTATTGATAATTTGCTTCATTTTGTTCTTGGGAAGTAAGTTTTGAATGATTAAAAGGCCTTGTACATGAAATTTAAATTTTTTTATGTTGAGATTGTGTATCGAGCCAACTTTACAATCACAAGGAAACGCCTATTAACAAGAAAATCACTTTCCATGCTATTTCTTTGCATGCAAACAGACTCTTCTTCGTCTTCTACCGGTTAAGTCGTATTGACTAAGGAAAATGACGATCTTTGGACATCGTTTTAATGTCGCCATAAGACCAAATTTCAGCTTCAGAAAGTTATAACAACGTTGATCAAACGTTGCCATAACATTTTAGTTTGTACTAAACTAGAAAAGTCGGTTCTAAGTTTTTGACCAACTTTATTTCAACGTTGTTTATAAATGCTGAGCAGTTTTCGTCGTTTACTGCAGTACTTGAATATCTATCAAGCAGGCAAATCCACAACAAGTGCATTCCATTGTCTACTAACAGACATATAAATCGCTCTTGGATTTTATGGATATACAGGGTGACTTCAATAATATCTTACACCGACTTATCAAACGAGCTCTTGATGATACGGGGGTAGAAGCTCCCATCTCCTATTAAAGAATGGGCAGAAGCCATGCTAAAACATCGTTCGGTTTACATTTTGTTAACTGCAATCGAAATTTTGTATCGTGACATGAAAAGTAAATTGTATCCTGTATCAATTCATTCTGGGTTATAGCATTGATACACGTGTTAATACAGAGTGACAAAAAAGTCTCGATCCAGACCATCTTTGTTTTTTCAAATGAAACACCCTGTATCTGATTCCATATTTGGATTCTACATAAACTTCTGAGCAGATTTCATGTGATACACCCTATACCTAAGTTCAACTGTTTTGGAAATATTGACAGTTGAAAATTGACTTTTTTGCAACTTTGACAGGCTGTAAACCTAAACGGTTAATTTTAGAGGAAAACCGATTTTCATAAACTACCATTTGACACCAGCTTTAAATTATTAATCCATGATTGAAAATTGCAATTAAATTTTCTCCTGTCAAAGTTACAAAAAAGTCAATTTTCAACTGTCGATATTTACAAAATAGTTGAACTTGGGTATAGAGATATAGAGTATATCCAATGCAAGAATTTCAATGACATATTAACACAGATAGACAGTAAACAAAATTTTGTGTCGCCAACATTTAGGAGAGCAATCCACCACCGGCGCATCCCCTCCAATTTGGTTGCCATGTTGATATTAGGTCTGTTCGTAGAGGAATCACAAACCAGTCAGAGTGAATTTCATTGGTTGAAACTAGTTTCCTGACTGTTTTCAACCAATGAAATTCGCTCTGACTGGTTTGTGATTTCTCTACGAACAGACCTATTTTATCCTGTTATGACTTTGCTTCAAAAAGTTGCAGGTTCAAGACTGAAAACGACTACTGGCAACGCTGGTTCTGTAAGACAGGCGGAACACATCTGTCATTGGTTGGCATGTCAACACGCTCCTCAAACTTTTATCATGAGTTAGAGGCAGACAGATAGATAAACGAGTTGCAACCGTGCGCATTTTTTCATTTTTCTTGTCAAATGAATGACGGGTTCGGAGGGGAATATGGGTCTTGTTTACACCACTGATTCATCCCTACCATGACCCCCTCGAGCAGCTCACCTCTCCTGGCCAATGGGGGGTCTTGTTATCACAACAAACATCAGTTTATGAATGAGATGTGGTGTGGTGTCTATCTTTGTTAAGATGTCATTGGGTATATCACATGAAATCTGCTCAGAATTTTACGTAAAATTCGAATATGCAATCACATACAGGGTGTTTAATTTAAAAAAACAAAGTAGGTCTGGATAGCAAATTAACCAGAAGTGACAGAAACAATTCGTCTAGGTAGAAATGTGGAAAATAATTCACTGAGCAACTTTCATTAGGGTCACTTTTTCGTAACGAAGTACCTAATTAAAAAGTTACACTGCCACTCTGTATATTTTCGTCTCTTGTCACTTGTACATCTATATACCTTGTGTTAGTCATAGTTTTTAGTGGTTAAATGTGTACTACGTAGAATATTGCTTAAGAACACGCAGATAAATATAGGAGGAGGGAGGAGATTTGTGCATCTCTTTATAATTAGATTAGGTTAAGACATTGTTGAGTGCGGTGGCACAACTTGGTGCAAGTCAGTCTATTCTTCTTGCACGTGTACATTGTAGTCAAGTCAGGCATTGGGATGAACAATTATACAAGGTTTGGGAATGGGTTCAAGAGTCGAGTTGTTTTAGGCCACATCTTACGACTCTCAAGATGTTTGGGAAAGATATGTTCACCTGGCGACAACAATCGACGTTGAGATACCAATTATTACCAATAACCAAAGTCATTTGAATCACGCTTGTCAATTTTCAAAAACTGCGAAACATCATCATTCGTTTTTTTCCAGCCCTTGAACAAGGACATCACAGGACGGCAGACTCTTCTTATATCCCGGAAGTTTTCGGCCAAGGTGACTGCTGAAGTTACTTTAGCAGAAATCGATTAAGATGTTCAGTTCTCAAGGCCAAATGATGATTAGGTTTCACCAAGATCAGTAGGTACATTTCATCTTTATGACTCGTGAGCAATAAGAATAAACCTACTTGCACCAAGTTGTGCCACGGCACTCAAAAATGTCTTAACTTAAATGATTGATTTTTTATCTTTCTTGTAATATTGCCATAAGCTAGAAATATTATGATGATTGTCTTCTTATCTTCTTTACAATCCTGGATCAAACAATGTTCAAAGTCTGAAATGGTCGATCGTTTTCTTTTCTTTTTTCAGCGGCCATCTTGGAGC